TAAATTCAATTCCCTGCTTGCAGCGCGAAACTGCAGTGCAGGAGAAAGAAGAATCAGAGGAGAGGCTAAATCTCAATCTGAAGAACAAAGGTGTATGTGTGTGGGGGGAGGATTTGGAGACACCACTACTTGACAGAACCACGCTGAGGATGTAAGGGTATTTATTATTCTTTGTGCCTCTTCGTATAAAGACAAGGGAGTTTCAAGTGTAGCCATTCCTCTCAGTTCTAAGTGGATGAGGAAGCCGTAGATGCAGCCATTTAGTAGTGCAGAAAAATATTCTTTCATAGGCTCAGAAATACTCGAAGTATGTTTCCCAACTGCCCTCTGGAGCCACTTACTGCTGTCCTTCCATGGCGTTTCACTAAAACAAGCAGTTCTTTAATGGTAATAAATACATCATTCTTCACTAATCTTTCTCAACCCAAACTGATTCATGGTGTCTAAGAGCATGCCTGATTCATGTGTGTAAAGAGCATGCCTACTGTGTGGGGAGAGGAAAAGGCCTAATTGCACTGATTGTCAGATCCATCTTTTAGGGCAGTATTCTCTACCATGACACTTTCCAGACAAGTTGGGCCACAAACCCAGCAGCTTTGTGGTCCAAGGCCACTGAAATGTGCCAGGCTGGAAAGCCTAAACTGAATGAGCAAGCAATGAAACATCACCAGAAGGAATAACATCAACCATAGTAACATACACCATCTTATCCAAAATGCTTCCTTTAAAACTCAAGCAAAAATGTTTAATTTAATACATTAATAACTTTACCCACTGAAGTTAATCTAAACTGAATTGTATTTGCGAAGGCATTCACAGCCAGGATCTAAAGGTTGTTGTGGGTTTTTCGGGCTCTTTGGCCTTGTTCTGAAGGTTGTTCTTCCTGACATTTCGGCAGTCTCTGTGGCCGGCATCTTCACAGGACAGAGCACTCTGCTCTGGTGTAGTTTGCTTGGGAGCTGAGTATTTATGGCTGCTGAGATAGGCTTTTGTCCTTTTCAGGAGATGGGTGATTAGTCTGTCTTGTTTTGGGTGTATTGTTGTGATAAGGAAGAGAGATTATGTCTGACCTGAATTCTCCAAGATACCAGTAGATACTTGAAGGTGTTTCACGATAACTAACACGAGACACACATGAAAGAAAAACTTGCAAGATACCCACTTATACAATGGAGGTGGGAGTGACTCTTTCCTTCCCAATGAATGTTTTTAAGTCGTCTTGAAGAGTTAATGTTTTCCCTTTAGTTCTTGATAAACAAAAACTGTTTGTCCATAATAAATAGGGAAAGTCAAAAGTTGTGTATGCATTAAAAGAAGCGATTCTATTATTTTGTAAAGAAAAGGGTGGCAGTGCCAAATTTAAAACTTATTCTTACCTTTTCCAGATCCAACAGGTAATAGAGCCCTTTAAGCTGTTCCGAGGTAGTTGGCGTCAATTTAAGGCAAAACACAGTAAGTTGTCTTATTTCTGAATACATTCTTAATTGTTGATTACTGCTTCTCCTGAGAAAAGAAGAATAGAAACTGAATACTGGTTTATATACAGTCCTTCCAAAGGAGGCAAAGATTAAAGTATCCAATAATAACAAGTACCAAAGAGAAAAAACATAAAGCTGTAAGTCTGTCATGCGTTAAGAGTTCAAGGAGATCCTGATTCTTACTTCAGTGGCATTTTGAGAGAGGACAAAGGTTGCTGGAGCCAAAGGAGTTTGGGGAGCTCCCTTTAATATGGGTATACAGCAGCTTTAGAATACATGTTTTATCACTGGAATAACAAGATGGCAGAACAAAAGAAAGAAATGGGAACAGTGGGTGAAGAGAGATGTAGGTTGGGTGTCTGCGCAAGTCAAGTAAAACTTATTTTTAAAAAGGAATGATTTGTTGAGTATTTAGGGAACGTTATAGTGGACAGGAGCTGCTGATGAGGAAAAAGTGCCTCAGAGAAATAGGTCTGCTTTGGGAAAGGCCGAGACAAAAAAATGTGGGAGAAGCTAAGGATCACTGCTGGCAAGTTGAGGAGTTAGGAGGCAACACGAAGATGTGAGCCGTGTTTTCCTGGACTGCAGTAAGGCATTAACACATTATCCTGGATGACTGAATTCACACCAGACACAATACTCTATTGAGCTCACAGTCCTTTCACACCAAAATCCTCCCCCCAAGCCTTCTTCAGCAGTCTAATTTAGGTGGGCAAAAATTATTCAGTTTCTAATAACCAAGAGTTAGAAACAACTCCTGCTAGTGTCCTGCTAGTCAAGAACAAACAAACTAGTAAATCCTGATGCCCATCCCTGAGCTATATGTTTTCATCTGATACTCTTGACTCCGTTAAGTTACTATATAGGGTGGCAGTAGTAGTTTTCTTAACTCTCCCCCAAAACATTTGTCTCACCTTTCCAAGTTCAACTCAGCAATGCAATCGGTGGTCAGCTTGTACTGCCATAACATAGCTAGATACTCCATGGTAGGCCACATCTGCACCCTGCTGGAGAGCTGGCTTAACACAGGAGACTCCGGCTGCTGGCCTGCGACAGGCTTTCCTTCAAGTGGTTCAGCCAAGGCTCCTTTTTCTCTCAGCTCTGAATGCTGGTGGTTCAGTAAAGTCTGCAAATCCTCTGCAAGAAAGGAAGGAGCCAAAGCACTGCAACTAAAATCTTAGCTCTGCAATACTACCATTTTTACCACTTTCTCCTCACTACAGATTGTCAAATGCAAGCAGCATTTTACCTGAACTAACATCCTTCAAATGATTGGCTCTGAGAATGAGACCTTCAGCTTGAAGCAACAGCATTTTCACCTTCCACTCTGTGGCAATAACTTTCAGAATACAGATTTCCTTCTGCCACTGATCATCCCCAAAGGCAGGCCTCAACTCCAGGATACTGAATGCTTTGGAGAGTCTCCTGAGGTGAGCAGCAGCTTCCACTATGGCTTTCTCCTGAAAATATTGGAATAAAAATAAAACAATGGCAACCACAACCCAGTGTCTTCTTCCTTTGCTATGGTGTTTTCAATACAATGCCTACAATAGAATTAACTCTGATTTTTTTTTTTTGCATCCAGATTAAAGTATGCATGAGAAAGAGAGAAATAACTTGTTACATGAATGCCAACAAACAGTTAACCTACTGGGAAACCTGTCACAAGTCAAATTTAAAGTATGAGAAAATACCACACTAATGTGCAGGTCAATACATTAACAGGCCACTACAGAAGAGATGCTTTTGCTTTCCATATACACAGAGAAACAGGAAACAATGCCTACAGGACAGGCAAACTGGTGCATCACAGTCAAGCACAATGGCCTTTCAGCACCTGTTCAAGCTCCGTATAAAATTCTGCTACCCAAGTAACATCTGATACCCAGGCAGCAGGTGGGCTATCTTTTGTACGTACTAACATACTAACATGGTTGCATCTGATTTAAAAGTGATCAGCTAGGAAGATCTACACAGGAATATACAAAACTGCCTTCCACCCATTAAGCCCAATGATTCTTCATAGTAGACAGCCGCCTAGAGTGGACGAGATCAGCTAGGAAGATCTACACAGGAATATACGAAGCTGCCTTCCACCCATTAAGACCAATGATTCTTCACTGTACTGTCTTTAACTGTTAAAATTGCTGGCTTACAGTAAGCTATTCTGAGCCTCAGCTCTTAACACATGTAGCGAAGGCCTATCTCTACAAACCTAGGATGATGAAGGAAGGACTTTGCCTGGTTTCAGGCACAATGGCCTTACAGGTACAGTGGTGCCCCACTTGACAATGATAATCCGTTCTAGCAAAATCGCTGTACAGCGAAATTGTTGTCAAGCAACAAAAAAACCCCACTGAAATGCATTGAAAACCAGTCAATGCATTCCAATAGGGGAAATACCTGATTGTGCAGTGAAGATCCTTCATAGGGCGGCCATTTTGCAATGCCTGTAAAGCGAAGAATCGGTCCTGAAAACAGCAGGGAGACATTTTGCGACCTGCCGATCAGCTGTTTCTAATTGTCGTCTAGCAAAGAAACAGTTCCCGAAGCAGGGAAATATTCATCGTCAAGCGAAAAAACCCATATAAACATTGTTTTGCGATCGCTATAGTTATCGCAAAAAAACCATCATAAAGCGATTTCGTTGTCAAGCGGGGTAACTGTCTAGCAAGGCACCACTGTAACATGTTTCCCCAAAAATAAGACAGGGTCTTATATTAAATTTTGCTCCAAAAATGCAGTAGGGCTTATTTTCAGGGGATGTTAAATTTTCATGTACAACAATCTACATTTATTCAAATACAGTCATGTCATCTTCTTCTGGTGGCTGCACAATGGTGGAGGGCGGAGTTTAACTTGACTAGGGCTTATTTTTGGGGTAGGGTTTATATTACGAGCATCCTGAAAAATCATACTAGGTCTTATTTTCAGGTTAGGTTTTATTTTCGGGGAAACGGGGTATTTATTGTAAATAAATAAAGAAGTTGCAATGCAAAACATCTCTTATGCTTCTTTTTTAAAATACTAAATTCCACAGAGGTCAACAATACTCAATTATATATCAATATATCAAACCTTGAAAGGAAGAGGTTTTCCCAAAGACTTCTGCAGCTTCTTAATGTTGGCAGAAATACCAGCAGAACTGGCCAGACAAGACTGAATTTGCTGTGACACAGACTGAATATCCTTCAAGAGCCTTAAAAAAGAGAAGGAATAAAATGTTTACATAGCATTCAAAAGGAAAATGTGGGTCAGTATTAAGCCATGTGTTATGTATACAAAAGCCTGTAGGACTTCATGCCCCCCCAAAAAACTAAAGAGTCTCAACATCAAGTCACTTAGCAATTTTTGCATGATTATCTGCCAAGTCATAACCACCCGTGGAGTGAACCAAGCCTGTGGCATATGAACAGCTAACTCCATGCGGTGACTGCGTAATACCTGGCCCTGCAATTTGCACAATTATTGTCACCTGTAAATAAACAACTTGCTTTTGCAGGTTATAATGCCAACAGTGATTTAGATTTCAGCTGAATCAAGCCTAACATGCGTCCCAACCCTTTTGTCTAGATACAGCATTTCATCTCTCATTAGACTTAATTTCCCCAAAAAACACTCCCCACAAACAGAAATATTTATCAATGATATTCATGCTAAACACAGGCAAAACTAAGACTATGGATGAAAAGTGTTACATTGGACCTTCCTGCAGTAACAAAGGGTGGACCTCAGGCCAGAGAATAGCACTGGCCTCCTTGGGTTGCTAAATAAAACAAAAACGAAACCAAAAAAGCATACTTTTGGTGCTCATATCCACCCAATAATTGAGGTATTTTGATGATTAAGTGTTTCACAACCCAGTGCCAGTGAAGGGATAAGAGTGTCAAGCCCGAAGAATCAACAGCCACTATGTCAGATGTTGTCCAAAATCTGTCACGCCACAATAAACAGTGCAGGATCTAGAGGCAAACCAAGAAAGGGATTATTTTTTCCCCCAAATCGCCATTCCTGATGTCAGATCTCTGTCCTGCTTAACTGATATTTCTCTATCAGGTTAGGGCAACCACTCGGATCTAAACTGGGCCGGGCTAGAGCAGAAAAGTGTTTCCACTTATACACAAACTCACCCACACCCCATTTCCACTTCCAGTCACATCCCATGTTGTTCTGGCTGTTCCACCAAGCTTTAGGTGTAGCTTATTGGGGCCACAGGTGGTCCCTGGAAAGCTGGGAGTTAGCCAGACCGGAACACCACTTGTCTACTGCTCTGTATGGTTTCACAACTAGGCCCAACATTTATATAAGTTACTTAAGCTCTTCTCCCTTGAGCAGCCTTCTGTAACCTGATACCCTTCAGATGTGGTGGAACTTTAAATCCTGTCACTTCCAGTGAGCCTAGGCAAACTGAAGGCCATCTGGTTGGACAGAAGTGTTTCTTGAATAGGTCCTCGCCCTCCCGCTTTTAGGCCCATCCAGACTTTCCACCAACAGGACATATATTCATTAAATCTAAAAGAAAACGCTAAAGAAAAAGCAAATTGTAATGGCAAAGGATGTAAAGTAGGAAAGTATGTGAGGGAAGCAGGCACAAACAGAAACAGGAAGCAACTAGATGACTTTTAAGACTGAAGAAACTGGAACGTATTTGCATAGACTACTTACATCATACAGTTTTTCATCAGTGACAGCAACTTGAGTGGTCTTCACCCACTGCAATATGAAGGCATCCCAAAGTTCAAAAAAAGCGGCAAGGTTGGCCACAATAGCATGCGGGAGTGAGTTGTGACTGCCAGGGTCTTCGTTTCAAGATTAAAATTAAGTCAGAAAAGAAGATACATCATCTACATTTAGAACATACTACATCATCAACAAACAAATTAACTGCTTGTCCCTGAAAAGAATAAATTCCAAAAAGCTTGTCAGTCTTATTTTCAGGAAAATCCTTTTATAATACAGTGGTGCCTCGCAAGACGAGCGCCTCGTTTAACGACGAAATCGCATTACGACGAAGTTTTTGCGATTGCAAAAGCGATCGCAGAACAATGTTTCCTATGGGGGAATTTTGCTTTGCGATGATCGGTTCCCTGCTTCAGGAACCGGTTCTCGCAAAACGATGATTTTCGGCCAGCTGATCAGTGGTTTCAAAATGGCCGCCAGGTAAAAAAAATGGCTCCCCGCCCTTCTCTGGGACTGATTCCTCGCTGCACGGGCAGCGAAAATGGCCGCGCTATGGAGGATCTTCGCTGGACGGTGAGTTTCAAGCCCATAGGAACACATTAATTGGGTTTTAATGCGTTTCTATGGGCTTTTCTATTTCACTTTGAGATGTTTTCGTTCTACAGCAATTTCGCTGAAACGAATTAACATCTAAATGCGAGGCACCATTGTATTAATGTGGGATTATCACTATCATTCTGCAAACAGCTGGCAACTATCAAGATAAAATAGTGGCTCTTACTCTCCCTCTCTAAATATGCATCTTGAAAAAGTACAAAAGTACCACAGTACAATTTTACGGATTCAATGCCCAGTTCATTCTATTATAGTCAAAGAACATCAAGAGTGCTCAGTTACCCATGTTGTACAGGGGAACCAATCAGTTCAGCAGAAGCCATACTCCATGCTTAGCACATGTTTTGCATGCAGGAGTTTATTCCTTGGTTTTTTTCATTAAAATGAATTAGCTAAGTGGGAACAGTAGACACTGCTGCCCGAGACCCTAGGGCAGCAGATCCCAACCTTGGGTTCTCAGACGATTTTGCATGCAGGAGTTTATTCCTTGGCTTTTTTCATTAAAATGAATTAGCTAAGTGGGAACAGTAGACACTGCTGCCCGAGACCCTAGAGCAGCAGATCCCAACCTTGGGTCCTCAGATGTTCTTGGGTGATCTCCCAGAAATCCTGGCCGAAACAGCTAGTAGTGGTGGGAGTTTTAGTCCAAGAACATCTGGAGACCCAAGGTTGGAAACCATGTGCTAGAGAACTACTGCCAGTCAGATCGGTAAATGATAATGCTTCGTCTATTACGCAGATGCTTCTTTTCCCAAGAACACCGAACATTATACTCATTTAAGTTTTTGTCAAACAAGCAAGAAAGCAAACAAAAAAAGGCAAAAAATGCTTTTTACTTATTACAACATGAAAATGCACTAGATACCTTTATGAAATTCTATGGATATTCTCAGAGCACTAGCTTTAGGCTTTCTGGTATTAATTAAGCTCCTTTCAACATAGCTCTTTTTCTCCCGGTCCAGAAACAGTATTGCTCTGCCATAAGAACATAAAAACATATGGATGCCATTAAATTATTATGAGAAGAGGAAACCAAAATTCTGTCAGAGGAAACTTACAGACCGTAAATTGAATTTCATGTCAACTGTTTACCATTCATGCAGTGCCAACAAAGGCTTAGACATTCTGGAAAAAACTGAAGTGAAATGGCTTCTGCCCAGAAAATAATCTTTTCCAGGTTGCAAATTCAAGTTCTTTGTTTCTATGGTTGTTGTGGGTTTTCCGGGCTGTTTGGCCGTGTTCTTAAGGTTGTTTTTCCTAACATTTCACCAGTCTCTGCGGCCTCCATCATCAGAGGACAGGAGTCAGAATTCTGACCATGCTCTGCTGCAGTTTGTTGGATAGTTGACTATTTATAGCTGAGGGAACAGCTTTTGTCCTTTTCAGAAAATTGGGTGATTATGGTGATCAGCATGTTTTTTGTTGTGGGTGTTTTGTTGTGATAAGGGGGAGAAATTATCTGTCACTGTGATTGATGGGTGTTGTTAGCTGGTCTTTTGTATGCAGTGATCACCAGTCCTTGTGGCTAGGTAGAGTTCATGGACCTTTTGCAGGCTGCATTTCTTCTCAGCTTTTGTCCTTTTCAGAAAATTGGGTGATTATGGTGATCAGCATGTTTTTTGTTGTGGGTGTTTTGTTGTGATAAGGGGGAGAAATTATCTGTCACTGTGATTGATGGGTGTTGTTAGCTGGTCTTTTGTATGCAGTGATCACCAGTCCTTGTGGCTAGGTAGAGTTCATGGACCTTTTGCAGGCTGCATTTCTTCTCCTTCCTCTTCCTCTTCCTCTTCTTCCTCTTCCTCTTCTTCGCTCTGCTGGTGTCTGTGGATTTCAATGGCTTCCCTGTGCAGTCTAACTTAATGATTGCTCATGCTGTCCAGTACTTCAGTATTTTGAAATAGAATTTCATGTCCAGCGTGGGAAAACCTTAAGAACACGGCCAAACAGCCCGGAAAACCTGCAACAACCATCGGATCCTGGCTGTGAAAGCCTTTGAAAATACATCTTTGTTTCTAACTTGGCTGATATAACCAGTCTATTAAATACTAATTTTACTCTTTTAAAAAATTAGTTTTTAAAAATTCCCTCAATCTCTAGCTCATGTTTCATACAGAAGAATTCAAAATAAGCTTAAAATCCAGGAAAAGTTAGGTCTATTTATGTTTACTAGTAACCAAAATTGGAGCAGACATCTAATTTCCCTGCAAACAAACAAAAACACCTCTCCAAAATCAAAATCCATGGCTTGGAATCAGAGATGTCTTGCATGGCCTAAAACAGTGGTCCCCAAACTTTTTGAAACCAGGGACAGGAAATGGCAAGCAGGAGGTGAACTGCAATTGAAGCTCCGCCTCCCATTAGATCAGCAGTGGCTCAGAACCTAATAGGAGTGCAGGCTCCTATTAGATTCTAATGTCACAGGCACAGCTGATCTAGCAGCAGCAGCAGCAGCGGAAAGCTCCGCCTCCTGTCAGATCAGCAGCGGCATTAGAATTTAACAGGAGCCCGCTGACAGGAAGCGGAGCTTTGCTCACCACCCACCTCCTGTTTGCCGCTCATCTGTCCTGGCAGCCCAGATCTTCCAAGGCCATGGACAGAGACTGGTCCACGGCTCAACAAGACCCCTGGCCTAAAACTATTTCTGACCATTCAAGGAAGCCGCACTCAACATTCTGAGATAAACCCCCATGGCCAACATAGTACTGTTCCACTGACCGTCAGGTGTGGCTGAGGACAGGGACCTGTGGGGTCTGGGTGGGAAGAAGCTGTTGGGTTAGTGTAATTCTCTAGACTAGACCTAACTTATGATTTCACAAGATAGCATCCAGTTGTCTACAGAAGGTCATTCCGAGATTACTCAGGGGTGTATCCTGACTTCTTCTCTCCTCACCACCAATGTCCTGTTCTGCCTGTATAATGAGAACTCTAAAATTCTAAAGGATGAGAATAACAAACTTTAACTTCTCTAGTTTAAAAGAAACAGTGATTAAACCCACCGATTTGAAAGTGATTTCAGAAGAATAAGCAGCTGATCTGAATGTTCGACTTCTGCATCAAAATCCACTGAATTGCTAATCATTTCCAAACACTGCGTGTTCCACCTCGGATCCATAGGAATCACATGCTCATCTAAAAAGGCAGTTGAACAGGTAGAAGAATCACATATGTCTTCGTCAGAAGGACTTTGAGAAAGGTTAGCCATGTTGCTCCCCCTTTTCGAGGGGAACACTCTTGATTGTTGCACCAACTGCCACAAACGATCTTAAAGACTCACAAGGCTAAGCTTTTGTGGATCACAACCCATTTTGTTAGATGTATGATAATAAATAGTTCTTCCTTCCCTAAGTATAAGAAACAAAGCTAAGGGCACTCATGGACACAGTGGATGAAGGAATTTGTTATTTATATAACACAAATATAGGAATACACAGCAGATAAGAACATCTCTGAGGCTGAAAAACCCACAACAACCACAACACCTTTGAGGCTTGGAACATATGAAAAGAAAGATACATTATCTTACCATGTCTTTTCAAAAAAACAAAACCAGTTCCCAAAGTACAGTAAAAGCAAATTCCTTGTGCTATTCAGCTGAACTCTATCGCAGGCTACATTTTGCCAATAATATCCTAAGGAGAACATTCATCAAGCTATATATCAGAAAGATTTCAGTGGTAACCCACTCTGTTGGCAGTGAAGGTAGGTGGGCTTCCTACTATACATGAGGTGTGGCTCTGCCCCATAATACATCCTTGGGATTTTCACTGCTGTTAATCCTCATTTGGAAATATAATTTACCTTTAGTGCTATAGCTATATTACTGGATCATACATGCAGGCTTCAGGACATGATTCCTTGAAGCCCTCTTGGTGGCTAAAAGATTTATACTGAAACACTGGAAAGACCATTATCCACTCCCTATATCACAAGGAACAGAAGAGTCACTGCATTTGTGCCTGCCTGCTTCAGTGTTTCAATGCATTTTTGAAGATCTGCTCATAGCACATTTACATAGAAATACTTTTGCCTAGGTGTCTGAGTTTTACTAAGCTTATGTAGAGACTCGCCTATATGTACACTCTACTTGATGGTATGCATGACTTTATATTATGTTTTCTAATTGTAGATTATGCATTACCCCTTCCATCGGCGCATCTCCACACCCCCTTTCTTTCTGACAGCAACTGATGGTATTTATTTTGTGAATCTGTTATAAAACTTTGAAACCATAGTACCTACTCAGCAGAAAGGAAGGAAGAATGAAACTAACTCCCAGTATGCCTCTAGACTTCTCACATCAATATTCTTTTTTTTAAAGGGCAGGGAAAGAAAACACATAACATAGTAAACATGCTGCTGAAGGAGAGGGAAGACTTATTACCTGTCACATTTGGTTGCAGCATCTTTATTACATTACTGATTCCACCTGAAAGGGGGCTGAAATAGAAATTATTCAGAGAGGCAGCACCAGCTTCCAGCTGAGTATGTACTGAATCTGTAGAAAGAAGCAGAAGTGTAAGCAGTGGCTGGAATCCAAGCTTAGGCCCATCCATCCTGATTATGTGCATGCATGGGGTGAGGGCATTTGCGGTCCCTCACACTTCAGGTGCCCAATCTGCAGAGAACTATTGTTAGGAAAAAGGAAATCAGCCCCTCTTGTACAGAGAATGTCGTTGATTAAACACATTCTAACTCAAAATGCTGTCAGAAAACCAGAATTTCAGGCCAGAGACCAAGAAATTTTTTTTTGACAACCCTCCAATTAAAAAGTGTTCACTTCTTAGATCAAGAGTTAAATGAACAGCAAATGTTTTTTGTCTTATGGGTTGCCTTTCTTCCTTTCATTCATACACGCTGCTGTGGTGAGGGGTATGAAATGAGTTTCAACAGGGAAAAATGCAAAGGTCTCCCCTTAAGTGCAAATATGAGATGCCCAAATGTAGAATGGGAGAAAGCTGGCTCAGGCAACTTGTGAAAATTATCTAAGCGTCTTAGTAGACCACAACCTAAACATCAGTAAATGGCCAATGCTGTAACCAGCTAACCCTGTACCACTCTACTCTGTTTTGGTCAGACCTCACCTGGAATACTGTGTCCAGTTCTGGCAGCACAGTTCAAGAAGGAAATTGAGAAACTAGAATATGTCCAGAGGAGGTGACCAAGATGATAAAAGGTCTGGAAAACAAGACCTATGCAGAATATTTGGGGGAACTGGACTTGTTTAGCCTAGAGAAGAGCTGAGAGATTACTTGATAGCTATCTTCAAATATTCAAAAGACTCATGTAGAAGATACAGCAAGCTTGTTTTGCCATGCTCCAGGGGTTAGGATTTAAAAAATTCTGGATTAAAATTACAAGAGAGGCAATTTCAACTAAGCTAGCCCAATAGGTCAGTGGTTTAGGTATCTGACTGGAGATCCAGAGGTTGGGAGTTTGATTCCCCACTGTGCATCCCAGAAGAGTCAGCCAGTGTAGCCTTGAGCAAGCTGCACAGTCCAAAGATGCCCCCAGAAAGGAGGAAATGGTAAGCCACTCCTGAATACTCTCTAGCTAGAAAATCCTGAAAAGGGTCACCATGTAAGGACTGACTTGACAGGACATGATCATTATTATTCATTTCAACTAAACTTGGGAAGAGCTTCCTGACAAAAAGAGCTGTTCAATAGTGGAACACATTGCTTTGGGAGGTAGTGGATTCCTTATCATTGGAGCTTTTTAAGTGGAGGCTGGCGTTGCTTTAGCACTGGATTTTCTGGTTCTGTAAGGAGGTGGGGCTTAGTCACCCTTTGGGTCCCTTCTAGTCCAAGAATTCTATGACTCTACAAATTCAATGTAAAAAAAAAACCATATTTAATCTGCAAGATGGAAAAGGTGTTGTGGCTTTTCTGCTTCCTTTGACAGTTTTTATTTACTTGCAAGACCACAGTAGGTAAACACCTTTAAAGCTAAAAACTTCTAAACGTTTGCAAAAGTACTTTCCTCCTAAGTAAACATACAGATATGAACTTCCATCATGAGACACATTTCTCTCTTCCCTACACTACAAACCTCTTATTTTGCTTTAAACAGAAAGTGAGAATTAGTTTTTTACCAGGCACTTGGGGTGAATTCTTTTTTAACTGATTCAGCCATCCGACTCTCAACGTCCAGTCCTGATTAGTTGCTTTCTCTATGAATAATTTAACTGCTGCGGAGAGAACCTCGGTGTCATCCGCCCATGAAGCACTTATCTCAATTGCACTGAATTTGAGACAGTCTGGATTAGGAGACTGCAGAATCTTCTCAAAGTCACAGATGGTAAGAGGAAGGGTCCTGAGCCAAAATATAATGGGAGAAAGGGAGAGAACAGATTTCATTAAAAAGAGGGAGAAAGGAATAAAGTCTGAGACCCCTGAGGGAGGAGACATGACCTTGAAGGCATCAGCACTTGAACTAAACTTATCGTTCTGTGTGTTAAATCAAGCCATCCTGCCACTGGGTATGTTAAGGAGGCTTTGACCCTGAAGATGGGACAGACTAATTATTTGTTGAAAGTACATACAACACTTGACTACAGCTAACGGCAATTGTGAGCTGCAAACCCCTTAGGATAATGATTTAAGGCAAGACGTGAAGTCATGGTTTGAAATATTTAGACAGTACTTAAGAGTTATGAAGAAAATAAGCATGTTACAAATTACATATAACATAATCTGTTACATAATTACATTTAACATAATTACAAATAAGCTGGCACTGCGGGTTAAACCGCAGAATCCTTTGTTCTGCAAGGTCAGAAGACCAGCCGTTGTAAGATTGAATCCACGCAACGGAGTGAGCTTGCGAGTAGATAAACAGAGACCACCTCGGTGCTAAGGTAACGGTGTTCCGCGTCTAGTCGCGCTGGCCACGTGACCACGGAAACTGTCTAAAGACAAACGTTGGCTCTACGGCTTGGAGAAGGGGATGAGCAACGCCCCCTAGAGTCGGACACGACTGGACAGATTGTCAAAGGAACCTTTACCTTTACCTACCCATATGAATCCTGAATTGGCATGACTAAAATACTATATTACAAAATCTGGGCATTTTATTACAACCCTTTTTGTTACATGGGAAATAGCTTTTTAGCCTTAACAAAACTGTACACTTAAGGAGAAAGTAGTATTTTTATCTCAGCCTCCAATAATTCAAATATATTTTCTCTCACCCAACTGAAACATTTGGCTCACTTGTCAGCCGGAATAGCAACATCACTTGCTCACCTGCTGTTTTTCAGATTCAGTCTGTTCAGGCAATAGGCCAGGACCTGGCCATCATTATGAACCGTAGAAAGGAGGGAATCTTCAGCTGCAAACAAAGCACTGGATGCAGAATCCGGCCACAGTCCCAAGGCGAGCAGAGAAGCACCCCTTGTTTCATCCGAATTCAAAGCTGCAACATGCTTTGTTATCAAGTCCAGCACAATCTAATGTATAAGGAGACACAAAGTGCTGCAATATAGTATAAAGCTTCTTTCTGTATTTTTCCTCTACTGAAAAGTACAAGGTATGAAAAACAAAACAGATTTTTGATATGACCTATTAAACACAGCAGTTTATCAACATGTTTATCAACACCACATATCTGAACTGGGGTTTAAAGCAAGGGTGGGGAACCTGTGGTCTTTAAGATGCTCTCCTAATCCCTGAATACTGGTCAAGGACCTGGTTCAAAAATGTGAAAGGGGGAAATTGAGATTGGATCCAGGAATGATACGGGAAATGACAGAGAACTTTTCCCCTGTAAACCTTCTATAATCAAAACCGATCGTACCGGAGCCATTTGATTCTCAGGGAAAACCATACAGGTACCTATATGGTCCAATCTGGGAGGCCTTGTCAGCTGCTTTTAGGAAACCAAAAAAGAAAGTGAATGTGAGTTTTCTGCAGTCATATTTCAGTTTTGTCTGGGGGGGGGACTATTTCCTGGGATTTTTTTCCTCTGTCCTTTCTTTTTTTTCCTTAAGAATGAAAAATGGCCAGTTAAGAAGGCGTCTTAACTGATAAAAGAAATTATTACACAGTTACTATACAAGGTAACTTAAAATCAATTTCACATCTCCAAACCATACTGAATGAAGAAAACACACTTCATTCAGAGTTTAGAAAAGATTAAAATATATTACTTTCTCAAACCTCAGCAAGGAACCCAGACAAGAGCTGGAATGTTTGTCAAGGTGTGACCCTGTTCTTGCTGCCCACATTTCTGAGGGAAGCGAGGGGAAGTTGGCTAGCAAGGACAGGCCACCCAGATTATTCCACCATACTCTGTGCAGCATCTAATTTTCCATTTTACAGAGTCCAGTCTTTGTTCCTATGCTTTCCTGTAAGGGTTTCTACCACTTTTACAAACTAATTGGGCCATGGCAGAGATTAATATTAGTCAATAGGTGGGACAGACATGCTGTATGCAAGCATTTTGCCCCCTCCTTATAAAACAGGTGTGTGTCGCAAACAGGCCTACCTTTTGATTGTCTTGAGAATGCTGTGCACCCATATAGACTTCCCAACATGCCTTATAGAAGCTCTCTGTTATGCCCAGTCCTCGGTGCAACTGCTGCACTATCAGTGTTGCAGCATGAATCAAAGATGACAGAGTATATGTGGAACCTGGGAAGACAAACATTGCCATCCAATAATGACACATGTTAAATGCTTACAAATCACGTTTCTATTTACTCAAAGTTCTTTTTAGGCTTTCTTCAGTCTTCAGAGACTATGGTAACGTGCTCTGAGCTGGAGTGTCCTCTCCAGAGCACGAAGCCTGGGTAAAATATGGAGGATAGGCTGTTACCCAAGCAGCAAATCCCCCCTCTCCACGTCGCTGAAATAGTCCAATGGAAAGGCAAGAGCCAATACAACTGGTTCCAGCGACGTCGCAGGAGTTGACAGAACGACACAAACTGCCTCCGGGACATATTTCAGAAGTATTTTCAATCTGAACATTGAAGGATTTGAGTTAAGCATGGAATCAGGGTGTTTGTGAAAAGATTTAAATAAGAATTCTGTATGTCTCACCTGCTATGCTTTCTTTAGCTTCTGTGTGCACAGCCATCAGTGTATCACATGTGCTACTTCCTAACAATCCCAAGCTGTGCAACAGCTGCTTCACATCGTGAGGATCCAGTGCATTCTCATTACTATCCCCAGCAACATATATTTCAATTCCACGATTCCTCATGGCTCGGGATATTTCCCCATGGGAAGGATCCATTGAGAGGAAAAGCCTGTTAGGTTTCAGTGCACACAACAAGAGAGGGATTTACTCACTTCAACGAGAGTGTACTCTAAGCACCCAGCAAGTCATTTGTCTGTTGCTGCTACTTGGGAGTAGGGGTGGGGAAGAGAAAAGTGAATACCCTTGTTTTGTAATCAAGTTTCTGTCTGTGAAGTTTACCAGTTAAGGATAAGTAAGAACATTCTTGGAACATTCATTTCTAAGTCAGCTGGCATTTGGTTAAGGATTAACTGTCACCTCTTGGATTTCATCTCTGTTCTTGACTGGATTGTTGGTGCTACACAGCAGTTTACAAATACATAAAATGAATGAATACATAAAAATAATTAAAGCACCTAAAAACAGAAAATATTGCAGTGCTCTCCTCGCTAAGTAAAGAGAGGAGAATGCCATAGCTGCTGCTTTTCTGGGTGGGTAGACACTGTACACAATAGGGTGAAGACGACAGAATGTTAGAACAGGACACTGGATAATAAAGTTCAAATCCGCACTTCCACTTCGCCATTTGATCTCACTGGGGGGGGGGGGCTGAACTGGTAAAACCACTCCTTAAATATCTCATTTACCTGGAAAGCTCTATTAGGGTCGCTATAAATCAGTTCTGACTTGACGGTGTATAAACTGACTGACTAGCATCAATGCCACTGCATTTTTTTCTGGCCCAAACTACAAACTCTTGACTTTATATTTCCTTTTTAGAGGGGAGACACAAGAACATTTATGAAAACATGCTGTTATATTAGCTGAATGAAGCCCAGTCCTGGGCTGCAATCATGATACAAGGGTGCTACATAATGGAGTGACTTCTTCTACACCTATACTATATAATTCATGAAGCAAATTCAAGCAATGAAGGACACTCGAAGAGGGTAAGAGGAGCAAGCACCTGAAATTTGGATGAGGAGTGACAGTGGGGGTGACACCGTCTACCACACCTCGTTCACTCAGGGTAAGGACTCCTCCCAATTCAAGCAGAGCATTCAAGCGGTCCAGAACAGAAGGGCTGTATCAGAAAAAAAGGGGGGGGGAGTGAGAGAGAAAGCTGTTTAGAACAAAATTTCCCTTGGAAATTAGTTAAGAGATTAATAAAATAAAAAAAGATAGTCAGTTTCTCTACTACCCTTAGTTTGTGGCAGTTGCACACTGTGGGCCTGTTTTATGTGGGCCTCCAGTCCTCCGTTTACCTTATTCACATACAATGGAAGAAGGGAATCAGGTCTACCTCAGACCTATGTATATGAGAACCTACACAAGGTAGGGGCTACTGTATGTCCAAGGTGAAGCTATGTAAGTCTGTACAAGTAAGAACCAAACAGAGGTTCTACCTCTGCTGTAAACTGGGACATAGGATTAGTATCTGGATCTTTGCCAGCTGTAAAATCTGGATCTACAATAGTCAATGGAGGAAACATTTAACACACCTCACTTGAACCATAGCTCATATTACACTAGAAAGAGAAAGGGGAGAATCAGCATTCCAGGTATCTTTTTTCTTTTGTTCATGATGTAGCCTTGATTCACAGTCTTTCGAGTAACTATTGTTAATTTTTCATATGCAGACAATGGCCTAATGAATCCTTAATTCAGTGCTGCAAGAACAAGCCATATTTATTGCAACTTATTTCTCAGTCTGACTAGCTACTTCTATTATAGTAAAAATTTACCTATGAAATGGGTGCATTTTATTACAGCTATGTGAAAAAAAAATTACACCCTCTTTGAATTCTGTGGTTTTACGTATCAGGACATAACAAAAATCATCTGGTCCTTAGCAGGTCTGGAAATTAGGCAAATACAATCTCAGATAAACAGCAACACATGACATATTACACTGTGTCATGATTTGTTTTAGAAAAATAAAGCCAAGGTGGAGAAGCCATGTGTGAAAAACTAAGGACACCATATGATTCAATAGCTTGTAGAACAACTTTTAGCAGCAGTAACATGGAGCAATTGTTTTCTGTATGACTTTATCAATCTCTCACATCATTCTGGAGGAATTTTGGTCCACTCTTCTTTACAACGTTTCTTCAATTTATTAAGGTTTGTGGGCATTTGTTTAGGCACAGCTCTCTGAAGGTCCCGCCACAGCATTGCAATCGGGCTGAGATCTGGACTCTGACTGGACCATTATTATTTATTTATTTATTTATTTGATTTGATTTGTATCCCGACCATCTGGTCTATGCAACCACTCTGAGCGGCTTCCAATATAATACAAACAATTAATAAAAACACATAGTTACATAAATCTACAAATGAAAATGTGGAAACCAAGAAAATAGAGTGAAAATAAATAAAGGAGAAATGAGAAGAGAGAATCAAGTATTGACTGGAAGGAAGGCCTGAATAAACATCCATGTTTTTACTTGGTTTTTAAAGATACCCAGCATAGGGGCCGCACGAATCTCCGGAGTAAGTTTGTTCCAGTGGCGAGGAGCCACCGCCGAGAAGGCCCGATTTCATGTCTTTTCCTTCCGGGCCTTTCTGGGCATCAGCCATTCTGCTGTAGAATTGCTTGGGATCATTGGCCTGTTGCATTGCCCAATTTCGTCCTAGCTGCTCCTTAGCCTGTTAATTCCTATGGAAGCAGTAAGGGTGTCCTTGGTTTTTCCACACATGGTTTCTCCATTTTGGCTTGATTTTTGTAAAATGAATCATGACGTGGTGTAATATGTCATGTGTTGTTGTTCATCTGAGGTTGTATCTGTTAGGCATCCTTCAGTCTTGAAAGACTATGGTAACGTGCTCTGTATGGAGGACTTGGAACAGCATCTAGTGTGGCTGAGGAGGCCAATTCGAGAGTGACAATCTCTTCCACACTGAAGACAAATCCAATCTGACCCCTGTCCAGTTCCCTGCTTTTGCTGCTTTTGTGACTTCCTCTTCACCTCGGCCTGCTGGATAAGGGTCTCTTCAAATTGGGAGAGGCCGTGATGCAATGCCTGCCTCCAGGCTGAACGCTCAGATGTCAGGGTTTCCCATCTGTTGAGGTCTATTCCTAAGGCCTTCAGATCTCACTTGCAGATATCCTTGTATCACAGCCGTGGTCTCCCTCTGGGGCGATTTCCCTGCACTAATTCTCCATACAGGAGATCCTTTGGAATCCGACCATCAGCCATTCTCACGACGTGCCCAAGCCAACGTAGACGTCGCTGTTTCAGTAATGTGTACATGCTGAAAATTCCAGCTCGTTCTAGGACTACTCTGTTTGGAACTTTGTCCTGGCAGGTGATACCTAATTTTCAAACCTGCTAAGGACCAGATGATTTTTATTATGTCCTGATACATAAAACTATAGAATTCGAAGAAGGTGTACTTTCTTCTTCACATAACTGCACTTTTAGGAAGAATAACACTAATAACAGGATATTTACACATTTCTCTCATTTATTTAGCCATGAAATTATAACTGAGATATAACAGCATTTATCTTATCAATGACCGTCATTTTCTATATTAATAAAAAAAATTTAAAAAATGAGATTGAAGCAACTTTACCTGCAGAAGTTAACATTGTCCATCAGAAGCCAGTCTCCAGATTGTAAAGCTTGAATCAGCATCCCATCAACCCATTCGAAAGTACCATGTCTGCTGTTGTTCATAAACTGAACCTGCAGCTTGAAGTGCCGAAATTCTTCCACTAGTCTTGAGAACTCTGAAATAGGGGAGGGCAAATGCTTCTAGAAAGGTAAATTTCATTGAATGAACACAACAGAATTTAAAATGTTCAAGTATTATTCCTAAGAAATAAAAATAATTGGAAGATTGGCTTCCTACTGTGAAGATTTCTTCTTCAAGCTGAATGGCACCCACAGATGTCTTAAGAACATAAGAACTATACTATACTATACCAAAGGCCTACCTAGTAAAGCATTCTCTTTTTACCGTTGTCAATCATTTACCTATGGGAAGCCCACCAACAGGACATAAGCATGACAGTGCCTTCCTCCACAATCTACATAGCCATAATACTGGAGGGACTAAGACATATCTATGGAACTATAACTCCCCATAGGAGCCTGACAGGGTGGATTTGATTTAAATCAAAAAAAATCAGAGGGTTGTGGGTTTGTTGTTGTTGTTGTTGTTTTTGGACAATTTAAATAAATCATTTTTTAAAATTTAAATCATGATTTAAGCCAATTTGATTTTTACCCACCAGTCTTGCCATCCGCATAGGTATGGTCACAATCCCTTCTTAAGAGTCTGCTCTCAGGTCTGAAACCCCTTCGACGAGCACACAAAGATCTTTCTATTCAGACACTAACTGGTTGCTTAGGATAGATCATTTAATGGTGAGCAGTATATGCTTTCTTTTCATCTTCATTTTTGTAATGGGTTGTAAACGGTTTTAATTCACTGCTTATTTTTAATATAATTTATTTCTGTTTAAGTCAGAAGACGTTAATATAAGAAGTCAACACGATCACCTATTATCTGTTTTACCTATAGCTTTTTATTTCATGTTGGCTACTGCTGCACTGGAAGAAAGATGGATAAAATCAAATAAAAACCAAAACAGGAGCTAGTGACAGTCCCATCCTCCATCCAAATTTGCAGCCTCCCCACTGTTTTCAAGTCAGGTATAATTTTGTACACCTTATTAAGTTAACTATCAGCAAGGTAGGCAGGATTCACACATTCATCATGCTATTTTTAGTGTCTTCTCTATTTGTATATACTTCTTCCCCTAATAATTTTTATCTTCCTTATTCATATATTTAAAATAAAGAAAATGGAATCATTTCCTATGGTTTCCATGCTCACCTGGCTTCGAGTAGGAGCTGATCTTGGTATTCAGTCGCTGGACTAGGGCAAGGACTCCTTCTAATTTATTCACCAGCTCAGTGGTGATAGTTCGATTGCTCTCCCCCAGAGCCTTAGGTTTGAAGTTAAGGACAAAACTACTCCAGGCACGCAACACAACTTCAGCATCATCTGGACAGATTGCAGTGAGGAGGAGGCTGTCCCTCAGAAGCGTGCTCACGACATTCTCTACCTTCTCCAGCAAGCTGTTCCATGGCCTAATGATGTCAACCTAAGGAATATTCATTGTACCGATAGCATACATTAAACATAAATGTTATCCAAATAACCAGAATATAAACACTGTGTTATTTGAGCAGAACTAATCCTGCCAAATGATTCTTCAGTAAAATGCATTTCCATCCTTCCTAGAATGTTCTATAGGCTGATATATGTACAGTCGTGTCCCGCTCTACGATTGCCCTGCATTACGACGAAACCGCATTACGACGACATTTTTGCGATCGCAAAACGATGGTCTGAATAGGGGTTTTTCGCTTTGCGATGATCGGTTCGCTGCTTCGGGAACCGATTCTTCATAAAACGAGAATTTTAGAACAGCTGATGACCGTTTCAAAATGGCCACCGGGTAAATAAAATGGCTCCCCGCTGTTTTCTGGGATGGATTCCTCGCTGCACAGGCACCGAAAATGGCCGCCCTATGGAGGATCTATAAGAAGTCAACACGATCACCTATTATCTGTTTTACCTATAGCTTTTTATTTCATGTTGGCTACTGCTGCACTGGAAGAAAGATGGATAAAATCAAATAAAAACCAAAACAGGAGCTAGTGACAGTCCCATCCTCCATCCAAATTTGCAGCCTCCCCACTGTTTTCAAGTCAGGTATAATTTTGTACACCTTATTAAGTTAACTATCAGCAAGGTAGGCAGGATTCACACATTCATCATGCTATTTTTAGTGTCTTCTCTATTTGTATATACTTCTTCCCCTAATAATTTTTATCTTCCTTATTCATATATTTAAAATAAAGAAAATGGAATCATTTCCTATGGTTTCCATGCTCACCTGGCTTCGAGTAGGAGCTGATCTTGGTATTCAGTCGCTGGACTAGGGCAAGGACTCCTTCTAATTTATTCACCAGCTCAGTGGTGATAGTTCGATTGCTCTCCCCCAGAGCCTTAGGTTTGAAGTTAAGGACAAAACTACTCCAGGCACGCAACACAACTTCAGCATCATCTGGACAGATTGCAGTGAGGAGGAGGCTGTCCCTCAGAAGTGTGCTCACGACATTCTCTACCTTCTCCAGCAAGCTGTTCCATGGCCTAATGATGTCAACCTAAGGAATATTCATTGTACCGATAGCATACATTAAACATAAATGTTATCCAAATAACCAGAATACAAACACTGTGTTATTTGAGCAGAACTAATCCTGCCGAATGATTCTTCAGTAAAATGCATTTCCATCCTTCCTAGAATGTTCTATAGGCTGATATATGTACAGTCGTGTCCCGCTCTACGATTGCCCTGCATTACGACGAAACCGCATTACGACGACATTTTTGCGATCGCAAAACGATGGTCTGAATAGGGGTTTTTCGCTTTGCGATGATCGGTTTGCTGCTTCAGGAACTGATTCTTCATAAAACGACAATTTTAGAACAGCTGATGGCCATTTCAAAATGGCCACCGGGTAAATAAAATGGCTCCCCGCTGTTTTATGGGATGGATTCCTCGCTGCACAGGCACCGAAAATGGCCGCCCTATGGAGGATCTTCGCTGGACGGTGAATTTCCAGCCCATTGGAACACATTGAAGGCCCACTCATTTACGTCGTAATGCAAGGCACCACTGTATATATATGGGGGTATGGATTGTGGTCTGTTCTTATTTATATGAGTGGGAGAAATTATGCAGTCACCTAATTATGCTGCCTAATTTCCCTGACTCATATAAGTAAAGGCAAAAAGACAGAAAGAGTCTTCTCTCTACACATACTCTACAAATGTGTTGAAACAATTTCGCTAGACTGACAATGGCAAACCATAGCCAGTCCAAGAACTGCTTACCCTGTCTACCCACAACAAAGAGATGCACACAGTGTTTCCCAGGTACCTTTTGAAAAAGGGGGAAAGAGTAGCCTATCAGCATACAGATCAAAATGGTGGGGGTTACAGCTCCAAAAGAGAAAGCCACTTTCTGGAGTTTCACAACTTTTGCTCTAATACTCATTTCGCAGAAAGTAAACAAATCTGAGAGACAAGTAACTTGTCAAAGAAACTAACTTTAAAAAAAACCAAAAGTTGATTCTGAGCGACATACATCATCTTACAAAACATGACAAAATACACTTTCCACAGAACACAGTCTGACGATGCTCAGAAATGCCCATATACACACCATACACAAGCATACACAAAATGAAACTAAAAAAGCAAATCAATTAAACACACACACCACATTGGCAAGCCTCCAGGAAGTCCTGACTAAAAACTCTTATCCTTGTTTTTGTTCCTGCATCACCATTTCCTGAGAAAGCCTCCAAGGAACATATGGGGCTGAGAGGCCTAGCTGTCACTTTGATGCATGCCAGTCTCCAGCTTAAAATTTATGTGTAAACCTTTCTTTAAAAAATCAGAGGTAATAAGAAACCTGGTGAACATCAAGGGAAGATATATACAGATGCCATGCTGGAGACTCCAACACTGAACCATGATTCAGTGGGACGTAAACTTGACCAGGTTTCAGGTAAACCTTGGTTTAATGTTGAGTTGACCAAATTTCAAGATGAACTGCCAAATCACTAAAGCTGGCTTTGCCCACTCATTTACTTCATTCATTCATTCATTCATTCATTCATTCGTTCATTCATTCGTTCATTCATTCTCTCTTTCTCTCTTACATACACACACATTTTGCCCATTCTCTGACTTACACACACATACACACTGTTTGAATCTGAAACATTTTTATTTATAGGCAGGCAGGCTCCCAAAAGACGAAACACACACACACACTTACTTGCTCAAATCCACCTAGTAGTTCTGTAGTATCCATAGAACTGTTCATCGGCATAACCTTTAACTGATGACCTGTTAGGTATGCCAAGAGCTGCACAAGGCTAGTCTTGCCAGCAGCTGCAGGGCCCACCAATATGACCATCCAGCTCATCTGGACGCATTTCATGATGGATTCCAAAGGCTGGAGTGAATTGTGGAGAAGTGTAAGATTTCTGCCAGGAGGTGGAACATAGTTGGCCCGGGAAAGACTTGAGAAACCAACCTTAAGCAGAATTGGAAATAAAAATGCAACTCCATTAGCTCATCTGTTAAGGTGATTTTTTTAAAAAAAAATGCATCAAAGCAGCTGCCTTTTTCCCCACACTCACCTGAACATCATAAGGAGTGATGTAGAACTGTCTTGTTCCCATGTATGGACTAGACCTCTGACCAAAATATTCCTTGAATAAAGCCACTACCTAAATTAGGTAAAAGAAAAAAGGCAGGCTACATTTGAGGCCAATGTTGAAACACCTTTTCATCCTCACCATGAACTACGTACTGTATTCCAAATGGCACAGATCCATTTAAAGTATTTTATTTTTTTAACCCCACTTGTCTCCTAAAAAGGAACTAAAAGTGGCTAAGGTTTTACACAAAACGTCTTACCCCTCAACAGGATATATGGCAAAAGGGTGCTGAAATTTGTTATTACCAGATTCAGAAAAGAAATCTGTCCTGTTGGTAAATGCCCAGATGTATTTGTTAGAAAAATATACTGATCTCCTTCTCCATTTCAACATGTATCCAATGCATTTCTCTTTTATTTCTCATCACTAGTTTCAAAGCATAAAAACCTGAAGCCAATAGAAAGTTAACTTTCACAGGTGCTTTGGAAAGTCTCTTTCGCCTCAGCTGAGGTAAGGGCCATAGCCTACATCAAAGCACTCTTACAAGGACATTAGAGTCTGTCCAGCCTTAAAGTCTGAAGCTAAATACACAATAATGACCAGCAAAGGAAGTAACAATTTACTGGTGCCAGATAAACAAACAGCTTTGTCAGCATCCCATCCTGAATGTTTATCATATACGGAATCCAAAATCAAATATATAACATGTGAAAGCTGCCTGATCACATTTACACAATAAGCCTTTTGTCTCTGTCAGGTCACCACTGCCCAGGGAGTGACAAGAATGTATCAAGGCTAACTTTAAGGCGCCAAGGAAATGGTAACATCAAGACACAGACGGGGCAGTTTAAGCTGCCTATGGGGAACAGAGCTCATTGTTCTGCTGCCGAAGCACTGTAAATCAAAGCATCGTCTCTGCAGACTTTTGAGAACTGCTTCTACAGTTCAGAATGCTTAAAGTAGGCTGTATCCATGTAGTGTTTCAAATAACACAAAAAAGTGTGGAAATCAAGAGTTCTGAGTTTTTTGCAATAAGACCTTCACGCGGCCTTACCTAACGAGGCTGACTCTGCAGTCTTCGCGCTCCTTACCTTCTCTTTGTCTGCTTTGGTTCGCATTCTTTCCCCATATATCAGAAACATATGTTGGCCTGGGCTATAACTTCCAGGGGACTGGTCAACAAGCATTAGCTGGCACCATCGAAACAGGTCACGCAGGTTAAATTCCCAAGGTGCGCCTTTATGCCCCCACTTCTTCTCAATCATAACTTCGTGTTCAATCTAAATAAAGTACCAGTTCAACAGATTACAAATCCTTATGGGCTTCCACTTTTAACAGATGAAGGAAGAGCAAGCCGCTGTGCTCTCTCTCGCTCTTTCTCTCTCTCCACACACCCACACTCACACTTAAATCCCACAATTCCTGACCTTTCATCATACTGGTAGGAACTGATGGAAGCTGTCGCCTAAAACAAAGGGAGGGGACCCAGTTGGACCCTTGTAACAGATCATTAAAAGGTTCTCCCACACATTACACCCAATAAGACTACATAAAGAATATAAATGTACTAATTCTACTGGTGTTGGATGCCCACAAGACACATAACAACAGCTGCCCATCTTTTACAATCTTTATGCTCATATCAACGAATCTTCCAAGGGAAGCTTCCTATGAAAGATTAATACAGAGTTCAAAGCATTATATTTACCTTGTTGTTAAATTCGACCATCCTTGCAATATTATCTTTACCAATGGCAGGAAACAGGGTATCCCCAATGTACTCCATATCAGCTGCAGAAAGTGGGTCCACAAAAACCTACACAAATTAAAATAAGACACAAATAGTCTCAGAAGAATGTTAAAAGGTGGAGCTGACTCATTCCAATCAGAAACGTCAATCAGTTGTTAGGACTGAAAATCTAGGGCAATAGAAAGAAGTTCATTTACTTACTATGCTGTCCCTTAATTAATATTTTAAATACAGTGCCTATATGGAGATATAATGAGATTGGAGGGAGTAGTCCTGCCCGTCTACTTCATTAAAAAAAAAAACCACCACTGTCAAATTAAAGCACAGTAAATGATATGTATATAGTGGTGCCTCGACTTACGACTGTCCCTACCTACGACCATTTTGACTTACAAACAGCTCCGGCAGCAAAATTTTGCTTTGCCTTGCGGCTGGAGCTTCCACTTACGAACACAAAAAGGCAGGAGAAAAAAAGGTGGGAAATTCAAATTCTGTAAGTTGAGGCACCGGCCAGAGAAGCTGAGAATTGGGCGGCAGGAAAGAAAGGGAGCCTCAAAGGCTGGCCGAAGGGAATGGGGCCGCGACCGGAGACCTGGCCGGGGCGGATCTAGGCAGGTGGGCGACTACTCCTGAGCTTCCCTCCCTTCGGGGTGGCAGACTCCCGGCTCCCACTCGGCCCCCTCTGGGCGAGGGGTTCCCAGTCAAGGGCAACGGCCCGGGCGCCTCTTCCAGACGGAATCCCCCCGTCCCCCCGCCACCTCCTGCTCCACCGCAATTTCTCTCCAGGCAGTAGCGCTCGGCCGGTCGGCGCGGAAGCGGTGCCTCCTGCTCCGCCACGGCTTCCCTCCGGGAAGACCAGATTACTCATGAACATATCTGAACTTGATTATGGGTTCAAATGTAGATTGCAGAGAAAATGTGAAATGTCACAGAAATCCTCCCCCCACCTAGTGGTAACACATACGCCATTCCTTGTAAATTCCACCATTCAGAAAATGAAGAGTTCTATTAGGAAACTTATTCATTGATGTTAATTCAAATGATTACAGCTCCTATCAAGTAAAGAGGACAGCTGCTCTTCTACTTAGGCTTCGCATTTTTAAGCTATAGCACAATTTTATCTATCCCCTGAATTAAAAAGAATTCAATCTTATTTCAGCAGAACTTAATCAGCATGGAAAAAGTTAAAGCTAACTGACTTGTAGATTAAAGTGCCAGTGTTTATTTAATACTAACTTATAAGAAAGGAAAAACAGGAATGGTTTTAAGCAAAGTTACAGACTTGCCTGTGTGAATCTGTTGAGAAAGGACTTTGGCAGACCCTTTCTGCCACCTCCTTCCCTGTATGGATTCTGGCATCCAAAAATCTTTGTCATTTTGTGCTGCACATGGAAACTCATCCCCAACTCAGGGATATAAATCTCTGCCCGATGGTCAAGACAGGCATTCAGGCCTTCTAGCACGGACTGAGAAGCCAAGTTTAGCTGTTTGAGAAAAATCATCAGAAAAATTAAGATCCTTCATGATCTTCACAACACACGTATACACACACATTTTCACACATTCTTTCCCTTAGTCTTTGTCCATAACTGTTTCCTAGTCCTCTCTGATTTTCTCAATCTCACAGGTTCATATGACAGATACGAGTTAATGGGGGTCACACCAGTTCCAGCGGCAACCAGCTTTTAACTCAACTGCAAACTTTAATGATCATGATGAAACCAATTTTTTCCACTTTTTCCAAAAGCACCCATCTGACTTTTTGTACTAACTCTGGACAGTGAAAGCAGGAAAAAAAATCAACCAGGTTAGCATTGTTTGTATCTGAGAAATTAGCCAAAAAGACAGGTTGCCCTTGTCCTGGAATACCTTGATGCTAAAAGCTAAAGAATGCATGAATTTGTCTGTAGACGTACACAACATGTAGTGTTCCATAAAAAGTCATACTACTGGAATAACAAGGAACAGCAGACTGCTCTAACGTGGCTTCATCAGCAAAGAAAAAGAATGTACTATAATTTTTGTTTTAAGTACAAAATTACATTTGGTGCCAGAACACCTGCAGACCTTATTCTTTTTTTTAAAAAGTGGAGGAAGAATAACAGAAAAGCCATTCTCTGTACGATACAAAGTGGAACTCACTTCATCTAATACAATCCAGTGTCCAGCTTTCAAAGCTGCAAGTAAGGGACCATCACGCCAGGCAAATTCTCCTCCTTTGCCTCCCTCCACAGGCAGGTCTGTGCCAAATAAATCTGTGACGTCCTTGTAAGAAAGAAAGAAAAGCCAAATGTGTTTCCAAATATTTCTGTAAAACTAGTGATATTTTAGGGGAAAAAACACATCTAGGGATGCAGCATATTTTAAAAACTAACATTTTTTAAAAAAGTGTAATTTAGAGTAGCAGGAACTGGTTCTCACTTCGGTCAATTCAGTGCATTCTATACCCAAAACAAAACTAAAAAGATACTGCTTTTAAAAAGTATTAAGTGGCATGCTAGGAACAAGACACTTTGAATTTGTATTTCAAAAGAGTCCATTTTGTTCTCCCTGCTCTCTCTTGTTGACGGCTGAAATCCTGTTGCTTAGCATATCAAGACACCGGGCACTGCAGGCCCATTGGAATCAAGATCAGTGCATTCTATACCCAAAACAAAACTAAAAAGATACTGCTTTTAAAAAGTATTAAGTGGCATGCTAGGAACAAGACACTTTGAATTTGTATTTCAAAAGAGTCCATTTTGTTCTCCCTGCTCTCTCTTGTTGACGGCTGAAATCCTGTTGCTTAGCATATCAAGACACGGGGCACTGCAAGCCCATTGGAATCAAGAGAAGTTATGGAGGAGTTCACTCATCCAATAAATCCCCACTGATTCAATGGGCCTACTTGAGCGCAACTTACTATGCCAAGACACAGGATTTCAGCCGCTGTATACGAGACTTACTTATGGAGGAGTTCACTCATCAAATCCCAACTGATTCAATGGGTCTACCTGAGCGCAACCTACTATGCCAAGATACAGGATTTCAGCCGCTGTATACGAGACTCTTTGAAAATGTTTCCATCCTTGTCACTGTTAGAGAAGAGAAAGGAACCCTGGTAATTCCCATTACGCAGGGAATATCTATGCTGCATGTCCGAAGGGCACCACCTGGCAGGCCATCAGTCCCTGCCTCCTCCAACTCCCACGCAAGACCCTTGGAACCAGCTGCTGGGGGATCCAAGGTGGGCATGGGACGGGAAAACCCAACGAAGGTGAGGCAGCTGCTTCTGAGGAGAGTCAGGGAGGGGGAACCTCTCTGCAGCAGAGGTCTATAAGTCCTAGAGGAGGCAGGGGGGCAGCTGGTCGGAAGGAAGACAAAACATGACTGCACACAGCAGGTGAGTCCTTGGACCCAGAGGCTCAGTAGGAGGTAGAGGAAGTTCTCAGCACCAAGGAGGTACCATAGAGCCCACAGGGGACTGGGACTACAGCTACCAACAGGAGCGCCGGACAGGGGTCCTTGCTGAGCTCTCCATACGCCAAGGTCAAGGCAACACCCAGCCTTGAATGGCCACACCCAGCCTCGATGCTGAGGCCAGGCCAAGCGGGCCCCAAGCCTACGCAGAGACAACAGGGGAGATGAAAAAAAGTAGCAGCACCACCAGTGGTGTCTCCCACAGCAGCTGCCGCCTCCTCTGACGCAGCAGCCCCTGCTGAGCTTGGAAACGTGACCTCACTAAAACATACAAGCCAACTCTTCTCAGGGCTCTCACCTTCGGTCGGTCATGGAGAATCCCATTAAAGGACACAAAGGACTCATGAGCTCCAAGGGGAGCTAACTCGGAGCACAGACCAAGCTGAGACTATGCAGCGGCAAGTGCTGTCAATTTCATCCCCAAGTCCAGTAACAGGAGTGGCGCCAAGTCCTGAAGCTGTTGCTTCCCCTCCCCTTGTTCCAATAATCTCCGCTGAGCCTGACGTGGACTATGTGAAGTTGATGGATACGGGCAAGGAGGACGGGTTACCTGCCAAACTAGCAAGGGGTGGGAGCAGTGGGAATCACACTGTGCTTTATTCTTATTCAGCACAAGGGAATCGCACGAATAACATTTTAAATATGTTGCCTCTTCACAGAAATCCCCTTTCAGTTATATACTTTGAGCAAGATTTAAGGGAAAATAACATGAAAGAGATTGTCTGGTGTCTGTGGACGGTGGCGTGAGCACTCCATGGACAGTTAACATAACAGGGACTGCTCTGAAACACCTTCATTCCAGTGTTGCCTCTGCAGAAAATATTCCAAACCTGTCTAACCTGTAATGTTTTGTGAATCTAAGCGAGAAAAGTAAAGAAGAAACAGCAATTTCAAAAACCAGGCCAGACAGAAGACTATTTAAACTGTATGTGGCTATTTGAGAAGACCCAAAAAAAGGCTCTTGAACTAGGCAGAGGAGTTAGGAGGGCTTTCTCAGATGAGTCAAAGTATCCAATAATGAACAAAGACCTCACATTTAATCACAAAGGTGGAAGGAGAAACAAAGCCTGGACACCCTATAATCTCACAAAGAGAACAGATGAGTAGAGACACACATTCTCTAGAATCGGTGGTTCCCAACCTTGGATAACTGAGATGTTCTTGGACTGCAACTCCCCCAGACAGTACGGCTAGTGGTGAAGGCTTCTGGGAGTTGTAGTCCAAGAACACCTGGATTACCCAAGGTTGGGAACCACTGCCCTAGAACATGCACACTCCCTGTTGACTGACAAGAAACACCTTTACTGAATGGAATTCTTCAACGGCAAACAATCGTACTGACGTAAGCATCTAAATATCCTCTCCTTTCCCAAACTCACCACTGCATCTCAACCCTAAAGAGGAACGCCTGACGCCTGAAGTACAGCTTCACAGATTCACCATGGCAGAAATTCAAGTCAGAACTATGGCTACCTGCTTACCGTTTGTTCAGACAGGTTGATTCGAACGAGGCTGTTTCCTGAAGCTTTTGCCAAGGCACCAACGAGGCTTGTCTTCCCAACACCCGGAGAGCCTTCCAGCAGAATGGGTTTGCTAAGCTGCAAGGCTCGTAACAACCGCTGGGCATTCATCGCTGTGGTCCCCGCATTCAGAGCATAGTCCGAGAGACTGTTCTTCTGATAAACAGGGCCTACGGGACAGTAAAACAACAACAACAATGAGATAAAATTAGATTCCAGGTTGAGAGTACAGCAACACATTTTAATAAAAACTCTTCTAAAAGAGAAGGCTTGGCATAAAACAGGACAATTTAGAATACACCCATCCAGTGCTCCAGCAGTGTCACCATTACTCCGTCCTCACTCTAAACTGGTTAGCTGCTCTGTCTCACCAGAACAGTCAACCGGTCCTTAGTGGGCTCACATTAGCACCTTTATTAGACCACTAACATCCCACACACAGGTATTCACTTCTGTGAGTCCTGCAGGAGTCTTCATCAGACTGGGTGTTAGCTCTGAAGGGTGCAGGAAACAACGGAAAAGTTCCAGACACCTTGTTTCTGCACACACACACACCAGCTCTGTAATGCCCAGCCTGATAAAGAGCCCTGCAAGACTCAAAAGCTAGCATCTGTCTGTAAGGTTATAGCAGTCTAACTGAGGTAAAATTTATGCTTGTTTTTTGATTGTGTATAACAATCACACTTTTCCTTTTTTCCTCCTTTCATTTTATGGTGTTTTTGCATGAAAGGTCTTTCAAAATGTTCCAGAATCTTAAGGTTCTCCCAAACCTACTGACATCTCTCCTGTGAACAGGTGGTGCAGCTTTGGCTTTAAAAAAGCCATGGCATTCATGCTGAACACCTAATGGGCAACAGTGATGCTTTGCACAAACACTTTAGTCTGCAGTTACAGTATGCATTCAGAGTGAATGTTTGAGTTTCCCCCTATGTAAACCCCGGTGTGCGGAAAGCTAGCACTTCCAAGAGAAAACTAGGCAAAATGTTTTGCCCCTGATTGGCTAGCTTTCAATATGGAGGAGGGAGCTGTTTTGACATGGTGGGGCTTTTAAACAGGCAACAGTCAGAAGTGCAGTCTCAGGAGCGCAGCACCACATTATTTTGCATCAGTAACACTGCAGAAAATGAGAAAGGGAGGGAGAGAGGGAGGTCTTCTTACCTTTGGGTATAAAGAATGGGTGAATTCCTACACAGTTCTCCATCCAAACCATTTCCCTGTCCCTCTCCAGGTCATAGATTCGCAATTCATTCCTCTGGTCCTCAGTGAGGTCCACAATTTGGGAGAGCGTTCCACAGAGATAGTCCAGACATTTTTCACGAGCCAAAGCAGTCAAGTTAGGGGAACAAGACATGGTGCCTGCATTACAAAGGAAATTAAAGCAAGTTAAACATCAATGGCAGCTTGGCACGTACTATTAGTATGTACTTGGCATGTACAGGAAATTAAAGCAAGTTAAACATCAATGGTGGCTTGGCATGTACGGTACTATTACTTGTCAGGTGGCAATTGACTGGCAAACATCAGCCACAATTCACCCATTCATAAAACAGATTGCTTGCACCCCGAGTAGACGTTGTCTAGAGGGGCGGGGTAGAAATTGAATAAATAAATAAATATTACTTGTAAGGTGGCAATTGACTGGCAAACCTCAACCACAATTCACCCATTCATAAAACAGATTACTTGCACTTAGTTAGGACTCAGTTTGCTATTTTTGCTCTGCTCCCAACCCAAAAAACTAGATTTAAATTCACTTGTATTGGTCATCCATAGCTAGGAAGCAAAAATAAGGGGGTGGGGTAAAATGGGATGGGGTCTGAATGATTATGACACCATGGTAAAGATAAAGGTTCCCCTTGACATTTAGTCCAGTTGTGTCTGACTGTAGGGGGCGGTGCTCATCCCTGTTTCCAAGCCATAGTGCCAGCGTTTTGTCTGTAGATATATATATTTTAATTGTATTTTAATTGTACATATCTTTATTGTATTTTAAATGCTGTAAGCCGCCCAGAGACCTTTGGGTAGTGTGGGCGGCCTATAAATTAAATAAATAAATAAATAAATAGACACGGAACGCTGTTACCTTCCCACCAAGGTGGTACCTATTTATCTACTCGCATTTTTACATGCTTTTGAATTGCTAGGTTGGCAGGACTTCTATGAAACCATAGAAAAGCCTAAAGATATTACCTGAACCTATTCCATCCACGTAGACCAAACATGCAGCATGGACAAATGTCGTCGCTGGAGAGATGCTAAGCAAAGGGTACTCTTCTGACACCCCATCTTGTGCCATAGCATTCATGAAGCTGACCCAGGACAGGACATCTCGGACACTGAGAATACACTGGCGCCCAAAGTCTTGGTTAGTCAGCCATTCTATGAAATCCATCATGAGTTCTGCTATATCTTTTCCTGGGGCAGAAGAAGAAAAACTGATTAAAATGTACTGGCCAGAATCCAACTGAAAAAATCGTACCGACATGACTCCACTGGCATAAATTCCAGCTCTGAGCTGCCACGTGTGAAAGAAGGAAGCACAAGTCTCTGCTGTTACTGGTGTGCCATAGGAAATGCCTATACAGTGGGGACTTGACTTGATAACTTAATCCGTATTGGAAGGAGGTTCTCAAGTCAAAAAGTCTGTAAGTCAAGTCTCCATTGACCTACAGTGCATTGAAAACCGATTAATCCCGTAACAGGCCGTTTTTGTTCCATTTTGGTTTTTTTCTGGTCTGTACGTCAAATCTCAGTCTGCAAGTCAAACCTAAATTTTGCGGCCAGAGAAGTCTGAAATTCCAGCTCTGAGCTGCCACGTGTGAAGAAGGAAGCACAAGTCTCTGCTGTTACGGGTGTGCAATAGGAAATGCCTATATCAGCTTCTTAAGCTGAGGCAATTCAGGGCCGAGATTTAAACCTGCATAGCTCTTACAACTGGTGAGACTTATAGTCTCTAGTGTAATTAACCAGATTCTGGTCAATGGCAAACAGTCTTGTAGGGACCTCTTTTTAAGATACAGCTGTATGACTATGAGACTTTACAAAATGAAGCACAAAGAATGCAGAAATTTCTGCAGACAGGTCTTTCTAGCAAAATTTTAAAACTTACAAAATGCACTTGAATATTTCATTATTTGCAAATATTGAATGATACATAAAAATACTACAAGAATATTACTATATACAATTTTAAAGACGACACATTGGTATGCCACTTAGGCAGTGCATTAAGACATGCTTTGCTTCCCATGTAAAACAGTCTATATTTGCTCAACTTTAATCCAGAGGATCCGTGACAAAAATATCAAGTATTTGGCCTCATGCAGAAAGCACAGCAAAGAAGCACAGTCTAGCCATCACCGTTTCTTCCATCCTTCACTCAAACTTTGAACTCTACGGCTCTAGGTTAGGTACACAGATCACCACCTAAGCCACGGCCAGTCCCTATACGGTGGACAGGAAATAACGAAAAATGACTACCTGCATAATCCTCAGACCTATAAGGACAAGAGGAGGAAAAATGGGGCCGTTTCAAGTGTATACCCTCTCATAATTGTAAATAAGCCCTTGGATATCTTCAATGCCTTTCTGGTACGGACAGACGGATATGTTCCTATAGGCATCTTCTTCAATGCATGCAACAGCCTGGCTTGGCTACAGCATCCAGTCACTGGATCCCTGTCTATATCTGTTGCTTCCCCCTCCCAATATACAAGGAGATCAAATTGCTCCTTTCTTAACCACTAGCCATGTACCAACTTAAGGTTAAGCGACACAAAGCCAACTCATTTTCTATTTTTTTAAAGTATCTTACACAGACGTGTATGTCAATTTCACAACCTAGGTAGGCAGCATCTGACATGCACATCCCAGTCTTATAAATTCAACCAGACGTCAACTCCCAGATTTTGCCTGAAACTTTAAGGGATGAATCCAAGTGACCCAAGATGACAATTGCTGTCTCTGCCCACTGCAACTGCACACTTGTGCCTTTCATAGCAGGGCTTATCTGTTAAGAATATTTGACAGCTCAGAGGAAAACGGACAGCAGTAATTCAGAATGTTGCTAACTTCTCAGCTTTTTGAATTGAAGCTGCCTTTCAAAAACCAGAAACTCTTTCAGAAGGAAGTCCCACTGGGATTTGGGGAGAGATATGGAAGCTGCCTGTTAAAGAGAGAAAACTGCCAGCTCCAAGAGAGCCCCAGATACTTTGAAGGGGCTCAGACGCTTCAGTGAATAAAAACTACTGACTCAGAAATGGCAGTCTCACTCTCTTTGGCCCCTTGTCATCTCTTCTGGAGACTGAAAGATTTAGTTCACTAACACTACATTTTCTCTTCTCCATCTGGCCCACAGACATGGAAAACCCTCCCTGATTAAACTAGGAGAACAGAGCAGACTTAGAGACAAAACCTTTGAGGTTGGGAAAGACAAACTGTCTAAATGAAATGGATGCAGAATGGAAATCCCTCGACCAAGGCTCCCAAGAAATCTGCCTTCACCAAGTGCTAAACTAAGGTTTGGGCAGTCAGAAACCCCTTCTTCTGGATTAATCTCTTAACTCCAAGGATCCTATCTGCCAAAGGAAGTGAGGCCGCTACAATTGCCAAATTGCCCTTCTGACATAAGGGGTGAGGACGTCAAATTCCAGGAGGCATCTAGAATGGCAATTATATTATCTAACAGTTCACAAGCCCTGGCCTCCTCTATACCTGAAGACATCAAAGAGGCCACTACCAACACATCTCTGTTGACCTGCACCACCCCCTTCAGTGAGCTCTATTTAATAACCAAAATGAAACATTTTAGAATTTTTATGTTCCTTTCCTAATTAGTTCCTTTGTACTAACTTCCATGTTTGAATTTGCCTTCCAACAGGAACAAGTTCTGTCTCAGGCCATTGTCCTGTCCAAGTAGCTTACTGGTTTACATGTTTTACAATGGTTTCTACACTACTGTTTATTATTGCTTCTTGAGGCACTAATACTGGTGCAGTTTTATGATGTGCCATAAAGTCACATCTGACTCAAAGGCAAATCTAACAAGATTTGGAAGTCTCTCTCTCTCTTCCTCTCCCTCTCCCTCTCACACACACTCAGCTTCTATGGCCAAGGGAGAATTCGAAGGTCTCCTGAGTCCTAATCTGTTACTCTATCCACTATACCATACTGGCAGTCTTTATGATGCTACCCTCCCTCCCAATAAGATAAATAAGGAGTCCTTAGTAATCAAGAGGGGCAAATGAGATTTCTGGCCACTTCACACCACATTTCTCTTTAATACAACACTGGAGGAAGCTTACATAATAGCTTTTCATTACTCACCAGAATTAAACTTTACCTAAAATAAAATATATAGTCACCAACTTGCTAAATATACATCCATGAGATTTACCTTTATCTTTTTTTCTGGTAAGACTGAGCCCAGGATGAAGATTATGTTTTACAATCTGAATTAAATCTTCACGGTTGTTACTCTGTGGACACCATATTTCAGTAAACCTATTACGCAAGGCAGGCGATAGCTGGAAGAAAGAAATCACAACTATCGTTATTTTCTGGGAAGCAATTCAGAGCCCTTTTTTTATTTAAGATTCTGTGGTGTTTATTGGGTGGGTTTTAACGGGGGGAAAGGACTACTCACAAATAATGAGTTTAGTCAGTTTTAACAAATCCATTGCCAGATTTTCATAATAAATTTTTAAGAGGTGGACTAGAATGAGGCTGGGGACATAGTGAAGCAAACATGAATTATTATTGTTATTATTTTTTGGCCCCCAATCCCCTCCCATGAGGGATTCTTTAAAATGTGCTTTCCAGCTCCTCGGTGTCTCCAAATTCCAAATAATGTTATATTAATGCATTAGGAGGATTCACAAAGAAAATGAGATGTGGGGCTTCTAGAATGATTAGGAGGATTCACAAAGAAAATGAGATATGGGGCTTCTAGAATGTTCTTGTCATTGTGTGGCCCACTGCAGATACTGGGAGCAAGAATTAGGCCCTCAGGCCCACCAAAACTGTCCCTTACTCAACTAGATTTACATTTGATCCACTTAAAGCACAGGTAAGCTTTGTATGCTTCAGACACCATCACTGATGTCATTACAGTATTCAGATATGGCAAATGTAACAAATGGAACAGCTATTACCTCTTTTTTCCCGAAGTCACCACCAGGATTCATTGTCGCTAAGATACGAAACTTATCTCCTGCAGTCAGCAATTCAACTTCATCGTCTTTGCTACCTTTTTCAGCTAACACCAGTGTCTTCTCAGTTTCCAGAACACTAGAAGAAAATTAAAGCTCAGTATTTGCTTTCATTCGGCTTCCAAAAGTACATATCAACACTGGAGAGACTTGCTGGTGTAACGCTAACAATCCATGAGAAATCTGGAGTTCCTGTGTTTCTTTGCTATGTGATTTGACTTCTGCTCTAAGCTAGCATAGAAGCAATGAGCTTTGACCAAAAGGCAATGAAGAGTTCACTGAGCAAAAGTCAGTACTTGTCTGTCGAGACCAAGATAGGCAATTACGTACTTCTTTTTGCAAATTGCTAACATCTCACTTCATGCGGCTTCCAAAAGTACACATCAACACTGGAGAGACTTGCTGGTGTAACGCTAACAATCCATGAGAAATCTGGAGTTCCTGTGTTTCTTTGCTATGTGACTTGACTTTTGCTCTAAGCTAGCATAGGAGCAATGAGCTTTGACCAAAAGGCAATGAAGAGTTCACTGAGCAAAAGCCAGTACTTGTCTGTCGAGACCAAGATAGCAATTTGAAATTGCTAACACCCCACTTCAAGCTGATGCTTCAAGCCCGCAGTCTCTGTTCTTTACATAAGCCACAGTTTTAGCTGCAGTACAGCGGTTTAACCACTGTGCCACGAGGCTCCTTCAAGCTGATGCTTCAAGCCCACAGTCTCTGTTCTGGGACTTACATAAGCACGGTTCCTGTGGCTATAATCCTCCCCTCTCCCCTCACCACGTTTTGTAGCACCCAGACTGATTAAAAGTTATGAAAAGCTTGCTATCTCTCTCTCTCTCTCTCTGTGTGTGTGTATTTTACCATAAGCACGGTTCCTGTGGCTATAATCCTCCCCTCTTCCCCCAGCACGTTTTGTAGCACCCAAACTGATTAAAAGTTATGAAAAGCTTGCTATCTCTCTCTCTCTCTCTCTGTGTGTGTGTATTTTACTGGGTGTGTGTTAAACACTGCTTTTTAATCAGACGCTGCACAACTCTAGCATTCAAAGAGGAGTTAGGCAACACTAACAAACGGACAAAGTTAGAAGTTATGTTTAATTTAGGCTCCTGATTAAGAGATAAAGGAAGACAAACAGAATGCAGGGTTTTCTACAGCATACCTATTAAGTCTTTCCAGAACAGAATCATCTGCTAATGAAATCTCATCCATCAGAAAAAAGCTGTTCTCTTTCATTGCTAAAACAAGGGCTCCATCCTGCCATTCAAACAGTCGAGAGCCATCAAACTCCTCCTATTCGAAAGCAACAGAAAAAAAAGAGTTTTTAAATTCTCCAAAATACAGAGCAATGGAAAGTTACTTTTTTGACCATGCTGGTTATGGGAACCTGAGATTTATACTCCAAAAAACAACTGTTCCCAGTTGAGCAATCACATCAGACTCAACTCTCAACTGACCGTGTCCTTTGAATGCTGCCTGACGGGCCGCAGTCCTCCCAGAAAGTCAGAAGTCTCCATGTGCAAGTGGCAGTTCACCGAATGCAGTTTCTGACCTGCTAAAGCAGCAAGTATCTGACAAATAGTAGTCTTGCCACACCTGCATAGTAAAATGTGAAGAGTCAGTTATCTGCTGGCTAACTGCTTGTCGCTCCAAGGCTCAACCCAGAAAAAAAAATACATACGGATATAACAGATAGCAATTTACCCGGTGTCTCCGACCAGAAGTACAGGTTCACCAAATTCCAATGCTCGGCCAGCCAAAATGGCAAGCCTCCTCATCCCTTGGGTCCACACAATGTGACTGAATTTGTCATTCATTATGGACATCCACATTGATGCTTTAGCTGGTCCAACAGGAAGGGGAAAAGAGAGAAACATTAACTCACACAGAAAAACATCAGCATATTAATGAACTCTAGCCAAGCATTATAACTTCTTCCATTAATTTTGGAAACCTACCCAGTTGCTTCTTCACACTTTCTTCCGAGAAGAGATGCTGTGGATCCAATTTCCTCTTGAAGTGTTTTTCAATCACCGTTTGGATAATGTCCACTTCTTGTTGTTTCCTGACTCTTCCTGCTAGAAGCATAAACCCTATGAACGTGAAGACAAAATTAGCAGGCTATCTTCCATGGGTTTAAAGTCAGAGTTCAATGTTTAAGAGGCAGACGCTGAACTCTATAGCTGCGATACAAGTTGAAGAAAGGAACAAAGCCTCACCATCATTTGCTAAATGCTGAAGCCAGTCATAGTCCTTGTCGGTCTGTTGTGCTAACCTGTACCTTTCAGCCCAGCGAAAAAGATCCCGAAGAGTAATGAAGCCATACTTGCCAGCGAACACTGATGAACCTTTGCGGTAAGACTAGAGTAAGAGATAAAGGATATAAAATCAGGATGTCATCTCTAATGTTATCTTCTGTATCCACAACTACTTTTCCATTAGCCTTACAATGCCCACTTTTTCTGATTCTAACCAAAGATAAACAGAATTATGTAACCCTGATACACAATCTGAAGAGGTGAGTAATAGTCTTAATAAAATATCACAAACATAACCTAGCTTAGAAGTCTTCATCAGGCTGGATTTTGGAGCCTCCATGTTTCCCCCAAGTCCCCTAATGCCCAGCCTGATGAAGACTCATGTGGAGTTGACAGCTAGCTATCAGCCACCTTTGTCTTCCTTCTGAGTCTAACTTTCCAAATCAGCCCTTTAACATTTCTGGGTCCAACTATCATCAACGTTCCAGCAGTCACCATCGAATCTGCTGTTGACCAAGACATCCTGGCAGGCATACAAAAGAAACCCTCTCGAGCTGAGAAACACCAATATAAAAACTGAGGTGGCAAACCTGCATTTGGGCTGTACCCTTTCTGAAACAAACAGAAACTCAAATGGAACAGTGGGCACTTAACATGAAGGTTCCTTCTGACTTGGCATGAAAGACCCACCCAATAGTCCAAGAAAGACAGGGATCATGTGACCTAAACTTTAATAGTGAGCTCCTTGCAATAAAACTCTCCAATTCATCCCAAAGGCTGAAAAGGTGTCCACTGAGCAGAAGTAAGGCGGACAAGGAAATATTCCACTCCAGTTGTGCTTAAGTCAAACTGGTGAGTAGAGAAGAGTCCTTCACTTAAACTAGGGTATCTAGCTAGGCCATGTAGTGTCAGGGCCAACAACATCTGATTAAAGTACATCTTACACAAGATGAACTTTATAGCATACCATTCTCGAAACAGGTGTCAGAGAAGATGCTGGGATATTCCAAGTGAAATCACATAGTGGCACGGGTAGTAAAAAGTCCCATAAACTTTAAATATATATATACACACTTTTCTAAACATGGTTAGCACCATTGAAGCTTCTCTGGTTGCACATTTTTATCCATCACAAACTGAAATACTCTCTAACCTTTGTACTACATCTCCAAACTGAGGAACCTGCAGAGGGCCACACAAACCCATGCTCCTCTTTCGTTAAGTTCCAACATCAAAAGACACTCCTCCCCCAACTCCTTTGCCAAAATTACCTCATTAAATAGCAAGCGCTATCTTGTCTGGTCAGCATTAATGTCTTGACTAGGGTAAAGATATTTAAGGGGGGGGAATCAATAAAAATCCTGGGCCAACTTATAAAAACAGTTATCAACAAGAACACCTTGGTCGAAAGCACACTTGGAAATCTTTTTTTTTTAAAGAAAGGAAGAGGAATAGCACCAGTACCTGCAACTCTTGCATGACTTTGACAAGTCTACTACAGTAGGAGGGAGGAAGCTGGCATCCTTTGTGCAAAATTGTTTCCAATTCTGCACTTGGTAGTTCGTCAAAATGTAGCTCCACAAACCTATTTCTGAAGGCTCTGGACAACACCTAAAATTTAAAACCGTTTCAAGATAAATAATTGAAATAAGACTTGGACACGTATGGTTTCTTACTGTCCACTTCCAAGAGACTGACAAGCCATGCATTGTTGCCACTTTGGCATGTACTTGATGGGGCAGAGAAAAGGTGGCTTATTTCAAGCATCACCTTTAATTTAATCCTTTTGCAACTCTTCTGAATCACCCGGCTCACACTATTAAGCCAAGAGCTAGCAGAAAGTCAACACCGGCAGGACCTGCCACAGAAAGATTTCTGTGTGGGGTGCTCCCAGCCAGCCATGCTCTTTACCAGGAGATCCCATTCCATTCCATTCCCATTCTCTCCATCTGTCAATCAGAGGTCCATGGCTACAGGGTCCTCTCAGCCCTCAATGGACTGCTGCAGGTATCCCTGCTCTTTTCCTCGTGCAGCCTCACAAGCCTTAAGAGTCTCCCCTAGAACCACTTGGATAGTGCTGTTTTGGCTACTCTCAGTATCAGAGAACCTTTAGTCCCTGTAGTGTATCGTATATTGACAGAAAAAAATCTGACTTCAGCTAAGGATAGTGGACAAAATCCCATTAGATTACTCCTGCTGGCATGAACTGCAGGCACAAATCTGAGCTGTGAACTGTGCAAGTTCAGAAATCAGCACAGGCATTTGGTGTTACACACCAGACTCAACATATCAGAGAAGAAGCCTAGACAATTTTCAGCTGAGATGTATTTTGATAAGAGTCGCACCAGTGCCATTTTCCCCCAATTTATTTTGGTGCTAACTTGAGTGTCTACATACCTTCCTACCTCCATAGAGCCCTGGAGGATTCTGAGTAGCAAAAAGCATGAATCTTGGGTGAGCTTTGACCGTCTCCTGGGTCTCTGTTATGAACAGCTCTCTGTTGTCATCTAGCAGTCTGTTCAGTGCTTCCAAAACATCAGTGGGCGCCAGGTTTAGCTCATCTAGGATGATCCAGTAGCCCTTTCGCATGGCATCAATAAGGACCCCTTTGGAATATTTACAGAAAAATTACATTAGCATAGTTGTGTGTTTTCCAGTCTGTACTATATTGAAGCAATGGTTGGAAAATCTTTGGAAGCAACATTTCATGATTTTTGCTCGCTCTGCAACTGGAGTGTGCTCTCTCTCTCTCTTTTTTTTTTTGAACTGCAGCACCCAAATCCTGTAAGAATTTTCTCTCTCTCTCTCTCTCTCTTTTTTTGAACTGCAGCTCCCAAATCCTGTAAGAATTCCCCAGATACTGCAGATAACAGAAATGAGGGTGGAGAAGAGCTACTGCTGAAATTAGAAAGACCCCAGAGATTAACATAGTAATCACCACCTTACCTTCTTTAAATATCAGCTTCCCAGATACATCTGATGTGTAACAGCCAATGTACTCTTGGATGTCGGTGTGCTCATGATTGTTAATTCGAACACAATGGTTCCCACTTGCAGCAGCCAACCAACGGATCAAACTGGTTTTACCAATGGAAGTACTTCCTTGAACCAGCACTGGGTAAGTCCTTAAAGAATCAGCAGACAGCAAAGTTAGAGGCAGCACTTCAGAACGGCTAAAAACTCAGAGCTAGAAACAATGGTTGTGGGCAGTCCTGGATAGTAACTGCCCTGCTGCCTCCCTCCTGCAAATCTCATGGTTTCTAGGTCCAAAATTGCCAAGATTACTGGAAAACACAAGTCAGATCTGGGAGTAATACAGTACATAAATAAGAACATGAAATGTGTATACAAGTTTGGTGTATTCCAGACATAACGAAATTCTAACCAGGCTTTTGATTAGCATTTGAAGCATAAGATTATTAATGAAAACAACATATACATTAATGCAAAAGGTGTATTTGGGGGAGGGATTTCTGCAAACAACCCCGATTAAACCGTCGGAATGGACATAAAAAGATATAATTAAGGTCCAACATACCCAGCTGATACAACTCTGACAATATCTCTGAGATTAAGCTTGACTGAAGGTGTGAGTATGTAAGTCTCATTTACAGTGGGTTCTTTATCACCAACTGAAATCCAATATCCCTCGACCTTAATCATTCTCCCTCCTTTAGGCTCTGGCAAGGGCTGGAAAGACAATGGAGGAACAAGACATGCTTATGTTATAAACAATTAATTGCAGAAAATAGTGCTCTCTCTCCCTCCTAAAGCAACATGTACTCCAAGAATATCACGGTATGGTATTTTCCTCATATTTAGTGCATGGGCTCATCACACTACTTCACATCACATTCATACATGGTTTAAAGATTGTGTAATATGCCTCAGCTGGGATGTCTCATGTTGCTTTCACTCTGTGACTAAAAAGGAGCAGTGTGGGATGTCTCATGTTGCTTTCACTCTGTGTGACTAAAAAGGAGCAGTGCCATTTTATTTATTTATTTATTTTTGCTTCTGCTTTTTTTCTTTTTTCTTTTTTTTTTGCTTCTGCCTCTGTCTAACTGCAACCTTTCTATGTTTTCTTAAATTGTGACTAAAACTAGTGAAGAACATTTTGGGATTTTATCCAGTTTTATGTAAGCTACTGTGGCCAACTCATGAGGTGTCACGCATGTGATGATGACACGCCCAGAACCTCAAAAATTAGCTATGGCAATCTGAATAATTCCTCTTGCATTCATGTAAAATCCCACCAGAATTTAGAATGCTACAAAACTCTGTTTCTCAAAAATTAGCTACAATTAATGTTAGCCAGTCACCTACACCAAAAGACCTGAAAAACAGGTGTTAAGACACAAATGATCATAACATACTTCTCACAACTATCATATGTGCAGCATACAGCTAATCAGTCATCTTAACTGTCCTTCCTATGCTGAACTGATGCTATGATAAATTAAGTGCTTCCTTTTTTTGCTCAGTATTTCTCATTAAAAGCAAAGATGTGCAGGCTTTTTCACTAATTTAGTTCATTTTCCTTCCATATATGGAGTGTCAGCTCACACAAGAATCATACAAGTTTCACTAACTGTTTCTGGGAAGACCACATTATTCAGCTGAACTAAATGTCAGGCATGTGAACCTGTGGAGAGTAATGTAGGGTAAAATCTAAAATATAACAAATGGGATGCACAGATTAATTAAACGAAGAGGACATTATTTTAAAAATACTTGCCTGCTTAAGAAGGTTCTTTGTGTTCCCAGACAAAATATATTGGCATATCAATTTCTGAACAACTGGGTAAGATGTACGATCCAGCTGTGTAAGAAATCCCAAGCAAAAGCCCTATTGAAAAGCAAACAAAATTCTCAGTTTCAGAGACTTACTTTAACATTGGAATACCTTTGACTAGGCATTTATTTATATAAAATATTAGAACTTTTCCTACATTCAGTAATAAAGACCGAGAATAGTCACCTCATAAAGTGAGCGCTGTATGTTGTTGCATGGATTAGATGACGCAAATCTTAATGCTCTGCACAGAGTACGAAGGCTGTAATGGGGCCTGTGGCCTGTCCCATCCACCAGTTTTCTTTCACACTCCTTTCTCACAGACAAATAGAAACTGTAAAAGTAAAAAGATGATAAAGCACTTATTTAAATTTTTATTCATCTCAGCCTAATATCTCAATTTGCTGCAGAAACTCTCATCCTAAACCAATATTACCAAGCCCACCTCAGGATGGATAATGATGCAAAAGATTCTATAAGAAGATTCAAATTTTGCTGCCAATTGTATCTTACATAAATCTCAGCCGAAGCAGCAAGGAACCGACTGCAACACCCATCAACACAAACCAGCACAGCCACTTTATCTCATACTAGCCAAAGTAACACGTTCTTGGAGGAACTAGTCCTCTGAGATGAAGGAATTTCAAATGCCTGAGCTGTAAACAGGACAGTTCATTAAGTCACATCGCATGTGAATATTCTTAGAAGTGTTAAACAATTCCATTAAAAATAAGAGGTTTCGGAAGAGTTCCCAGCATAGTAATATGGAACCTCACCACAGAGGCCACAAGCAGAGGCCAGGGTTTCGTCCCTCCTGGAGATCACATTTGAGCAGCAATAACACTAGCACAAGTGATACAATCCTGCCTTAGTATGCTAGCAGGACACTCTAGACGCTGAACAGAATACCGGCCTGAATCTCTGTCAGGGCCAATTATTACTTCAGATTGGGATAGAAGCAAGGCTATAGACAGAAGCTACAGTTAAAATGGAGATATGTAAAGCTTCCAATTAAGGTTTTGTAAAATATTGAGATGCAGGAAATCAGGAAAAAGTCCACATTTGAGATACCATAGTGAATTAAGAGACTGGTACTGAGGAAACAAGAGTTTATCTCAACTTAGTAAAGAGAGATAAAAGTAGGCCAGGATATGTGAACTCTGACACAACTCTTTACATAAATTATTCAATGTTCTGACTTAAAACCAACACAAGATAATGCCAACTCATCCAACAGAGGGAGAGGAACTGTAGCCCATCGGCATCTTGAAGGCCACAAGAGTCACAGCCATGTCAGAGCAATACATTTGAAAATGGAAAAGGCTTTAGAAACAGCGCACTACAAGAAGAATAGGACAAATGAACCTAGTCATCTTTTAAATGGGAACCATTAACCATTCTGTGGCTTTTCTATTAAACAGAGCCTCTCACAGGCATTCACTGACAACAACTATGTACAGTAAGTTGTTGCATATATGAATGCTTGGTGAGTTCTGTATCTGTGTACGTTGTTATAATTTATCAAAAAACACATGCTACAAATAAATAATACACAATGTCCGACTTACTTTATGATCCCTTGCACTACATTTTTGCTCACGTTCAGCCCTTTCAGATAATCTACAACAAGTATCTGGAGGTCTTCTTCATTTTGTAGCTCTTCTACGAAAAGTTCAGTAAACCTGCAAGATGACATCACGACATAAAGTGATGCGTCTGCTTACTGGTACAGAAGATTGATGTTTCCTTATGATGCCAGGTCCAGCCCTAGTATTGGATGTCACCACTAAACTGGCTTTCATGTCATGCAAGGGGGGAAAAAATAAATGAATGAATGTTATGCAAATAGCCTTCAGAGAGGGCTATAGCTTAGTTGGAAAATAAATGGGTGTTTCATAAGGAAGGCCTCAGGTTCAACCTTCAGCACAAGTAGATGAAAAGACCTCTGGTAGCCAGGAGCAGGGACTGACCACAAATTAAGCAAAGTCCAATTTTGTGATTTCCTTCATTCCACTGCAAAACAGACCAGTAATTCATTTGAATGTAACCAGCTTTAGGGGGGAACGGGGAGCCATTTACTACTAAAGACATTTAAAATTTGGATGAAAATTCTTATGCCTGTGAAGCACATCTATTATATACGCACAAGTCTACAGTGAAATGCAATTTAAAATTGTAACTGCGTTGTTGCGATAGTCTGCTGTTCAGAGACAGTGTCAGTATCTTAGGCTTGTCACTACAAATGTAGTGCTTAATAAACACTCACCAGGCTAACACCTATAACGTAATTTTCACAGCTGTTTGCCCAGCTAATCTAGAATGTAAGGATGATGAAGGCTCAACGTGCTTATGAAATCTGCTCATATGCCCAATCAGCATTTTATGCAGCTGTTTTGTCACTTACATGTAATGCAGACTCACCAGACCACAAACAGCAAAACAACGTTTTCCTTTGATTGGTCTCGTGGGACTGACAGCAAAATTCAAATTCCCATTCCGAAATGGATGATTCAAAATAGAAGTGTGGAGAGTTCTGTTTTTGGACTAGAAGTCCCAGAAACATTCAGGTAACATGCAACCTGGGATGTTCTGTAAGGTGAACATCCCCCTCGCCTCTGATTCCAAACTTGCTTGAGCAGAATCATAGCTCCCCAAAAGAGCAAGGATATCTGCCACCTTATTATTATTATTATTATTATTATACTGGATTGAGAATAGCAGCAGAGCCTATTTTGCCATACTGTACAGTATAGTAGCCACCTGCAAGGTTCAGCTACAACATTCACTCTCTCTGTTTGCGCTGTGTCATGCAACCCAGACTAAGACATACATACACATCTAATTCTCAATGCAGGGAAGGGGGCAGAGTTACAAATCGTTATTTTGTAAAAGCAATCGTCCTGTTTTTACCTGTTCCGTATTCCTGGAGGGAGATTTCTTTTTCCAACATCAGTAGCTGGATTCATACAGGCAAACAAACGAAAGCTGGGATGGCGTACCAGTGACTCTAAAAGGAGAACACAAAACCAGCTGCTTTTAGTTCTGTTCACTTCGGAAAAACACACTCCAGCCTAAGACAGCTGTGGAATACGTAAGACAAGATAATGTTGACACAGTCAGTGATTTTCCTGGTGCTTGCCTCTTGTCTACTTTTCCAGTCTACATTTACATACTGTATATTTATCTCTGTTCTTCTACTAAGACATTCAGGATGGCATACATAGAGTTCCACCATTTAATGCATGCAATATCTCTATTTCACATTACAATGGAGTCTCGACTTACGGTCAACTCCACTTATGTACTTTTCAACCTACGGACTTCTCCGGCGGCAAAATTTAACTTTGACTTGCGGCCGGAGAATTGACCTACGGACCAGAAGGGGGAGGTGGGGAAAGCACCAAATTCAAATTTGGCGCTTTCCCCGCCTCCCCCTTCTGGTCCGTAGGCCGTAGCTCATGCCTCAGGATGCCTTGCAGGGCTTCTCTGCCACCATGGGAGGCCTCTTGGATGTCCCCCCACTGCCGCCAATAGTGCTTCGCAGGCACTATCGGCGGCGGCGGGGACCTCCGAGAGGCCTCTGGCAATGGCGCCGAAGCCCTCAGAGTCCTCCGGCAGCGTCGATGGCTGCGGCAGGGCAGCTTCAAGAGGCCTCCGGCATCTGCACTGAAGCCCTCAGAGTCCTCCAACAGCAGCGATGGCGGCGGCGGGGGACCCTTTGAAGACTTCAAAAAGGTAAGGTGGTTTTTTAAATTTTTATTCTACATTTTATGTGTGTGGGGGGGGTGTGTGTTTCTTGGGCGGTGTACAGATTAATTGGTTTTCAATGCATTCCTATGGGGAATGCATTTCCGACCTACGGACTCCGTTCCAGTATGGATTAATTCCGTAGGTCGAGACCCCACTGTAATTAGTTAGTGTAAAAGAATCTTTGTGTTTTTATCCTTCGATCATATAAGGCAGAACATCCATGCAGAAATGATAACAACAAAGACATCCTGATGTAATCAACCATGCTGGATGCCCAAAAAAGCACAAAAAGAGCACATCCTTGAGGCCACAATGACTTTCCAAAATACCATCAGTCAGGTTTTACTTATATATGAACTGCTGGATAGCTCAGTAGTTGAGGTCTCTGGCTGCAGAACCAGAGGTTGGGAGTTCCGATTCCTCACTGTGCCTCCTTGACAAGGGCTGGACTTGATGATCCTTTGGGTCCCTTTCAGCTCTGCAGTTCCAATATGATGATGACGATTAGAATTAATGGAAGATAACTTCACAACCATTTAAAGTTGGTGCCGAACATAGCTGGCCATCCATAAATGTTGCACAGTATGTTCAAGATTCTAGTTTTAGGGTAGAACCTACCAAAAACTCCTTTGGAAGAGAAGCTGTAATGCATATTAATTTCCAAATGTTTCCTAAGCACCCACAGACAAGTAGAAAGAAATCTCATGTCATTAAGGATTAATTAGTAAGAAAAGCTTTGGATAGTATGTAACCGAATATCATTGGGTAGGGCTGAAGGAGACTTTAATCCTTTTGAACAGCTGCTTCACATATAGTACTGGCAGTGGGAGGGGAGTGAATTTAGGAAATAAAAAATGAGGGTTTCTTTTAAATTTCAAAATTCAGTGTGTTGTCAGTAGTTACTCAGTATAAAAAAGAAATGACCACTTCAGAACTTGCAAGTTTTAAAAGTATCTCAAATTTAGCTGAAATCTATAATACTAAAGGAAATACACACACACACACACAATTGGCTGACAGAGTTATTAGACCATGCTTTAGCTTCTCCAGCAACTCATCTTTATTTTTTTTAATAACCACTAGCAAAAAACATTCTGTTACCAAACAGTTAAGCAATTTACAGTCTCCCCTTATCAGGAAAAAGGTGGCTTATGAAAGAAACACAGGGATAGACAAAAAAACTAACTAAAAAAAAAATCAAATACCTGTGTCTCCTCTGTCGAGCAATACCAATGAACCGGATAATCCTTCAAGTAAACCACTTAGACATTCCAGAGTTTCTGCTGCAGCCAAATTAATCTCATCTAGAAGAATCCATTCTCCTTTCTTCACTGCCTGTGCCAGAGTGCCCTTTAAAAAAAAGAGTATTCGAGAATGAATCATCTGACACTCTTCTGAAAATGGATCAAGTTTTACAACCAGAAACATTTTGTCAAAGACTGGCATGGGGGACAAGTTAGGCTTATTCACTGGTATCAGGTGAGTAGTGAAATACAGTATTTGAGGGAGAAGGAAGCCTGCGCCGTCACCTGTGCCAACATCAAGAACATCATACTAACCAATGCATAACTGGCATAATTTCATGAGCTATACAGTGGGGTCTTGACTTGAGAACTTAATCCGTATTGGAAGGCGGTTCTCAAGTCAAAAAGTCTGTAAGTCAAGTCTCCATTGACCTACAGTGCACTGAAAACCGATTAATCCCGTAACAGGCCGTTTTTGTTCCATTTTGTGTTTTTTTTTTTCTGGTCTTTAAGTCAATTTTCACGCTGCAAGTCAAACTTAAATTTTGCAGCCAGAGAAGTCTGTAACTCAAAAAGTCTGTAAGTCAAGCTGTCTGTAAGTCAAGGGTCCACTGTACTCATCTCTATCATAATACTATGCAACTAAGAAAGTAATACTACTATGTATCTATATACTGAACAATCACATACAAAATGATTACCTCAACAAATGCAAAGACTAAAGCATTTTCTGCCATCTTCATCTGCTGTTGGGCATGGCTCAATCGGATACCAAATTCTTCCCACCTTTCCTTCAACAGCGAACCTACACAAACAAAGCCAAATTAAATTGAAAATAATGGGTGAGAATGGATGTAATAGGAAACTACAGCAATCAGTTGGTACAGCAAACAATTCAAAACTGAGTTCAAAACAGAAGCAATGATGTAACTTTTTCAAATCTTGCAAATGAGACTGAAAGCAACCACAGAATAGCTTACGAAGTGGTCCAAATCCAGTACCTGAATTAATCAGTTTCAGACTACAGCTTTCATCCTATGAAATCCTGCTAGCAGAATGAAGCATTAGAATGAATGAACTGAATAAATCAGTGTTAGGTGACTCAAACAATATCTGAGGTCTGGTTACTCCAGAATTATCAAAATATTTTGTTTTGGATGTTCTCCAGAAAAAAAAAATGGCAAAGAGCAAGGGTCCCAGTAATTTGTATATATTTATTTCTAAGTCACTTGAATGACTGTCCTCTGTTTAAACAAATGGGAAAGTCACGCAACATTAGCCGTCTTAAATGTGTTACAACTCCTTCCTTTAAAAGGTCCAGTATGCTAAAGAGAATCTATGAGTCCTAATATATCTCTTGCTGTAAGAGACATACTACAGGGACACCAACTTTTAAGACATCAGTGGAAAGCTAAAGATCTATATATTTTTAAAACAGAACTGTTTAACTTTCAGTGGATTGTTTCCTCCAGGGCCAAAAATAGACTCATATTTTAAAAGATCATGGTATTTTATAGTTAAATAAAGAATTCTTACCACAGGCATTTTCTTTAGCTTCCTTGTTAACAGCCGATTTAAGAACATGCTGCATCAATTTGAGAAGATCATGCCATCGTTTTTGCCGATAGCAAGTCTGGATATGGCCTAAGAAGGTCTGGTTTTGCTTTCTAGAAAATGTTTGTGCAAACAGCTCTTCAAAAGACTCTCGCAAGGGCAACCAAATTAATCTGTTGTCAACGGGCTTATAGCTGTAAAGAGTGCAGTTAAAAACAAGAATTAACTGTAACGTCTAAGTAAGGCAAAATAATACAGAAGACGACCATAATCAAGATCAAGTCTCAGCTCTACAAACTGAGAACTCAGCTTGAAGAAGAAAGGGTCACTGTGTGTGTGTACGTATGTGTGTGTGTGGACTTAGGCAGACTAATAACATTCCTAATGTTTCTGCAAAGAACAATTTCAAACAAACAAACATGGCACTGAACAAATTGTCTCCTTGTGAAGCTCGTCAAAGAAAATTGTTAGGGGACATTTTTCCCCCTTCCCCCCACAATAACCTAACCATTCCTGGGGAACAAACACTGTCACAATACAGCTAGAGAACAGCTATACTGTACAAAGTTTAGTTATTCAGCATAAAATTTCATACATAAACATGAAGATAAACTTTAAGGTTACATTAAAGCTGAATCTAAGCATTTGTGCATCAGCAGAATAAAAAAAAATTATTTTGGTTTGAACACAGGAGAACAATGCAACCAATGGTATGATACAACCAAATCCTTATTGATAAGGAAGCATCTATCACTGAATCACCAACTAGCATAACATACCTATCAATGGGAAAATGCATGACAGCAAAGCATGCATGAAACACAGACAGATTTTAACCCAGGCAATAGAATGTTTCTCTCCTTTCCTCCCCCTGCATCCCTTCCACAAGTCTGGTCTAAAGGACCCCCTAAACCTCTGGGGGAGGGGAAAATGAGAGGGAAACCGTAGAAGGAAGTGGAATTGCTCCTTTCCTGTCCCACGGCCAGAAGCTGTGAACTCATGAAAACATAACAGAACAGCATATTGCAGCGATTTTCAAGAGCAATTTCCAGAGCTGTCAGCCACTCACCCCCCTAGAAGATCCGCAGTATCACTCTGCTGGTTCATATTGATAACCCTCAAACGGTTTCCTGGAAGCAAGAAACAAGACACGCTCCATCACTTCATGAATTACTTCCTGAATCTTGGTTGAAGAATCTAGATTATATTACATTTTACCTGTGACATGGGCCAAGTACTGAACAGTGGATGTTTTGCCCGTCCCTGTTTCACCCACCAGTAACACAGGCTCGCCTTTATCAATACACACAGCAAGCTGCTCAATTAATACTGAAGATGGGCGTGTGGGCGCAAAGGTCAGCTTTTTCCTGCCAATAAATGGAAGTGTTACTCTTCATTTATATATATATAAAAAAGAGATCACCACATTGCCATATCCATTTCATACACTAATTCCACAGATCTATTATTTCTCTGATCAGATTTCAAAGATATCAGTTTGTAAATTTCTAAAATGCTGTTACAGAATTTCACATTGTAAACATATTTCACTATCCTACCGTATGAATCAAACAACTTGTCCAGTAAGCAGAGTGCCACTTCCTTTCTCATTTTCTTTAATTCCAAAGTAAGGGAATCGCAAGCCACATTCAGACCATTTCTACCACACACTGGGGAAAGACATTTTATTCCTTTCCTTTAAAAAGCCCCCACGTTCTGCACCAGCCCAGCAGGCAAAGAAAGGAAAGGGACACCCCTGTCACTAATGGATGCCTCCCGGTCCTCCCTCTCCTTGCTTTCTTTAACTGCTCTCTGAGGAAATGAGAAGTTCAGAAAGGAAAAAGCTGAGGAAAAAGAAAAGCTCAAACCTCTCCTTTACATGCAATATGAATCATGTGCATTCTACTGAAAGAAAAACAGTGGGACCACATCATTAACCAGAGAATAGAATAGTGTAAAAGCAACAGTACCGTTGTACAAATAGTGCATGTGTTTGCTTCCGAAACAACTTGACTCTTCCCACCGAAACGTCTTGCTCTCCTATTACAATCTCTGGCTTATAAAGCTGACAGTAATATTCAGCCTACAAAAAATAAAAAAGAAGAAAAAGAGAGAGAGAGAGAGAGAATACAAGCAAAACCTCTCTTATTAAACCAAATACAAGATTTAGTCTTATTCTACATGTAGGTTTTTTGGTATACTCATACAAACACACCGGCTGAGAGTCAACTAGCTCAGTAGGGTTTTTTGACCTCAACAACCAATTTCTACATTACATTAAATCTGCTCATTCCCACACATGTAGTACAGGGAGCCACGACAGCATTTAGAAAATGCATTGCATGGTCTGTAGGTGTGTGTACCCTTTAGTTGTACAACCCTTTAGACTCACATGGGTGGTGTGGCTTACCATGAACCTTGGTGAGCCTACCCACTCTTGCACACACACATCAATTTTTCTCACTAAAATGATATTTGTGGTATTTTATTAAAAAAAAATTTAATGCAAGAGGGCTATTTCTGTTAAAATAGCCCCCTTGCAATTAAAAATAAAATAAAACAGGGTAGGGTGCTTGGCCCCCTTCAAAAGAGAGCACAAATGCCCACACTTCCTAAAGGCACCAGGGGAATTTTAGGAACTGGATATTGGGTGGTCTCAGGAGTGCTAGGTGGAACACATTTGTGTTCCAGCAGGTCCACATACAGTCCACCAACCACGTTGCCCAGCTCTGCTTTAATTCCTAGACATTAATTTGGAGTCATTATTCAATGGAAAATAAAACACAATTGTACAGAAACCTATCAATTATAAATGTATATAAAGATACACGGCATGAGAAAGTAACATAATTAAACGGAGAAACATTTCATTGATGAAAATAGTAGAAATGAATATGAAATAATCATTCTGTATTGTGCTCATTGAACTATATTAACCTATATTAACACATGGGACAGACAGTTCTATGCTCAAGCCCTTGAAAGTCAGGATCCTGGGATTCATGCAAACAGGAGAAATCAATAGTTAAAAATATTGTGCTCATTGAACTATATTAACCTATGTTAACACATGGGACAGATGGTTCTATGCTCAAGCCCTTGAAATCAGGATCCTGGGATCCATGCAAACAGCAGAAATCATTAGTTAAAAAGTTAACCTCCTGAGAATCCAAAGGCTTGGTGAAAAACAATTTGACTCTGCTGAAATTCAAAAGTATAAATAAGATAGATTTTGCCTTGTTTAGTCTCAGAGAAGAAACAGATTTTGTTGTTCACTGAGAAGGGGAAGAGAATCTCTACTAGGAAGGGTAAGAATGACGTAATGTGATGTGATATATTTAGATGCATTATGCTTTCCCATGCTCTTTTTCGCTTTTGTAATATCTAAAGACATTTATTCTAATAGATTTTGATTAACTTTCTAAAGTAACTTGCATTTTCATTTTCAACACTGAGAAAATTATTTCTAACCTTGTATATTTTGAAGTATTCATTTTAAGCTTTTACCATAAGTACAGAAGATACAAACTCAGTAAATCATACTGTTCTCTACAAATTATGTATGTGGTTTACATAGATGAACAAAGATTCAGAAATATATATTCATCCATTGTTATACTATATATTATGCCAATGTATACCTGCTATTTTGAATTTTCTATATGCTTGCTTATTTGCTAACTAAACCTTCAATTCTTTTTTGAACTATTAAATAATTAAAATCAAAGAGATATCTAGGAGGAAACACTAAATTAAACATAAAAGGGTATATCTTCTGAGACACAAATAAATTCCTTGACAGTTGTGTGCAAACACAGATCCCTAAGTTTCTCATAGACAGTATGTACAAGACAGGAACCTTGTGAAGACATTCAGATATTGCTACATGGAATCTGACAAACCAACAACTGTCCAAATCCTCTTGATGAAAAACAAGAGTGTAAGGGCAACTGTGCCAAAGTCCCATCACCACCTGTGAAGGAGAGAGAGCCAGTGTGCCATCATCCTCCACAGAACAGAGGACTGAGGAAAACCGCAGCTGTGTAGAGGGCATATTAGTAGAGATAGACCAAGAGAGAGAGGAATGGAAAGGGTCACTAGAAGTGTGGCTGGCTGACGAGAAGGGGGAGGAGCTAGACTTAATTATCTGGGAGGAGGATATAAAAGAGGAAAAGGGCACACGAAGTTTTAGAATTGTAACAGGCAGCGAGCAACCTGAAATAAGAGATCAGGCTGTACAGACAGAGCTGGGCTTTGGCCAAGAGCATTATTCCAAGCTGATAAAGGATTTTCCAAACCTCCAGATTTGGGGAGGTTTGTTACCTGATCCGAAAGATCTCCGCACAAAGGGAGAAGACTTAGAGCCAGTAGAATGGACTGTGGTGGTGTACCCTCGCAACCAGTGTGTGTGTGTGTGGGGGGGGGGGAGCCATCCCAATCCCTCTTTACTCCAGCCAGAACGCGAGGGGGATTGGGCGAGACACCCATGCTGCAGAACAGTTTGTGCTGTGAGGAGCACCCCACTGAGGCCCATGACCGATCGGGAGCAGTTTGGACCGGCCCCTCAGTGAGAAGTGACATCAAGACGCCGGATGTTAAAGTGCGAAGTTACCGCCTTTTATCTGAGTTGAGTTTAATGGACCCTTTTGAACCTGTTGAATTGAATTTGTTAAGCAATAAACAAAGCCATGGTTAGATCATCTGAACGGCTTCCGACTCTCCTTCCCGCGCGAACACAGGGGTCACCCTCGGCAGAAGACGAACCTTTTCACACCACCCCAGTTTGTTATCTATTTTTATTGGATAGGTAATTATTCGTGTGTTCTTTGGATTCAGAGGAGAGCAATGGATGGCAATGCAGAAAGGTAACATGGCTTCTGTAACTGTAAAAAGCAGTAGGAGTCTGAACAATAAGCAAAGGCACCTTATGTCTGGAAATGTTCAACTTGCTTCCAATGACTTCTGCCATTTTCATTTTACTCTCTTGTTTGGACAGCATAGCTGTGAAGCAGTCCAATGCCTAAGAATGGAAAAGGAAGGAGAAAAACACCATTCCAATGAATATGATTATTCTAAAATGTAACTTTCCCCAAGCAACTGGGCTCACTGTTGTCATTTTACACAGACAAACTTCCTACAAGTTATTGCTACCGTATCATCACAAGAAGAAAACAAGAAGACAGACCAATTCAGGTATTTCCAGTTATCTTACAAGGCTTCCCTAGTGCGGCAGTCAGATGGAAAGATAAATCCTTGACCTGGCCATTTCTCCAGCAAAGCTACCTTATCTTTGTGTGATTCACACAGCCACTTGCATGAACCACTACTGTGAAGTAACAACTGGAGCAGGTTCCCAATGACAAATATTCAAAGTTCTGGACTAGGATTGTTTCCAACTCCCTAGATTCAGTTTTACATCTTACAAAAATGTAAAATTGCCATAAAAACTCAGAACAGTTTGAAAAAGAACTCATACCTCATGAAAAATACTCAGTGCAGTAGAAGAAGAACTATCAAACTTGAAAGCAATCCTGTTGCACCAATTCAGCAAGTCCCTAAAATAAGAAAAAGTATATTAAACAGCTCACTAGTACTACTTCTCTTTAACTCATCTGCAGATAACGATAACTCCAGTCTTGCTTAACTACATAGCTGTCCCTCCCCAGAAAAGCACCATAATGTTTTTCAATTCAGTTAATACTTTTTTTACTAGGTATTTAAATTAAAGTCAGAACAGCAGGGCTTCAGAATGCTGGAGACCATTTAAATACAGTAACAATAATTTGTCTCTCCCCCCCAAAAAATATCAATCCGCTTAATTACAGATCAAAATACCTCAGAGATAACTCTCTGCCCTCTAAATTTGGCCGCTTGCTTTCCATACAGTACGATGTACTTCCCCTTATGTTCCCATCTGCTACAACATGGCTTTCGGATAAATGTTTGTCACCAGTAAGCTCAATGTAGATGTCTAACAGACAATCCATTACTTTGGAAAGTTTGGAGTAATTCCTCTGCAGAATCTAAAAAAGGAAATATTAGCTAAAATTATTACTTTGTAATGTTTTGAAGATGTATGCCATCCATCAGCAGTTTTACCCAATTTAGACTAATATCTTAAACATGATACAAAGAGAAAAAAATCTGCTCATTCATTCCAGAGTGCAAGGCACATAATAACGGGCTCAGGTACACTAATTTAGCAGCCAGACTTAAACTGAATATCAGGAAAAACTTCCTAATTGTTAGAGAACTATGAAAATGGAACCAACTACTTTGGGAGGTGGGGAGTGCTCCAACTTTGGAGGCATTCAAGGGGAACTTTAATTTGACATCTTAAAAAAGGTTCTAGTATTTGAAACATCACCAGAAACTAATATTACAATCTTATTCATGTCTACTCAGATATAAGTTACATGAGTTCACATTATACTTCAATCGCAGGTAACTCTTCAAAGGATGGCAGCCTAATAAACATTATGAGGATCCATCAGAATTATTTCTACTACTTTTTATTTTCAACTTCCAGCTAAACTGTGAGGTCACGTGTCCCTCCCGCTGCCCATAAACCTTCTACATTTGCAGAGAACAGAGGCACCATTTCATCAAGTCTTGTTTCAATTACTCCGACCACCTACCTCTTTGAGTTCAGCTTTTGGCATGTTATCTACTCGAATTTTTGTCCAGTACTTGTCCAGAAGAGCAGCGTGGCTATTTTGCTGCTTGTACCAACCACCACCGTAACTGAAGACTCTAAATGAATGAAGCCACAATTTAATGATGTCATTACTCCTGCACTGGAAATATTACAGTTTAAACAGAACTAGCCTAACCGTTTCAGATTTAGCATGAGTTCTACAAAGCACCCACACTGCAGCCAAGAGAACCATACTCCCAACCTTTAACAAACAAGAAGCTCGGAATGGTAAGTGACGGGATTGCTCCTGGCCCTCCTAATCGGCAGTCTGCCTCCACCCCTTTGGGGCCCAACAGAGGCCACAGATTAAGGAAAAGCCGGGCCCAGCAGGCAGGGTCCAGGGATCATGGAAAGTGAGAGGGAGGAAGGAGGAGGTTCGAGCTCAATGGAATCAGATTGGGGAGAGAGCGAAAAGAACATGGTCCCCATCTTCTGTGCCTCTGGGGAGGTGGGTTATTCTTTGGTGCAGCACGGCAATGGGGCACTGCATTTCAGCCCACTGGCATCCTTGTTTCTGGCGTCTATCCTGTAGAAAGCCAGGGACCACGATCCCCACTCCAATCCAATTGAGCCGTCAGAGATGCAAGTGCCAAAAGGAGCGCCAGAGGCGACAGGAGGAGGGGCCAGAGAAATCGAGACTTTGGTGGGCAGCCAGCATCACAAAGGCTGCCTGAAGGGGAACAGGTTTGTTTGGGGCTGTACTTAAAACCTAAGGACACCAGCAGACTGTAATTCGCCCAACTCCAGTGTCTGGAACCTGGGGTCAGGCAGAGGCTGGATTTGACAGGAAAGCTAGTGAAATCAACTCAACCACACACAGACACAGCCATGAATCGGGTTGGCAGCTGCCACCCTTTATTTTCTTGAACCCGGTCCCCCAACCATCATAAAATCAAGCTCTAACATTCCCAGGATTTTATGGAAATAATGACTGAGGAGGAACATCCTGCCACCTCCAACCTAGACAAGGGCAACAGCACTCACACTATCACATAAAGCCTCTTACTAGAAAGAATTGTGCAAAATAGCATGCTACATCTTGCCTCATTCAAAGGTGTATATTCATAAATAATTAGGCATGTATACAATTTAAATATGTTTTTTGCACCTCCACCTTTAGTAATCTATCACGCAGTCAGCACAAAAAGCATCTCAGGGCTAGTAACTCCACAAAGCTCTAATAAGGGCACAATGCCTACCTTCTTGTTGCGAAAAGATGGAACTCGGGAGCAACTTGTATGCAGTCACTCCGCCCAGGAATCAACAATTCTCCATTTTCCAAAAGAGGAATTAATACAGAAATCTAAGAAATCCAAACCCACAAATGTATCATTCAAAACGGCAGAACTGAGAGCAGAACCATCATACTTTTGCTGACATCATAGGATATTAAAACTGGTCTTCCCCAATGCAGCTCCTTGTGTGAGCAAACTCCAAGACCTGCTCCAGAGGAACAAAGGGCCCTCAGGAAAAACCGCCCCCTGGCAGCACATTCTATGAACCACGAAAATACCTTTATCTACACCAAATAAAGTTCTCGCTCAAGAAGCTAATCTACTTTCATATTAAAAGTTGAACTGCATCCTACTGTTCGTGTAAAAATCAGTCTCTCACCTCAGTGACAAGCACAACCATCTCAGGCAGCATCTGTATTACTAATGAACCCAACTGTCCTATGAATATAACGGCTTCAGTAAGGCTCAAGAAAGTCTCCTAAGGTACACAGTACTAAATACCAAATTATTAGCTTGAGCATGGATTTAACCAACAAGACAGTTACTAAGATTGCAAATAGGGTTTTTCCAGCTTCCAAGAGCGCTATTGTGAAATACTCCAAGTCTACTGGAGAAGGTTGTTATGACTGTCACTGAAAGTATTGCCACATAGAATATTTCTATTAAAGGACGTGTACGTACCACATCAAGAGGTGCATAATCAATATCCTCCAGAAGTATCCAGTATCCTTTGCTGACTGCTTGAGTCAAAGTCCCTGGTTGCCACACAAACTCCCCCGGTATATCAGTACAGCGATACATGCCCAGTAAAGTCTATACAGAAACAAAACAAGGGAACAGGCAAATTGAAAAACTTTACAGCACTGCATTTTCTTTCAAAATATTTATTCCACCATGAAGGTTTCAGAAGTACCATTCATTATTATGTTATTTGCTGGAATCTAGAGAACTCCTGAGACATATAACCGTTTGTTGAACAAGCATCGGCAAAATTTCCAGCAAAGGCCATCGTTATGCGAATTCATCGTTGAGCGAGGCACTCGTTAAGCGAGGCACCACTGTATTCCAAGTCTACTAGAGAAGGTTGTTATGACTGTCACTGAAAGTATTGCCACATAGAATATTTCTATTAAAGGACGTGTACGTACCACATCAAGAGGTGCATAATCAATATCCTCCAGAAGTATCCAGTATCCTTTGCTGACTGCTTGAGTCAAAGTCCCTGGTTGCCACACAAACTCCCCTGGTATATCAGTACAGCGATACATGCCCAATAAAGTCTATCCAGAAACAAAAAAAGGGAACAGGCAAATTAAAAAATTTTACAGCACTGCATTTTCTTTCAAAATATTTATTCCACCATGAAGGTTTCAGAAGTACCATTCATTATTATGTTATTCGCTGGAATCTGGAGAACTCCTGAGACACAGCTTTATAACCGTTTGTTGAACAAGCACAACAGGTATTTACACTTTTAAAAAATTACTTTCTACAATCTGATATTCTAACTAAATTCATAATCCTTTACTAAGACACAGCAAGCTATCCTTACTTTAATATGTTAATGAACAATTAGACCATTCAGGAATCCAAATTTTACAAAAGTTTTAACATTTAGAAAACAAAACATTTGAGAGCAGCTACAGGCAGCTATGAGGACAGTGAAATGCATCTAGCCTAGAAAAAGTTTTGCACATTTTGTACATTTTCCACTGATCCTAATGACAATACTACCCACTTTGTGTGTGGATAGCACAACTTGAAGAAATATTCCCTTTCTGATACCCTTGTTTTGTTGTAAGAATTTTTCACATCACATCAACAGAATCATTAAGTACGGTACTTGCTAGTGAAAAAGTATGAAGCTAAGCTTCCTTAATTCTTGCACACTTCAGCAATTAAATCAGTATTCTAGAAAAGACTAAGGTCCTCTTCAGTATGTCATTTTTACAGCTTCTGTGTTCCCAAAACCAGAACCTCCATTGGTTGTAACCCATTGGGAATGAATAACCATTCTTTTAAAATGTTTATATATTCAGTCAGATAAAACCACACACCTTCTGGAAAACCCAGCCCAAGTAGCTGATCAATTAGCACAGTTTTGTTCCATTTAATAATACATAAAAATTAAATGTGTTATTTCTTAAAACAGTTTAAACATTCTGCCTATTTACCTTACTGTCAGTTTGATCTCCTAATTGCACTTTCAGAATATGAGGTGGTTTTGTCCTTCCTGTAATTGCTGCCAAAAACTCAACTAGAGATGTTTTGCCACATCCTACTGGTCCCTCAAGTAATACTGCATTTTGTGAAGATACAGCCATGGCCAGCTTTTGAAGATTCGTGCAGGTAGAATTCACCAAAACAAATCGGTTCACAATATTCTCCTGCTAAAATAGAGAAGGGCATTGTTTTCAACTGAAGAAACAGGATTTAAACATATAAGCACAAAACATAAAGCAATAAACTTGTCAAGATGCTCTTTCTTCAGAACTTTCTCAGAACTGAGTTGAATCATGGACAATGGAGGGAGATCTGGATCAAGGCAATAGCATGGTAGAAAGGGTTTCAATCCTTTCTCCTTGTATCACTTTCTCTTGACATTCCCTGTGAAGCTACTGTTTTGTTACACCACTTACCTCAATGACACCTTTGGGTGAAAAAAGTTTTAGAGGGAAAATCCAGATCATCTCGCACCATTTAAAATGGATACCTTAAAGCAGGGGCCCAATGCTGGTCTGTGGCCAAATAGCATGGTAGAAAGGGTTTCAATCCTTTCTCCTTGTATCACTTTCTCTTGACATTCCCTGTGAAGCTACTGTTTTGTTACACCACTTACCTCAATGACACCTTTGGGTGAAAAAAGTTTTAGAGGGAAAATCCAGATCATCTCGCACCATTTAAAATGGATACCTTAAAGCAGGGGCCCAATGCTGGTCCTTGGCCATGGCAGGACGGGGCTGCAAAGACAGATCTCCCGCCCCCTCGCATGCACTCCCCCCCACACACATGGCCCACCACCCACACGCATGCATGCACAAGCACACTCGCAGGACCGGGCTGCAAAGACAGATCTCCCGCCCCCTTGCATGCACTCCCCCCACACACATTTCCCACCACCCACACTCATGCATGCACCTCCTCTCCGCACACATGCACAAGCACACCTCACCCCTTTGTGAGTGTACTCTGCCCCTCCGCGCATGCATATGAACACACCTTGCCCCTCCGCGCATGTGTGAGTGCACCCTGCCCCTCCACGAGCGCACCCCACCCCTCCGTGCATGTGCACGAGCACACCCTGCCCCTCTGTGAGTGTGCCCCACCCTCCGTGTATGCGCACCTCACCCCTCCGTGAGTGCATGAGCACAACACGCCCCTCTGCAAGCGTGGGGGATGCCCCACCCTGTTCACGGACCCCCCAACCCCCCAACCAGTCCGCAATTCAGAAAAGGTTGGGGGCCACTGCCTTAAAATGCAATTCAGAAAAGGTTGGGGGCCATTGCCTTAAAGTCAAAAAGCTATGCGGAATGTGTCTCTGCATTCTGAAAGCATGCTACTTCCTTCACAGATTCATTTATGTGTTGCTTCTACCATAAACATGCTACTTCTTCCTTCTGTAGCTCCAAACTGGATATCCAACTCCACAGTGAAAGGTGGTTTCTCCACTTCAAGGACCTTTCCTTACTTCCCTGTTCCCTCACAGAAGGTCATTGCTGTTGCCTGCGACATCCATCAGTAGTGGAGCTGGCAAGCATGCCCTACTCATTCTTTGTTTCTCAATCTTCTACCAGGGATTAGCACTATAAGAACTGATGGTGCAGAAAAACTTTGCTACAGATGAAAAGTGGGAAAGCGTCTGACAATGCCTCTCTGAACCAACAATTTGCATTCTCTGTTTTAACTATTTGAAATCAATAAATTTAATAGACGTTAATCATACACAACACTCTGTTGGCAATGAATAAATGCCGCATATTCCCTTGTCCTCTTATCCCTTCATTTGTTGCCTGTTACTATGCAATGTGGCGCAACCTTAATCACCACGTAAAACAAAATAAACAGATTTTAAAGAAACCCGTTCTCCTAAAATATGAAAGACAATTTCACTGATGACATTCAGATCCCCCTTCACTGTGCCACCAAACCAGTAGTGAAAAGAAGGCAGATCACATTTCTGACCCTGCTGCTTGTTAAAAGCACTAATTTTTAGTGCATGTTTCCCCAGAGGAACTATTTCCATCTGGCTCCAATCAGCAGATCTCATGGCTCTAGTAAAACCCCGAAGCACATCCGAAATCTAGAAACCTGGACATCCTGGTCCCAGATAAATGAGCTCTGGGAGCTGCCTGCTGCTCTTCTGCTTCCTGCTGTACAATCCAGTTTCCTCTCTAGTGGGAGGAAACCAAATCATTTCTTTACTTCCCAGTTCTCATTGAGAAATTCATGACAGCTAACCTAATCAGTACCCCTGAATTGCACACTGTAGAGTATTTCATCATATTTACATCCCTAATTCACAGTCAAAACAGGATATGTGGATAAAATGTTTTGCTCTGTACAGTGGTCCCTCGACTTACGAGCTTAATCCATTCTGGAAGTCCGTTCGTAACCCAAAAAGTGCGTATCTCGAATCAGCATTTCCCATAGGAATGCACTGAAAACCATTTAATCTGTTCCGGCTGTTTTTGGTTCTTAAGTCAAGGGGCGGTTCCCAAGTCGATTCATTAGTTCCCATAGGAAGTAATGGAAAGCTGCTTAATCCATTCCTACAACTAGGGGCAGAATTTTTTCTTTTTCTTTTTTGGGTTTGTAACTCTATTCCACGTTCGCAAGTAGGGTCTATAGTTTCCTATGAGATCGGGCCCACTGTATTAATACTGCCACCCGTTCGTAAGTCGAGGGCCCACTGTATTAATACTGCCATAGCTTCACAGTAATTCAAATTAACTGCCTCCTCCCCAAACCATATGTGACACAAAGTAGGGGCTTTGCCCACACATTCCGAACTTTGTCAGAGCACATATGAAGCACACTTCTGCATTGGGGGAGGTGAGAGAGCAGGGAATGCCAATGGGAGCAACTAATAAAAAAAGTTCCACTCACAGAAATGTTGGATTGAAGCCATTCCTTTTTTACTTACACTTTCTCCAGGTTCAAACTGTTGCCTAGGTAGCAGGACGCCACAAACGGCGACTACCTTTGCAGAAAGATCGGCAGACACAAGCTGTCCCTGAGTGTATTTCAACTCCTCCTCTTTATTCCACAAAGTTGTGTCAGGGTTGGCCAAAACAAGGGCACGCTCAATATTCTGTATCCGTGATTCTTCTAGTAGCCTGTCAAAATTGTAGGCATACTTACTGCCGTGTTTTGAACAATGACAAGCAAATAAGCAAAACCTTGACAAAACATTAAATAAATCGACACCTAGGGTGAAAAAAAATCCAACTAATATTACTTACTTCAGTCTGAAATGTATTAATTCTTCTGGATTAAAGATCTTCTTCAGGAAAGATAATCGATGCTCATCATTCATACACGTAACCAGAGCAAGACAACTAGCAGTATACCTAAGAAATAAAAGGTTGCTCAAATAATATTCTAGCCCACATTTATAAAACATAGCTTATTTCAGAAAAACCCAGTAGATCCCATCATCCAAAGTGGTATTTTCAGTTTCTTTAGACTGGGCCTGGGCCATTTTCATGGGGAAAATCATTAATCAACACTAGGTGTGCCACAGATTCTCCACACATACTCTAGTCTATTGATCTTTCAACAAGTACTGCATGATTTCTGTTGACTTTAAGCTGCCTTGAATCCCAGATGGAGGAAAAGTAGACCTGTAAATATGACATATTGGCCTCCTCAGCCACACTAGACACTGTTCCAAGTCCTCCATACAGAGCACGCTACCATAGTCTTTCGAGACTGAAGGATGCCTACCTAAAAAAATACGACACAACAGTGGTTCCCATCCTTATATAACCCAAGTGTTCTTGGACTGCCATTCACCACCAGCTGTGCAGGCCAGGCTTTTCTGGAGTTGCAGCCCAAGAACATCTGGCTTACCCAAAGTTGGGAAGCACTGCCATACAATGTCTACTTGAAAAACCCACCGTTTTCCGGTAATCATTTCATGGACTTTAAAACACAACTCAGCTGTGACCAACCTATTCTCTGACCCAATTTATAATCTACTTAACTCATGGCAAAATAGTAAATCTACCCTAGGGAATGCCCTAAATAGTAGGAAATGATATATAAGTAATTAAAAGTTAAATTTACCAACGAACTAAAGTATCATGACTCCTCAGTAAGGGTACACAAACACTCCAGTCCCACAACTCTCTGAATACAGACTGTTGTTTTTGGAGAAATTTGTAGGCTGCTTCCATAAGGTCCCTTAACTTCATCCTTCGGCGTCCATATCGAACCACATTTGTATCTGAACTCTCCAAAAAGAGTCTCTGGAACACTGGGGAAGTATCCTTAAAATACCTCAAGGCAAACCTAGAAGAAGATAACAAAAGCAATTGTAACTTCATCTAAACAGTGAGAAGATTTCAATTCTTCTTATGAAGCAGTTTTTATGTACCAATAAAACTGCTCATTTTTCTCAAATTTGGGAAGAAATTACTTACGGCATCACATCTGGATGATCGCCAATGAGCTTGCTCATCGCTACACAGAGTCGCTCATGAAGATCATGGTTGATTTGACCACTAGATTTAATGATTTCTGCATTTCTTTCCAGTAAATCCAGCAAAATTGGACGAAATTGTCGACCAATCAGAAGTGTGCATTCTTTATCCAGTAATAATTGTGCTAAGGCACTGAGGATGCACTGACGGTCCTGTGGACTCCAGATCTAAAAACAAAACAAATGTCCAATAAAAAGATATTCTTCTCCCTGGCTCTGACAAATGAAGTTTCTAGACCTCCACAGAAAGGCAAGTTAAAGCCTTTGGGAAGAAATCTAAAATGCAAGGCAAAGAAGGGCTTTTGACCCAAACATTCCCACCCTTCCCCCTTTACTCATTCTCGAGAGGAGCTCTGGAAACTGGAAACTCTTTTCCTGCTCACAGACTTTGGAACTCCCTCCCATAAGAGGCCAGGCAGGTCCCATCTTTACTGTCCTGCAAACAGGCAAAGACCTTTCTCTTTAGGCAAGCTTTCGCTTAGTGACTGGCTGACTGAGTGGGGTGTTAAAATTGATTTATGCTTTACTGCTTTGAATGTGTTTTTGGTGTTGTTTTTGTTTACTGTGTCGTAGCATGGTATTTGACCCTTTGTAGTATTTGTATACCTAATGTTTTTAGCTCTAAATATTGTTTTTTAATGACGCAAACCGCCTTGGTCCTTTTTAAGGAGAAAGGCAAGTAAATATATTTTAAATGAATGAATGAATTAATTAATAACTTTACCAAAATGAATTCCAGACACATCTATCTCACCTTATCCCTTTATCGTTATGTTCTGTATGAGGACTTAAAATTTTCTGGCACAAGCTACGACAGACACAAGATCTGGATGAACATAATTTTTGGACCTGGTGCAGCCTGCTATGTTTATGTGTACATGTGCATTAAAATATGAGTGCCACCTGGCTGGCCAAAAGTGCCCTTCTTTGATGTGATGTTCAACATACAGACAGCAACAGAATGGTGCAGTTCCTATAATAACCAGTCTGGGAAATCAAATAAAGATTGCAATAGTATCTGTTGAATTTATTTTTAGAATTCTCTGAGTTTAAAGTACAGTGGTGCCTCGCTAGACAATGTTAATCCATTCCATTGAAATCGCTGTCTTGTGAAAACATCATCTAGTGGAAAGCGTTTCCCCACTGGAATGCATTGAAACCCCTTTAATGCATTCCAATGGGGGAAATTGTCGTCATCCAGCGAAAATCACCCATAAGAAAGTCGTTTTCCGAAGCGACGATCAGTTGTTAAAATCGCTGTCTTGTGAAAATCAGTCCCGAAAACACCCATTTTGCAAGAGCGGAGTGAGCTGTCAAAATCGTAGGACTGAATCATCGTCTAGCAAAAATTGCCCATAGGAAATCGCAAAAAGTAATCATCTAGCAAAAAAAACATTCTGCTGGGTAATTGTCTAGCGAGACACCACTGTAATACAATAAGTTTCAAGACCCTGACTCCTCAAAAGAAACAAAAATCTGGTTCTAAACCAGCGATTCCCAAATGTTCTTGGACTACAGCTCCCTGGAGCCTTCACCACTAGCTGTTCTATCCAGGATTTCTTGGAGTCGTAGTCCAAAAACATCTGGGGAACCAAGGTTAGGAACCATTGTCTAAACAGTGTTTAGCCACCCAGAGTAGTGGCTTGTCCACTAAATGGGCAGGGTATAAGTTTAAACAAATGAAATAAATAAAAACAGATGTGTAGTGAAAGCTGCCCTTCATAAAATATTTTTTTCAATTCCTAGACTCTGCCTAATTTTTAGTCTAGGTTATAGAAATAAAAATCACTAGTTTATGTACCAAAGAGATTGTTTTTGAGTTAAGGTATCCAGAAGGTAGATAGCTGGCTGAGTGATTTCTAGTGGATCAAAAAGGGATATTCCCTTTCAGACTGTTTTATAACAAGATCAACAACAACACCCTAAACAACAGTGTGCAGTAGTAAAGAATGGATTTCTGTGTGAAAGGACCACAAAATTTATTTAGTTGTTGTGTAATGTATAACTGGTTCCTAAATAACCAATAGGAGCTCCCTCCCACAGGAAGACTATGAGCCATACATTAAGTACAGTGGTGCCCTGACTTACATATGTCCCTACTTACAACCATTTTGACTTCCAACCAGCTCCGGCCGCAAAATTTTGCTTCAACTTGTGGACGGAGCTTCCACTTGCAAACCCAAATGGCAGAGGGGAAACGTGGGAAATTCAAATTTGAAAGGAAGGGAGCGGCAGCCACCGCCATGTGCCAGGCTCAGCCTCCCAGCACTGGGACAACGACGCCCCACACCCCGTAGGAGCCGTTGGGTGGCAGCGGCGCTTCCCTGGCTGCGCAGCTTCCTTCCACACCGCTTCTGCGGCGGATAACCGGGCCTAGCGGAGCCTCTCGCTGCCGAAGTGGGAAGCGGTGCCAAAGGAAGCTGAGTAGCCAGGCGAGCGCCGCTGCCATCCCACCCCCGGAGGGACAAGCCAGGCCAGCTGCAAACATCTGTGCCACTGTCTTCCCCCCCCCGCCGTCCTTAGCAGCAGCAAAGAGCACCGTGGCGGGTGCCCCGCTCTCGTCAGTGTGCCATTCACTTCGTTGGAAAGGTGAGGCGGGGAAAATAAACTTTCTCTCCCCTCCTTGCCTGCCTGCTCTCACTTTGTACCATTTGTAGGCTAGAGACAAACAGCAAGTAAAGACGCCGAGGGCAGGCAGGCGGGAGGGTGAGAGTGAACTGGCTCCTTTGAGGTGGCAACTGAGGGACGGACTGACCAGCTGGGTGAGAAAGAGGCCGCCGAAAGTGCACACGCAGTGGCTGACTCGGGTGCCAGGCAAGGGGCAACCTCTGGAGCTGCCGTCACTTTAGTGGCACACCACCACCTGTCAAGCTTCAGCTACTTCAGCGTAGCTGGCGCCACTTTCAGCCTGGCCAAGTGCGCAGTAGGCACGTCCGAGGGGACTAGGACTGGTCGCAAAGAAAAGAGTGCGCTGGAGTTCTTGCAGAGGGGCTGCACATGGCAGGAATGTAGCTGGAAGTAAGCGCACGACCGCACAGCTTCCTTCGGCGGTGCCTCCCGCTCCGGCACCAGCACCAGTGGCGAGAGGCTCCGCCAGGTCCAGCCACCCAGCGCAGAAGCGCCGCCGAAGGAAGCCGCGTGGCCGGGCGAGCACTGCTGCCACCCAACAGGCTCCTCCAAGGATGGGGCGTGCAGCACCGGTGGCCTGGCGCTGGGAGCTGAGGCTGGCTGAGGCGCTCAGGCTGCTTGCCCCGGCCTCGCCCTCTGCCATGGCCAGCCCCACCGCCACTGGGGAGTGAATGCAATCGGAGGCAGCTTTGGACTGCCTGTTAAGGTAAGATGCTGCTTCTTGCTTTTTAAAAACTGTTCTGGGTGGCTTTTGCAGGGTGAGTTTGGGCTGGGGGGGGGTTATGTTTTTGTGCTGTGTTGTTTTGTTTTTTGGTGATTTTTTTTTTGCAGTCCCAGTATGGGGCTTGCTTCAATGTTTATTTTTTCGTTTTTCTGTTTGTTTTAAAGCAGGGGTGAGCAATTAATTTCTATAGGGGGCCACATGAAAAATCTGAACTGTGTTCTGGGGCTGAACCAATTTTACTTAAAAATAGGCCCCCATTAGGTGGGTAGTAATAGGCCTCCACTGGGTGAGGATGACATAGTTAGCGCCCTAAACTTTTTAGGGCATTAACTATGTGAGCATTGTAATTCGTTCACCGCGCCGGGGAGGGGGAGTACAGACACTTAAGCTAACTCACCTGTACTCCGTTCCCCCACGGCCTTCCTCTCCGACTATCTTGTATCCCGCGCAGGCGACGTGATGCGTCATCACATCGCCTGCGCAAGGATCACTTGAAAAACAAAAAACCCAACACTGAGCTAACTCACCTGTCCTTCGTTCCCCCACAGCCTTCCGCTCCAACTGTCTTCTATCCCGCACAGGTGACATGATGCGTCATCACGTCGACTGCGCAAGGATTGCTTCCAGCCTCTTGAGCACAGACTCTGCACCCTGCGGCTCAAGAGTAACAGTCAAAACTCACGAGATCCCAGTGTTGGATCTTGCGAGTTTTGCTTACTGCCATGCTGGGTGACTGGAGCCGGTGCTCCGGCTCATTCAGCGCCGACAGGCGGATCAGACAGGAGCAGCTCGCGGGCTGTATGTAGCCTGCGGGCTGCACTTTGCCCAGGTGTGTTTTAAAGCCCTAGCACCTTCTGAACTTGCTCTGTTTTTGTTTTCTTGCAGCTCCAGCGTGTTCCTAATGGGGCTTGGAGTGGTTTTTTTTAAGGGTTTTTTGCTGGAACGGATTAATCGTGTTTTCATGCATTCCTATGGGAAATGGTGCTTCAATTTACGACCATTTCGAGTTACGTTCATCTTCTGGAACAGATTATGGTTGTAAGTCAAGGCACCACTGTACTGTTTTAGAAAAAATAGTTTTTTTAAAAAAACCACTTTCACTAAAAGCTATTAAATCCATGTCTTCCAAAAAACCTCCAGAAGTATCTCTGACCTTGTTAAAAAAAACAATTTAGGCTTGCTTTCCCAAGAAACAAAAGGGGCATGCATTCCTCAACTTACACTTAGATCACAGTACTGTACGAGAATACAGCTGCTCAAAAATGGTAGATAAAACAAAAGGTTTGGAAACAGAAGAACAGCAACTTGTGACCTAAAAAGCTAATGCTGATGGCCATCTGATAACACCCATCCACTTCCCTTGATGTGGACACACAATATGTACTCAGAGCACATGATCACTTTAACACAGGACAAGCAAATTCCATGCTTGCAGATATGCTTCCATTTTTTAAAAGCTTCAATAGATCAAAATCAGTTCTAATTAATTTTCTTTGTGCAGTTCCAAAGAACTTTCCTTTCTGATGGACAAGAGTTTCTTGCGAGAACTCCCCTCCCCCAACACACACTTTATCTTTTAACTACTGTAAACATTGGTCCGGAAAATGAGGTTTCAGCACACTCGGGGCAATTAAAAGCTGTGTTTACGTCTATGTAGGGGAAGGGCGGTACAAGAGAGAAAGATAACCGTGGCATGCCGACCAAACAGGGAAGAAAGATCCTCCCACACACCAAGCCAAGTTAAAGGGGGCGGCTTTTCCTTGTAGTTGGAAAAACACTGCATTTAAGAAGACAGCCTCACCGTGCCCTGCCGAACGGCGGGCCCTTCTGATGGGGTCAGTAGTACAAGCAGAGGTCATTTTAATAGCCTCCCAACCCCTTAGATTCATCATCTTCGCTCCTCTCGCAGGCGAGCAAAGAGGGAAGCTTTCCATTGGGGAGCTCGCAGGGGGAATCCTCCCGCACTCTCTCTCTCTCTCCTTCCCTCACTGCCCAGCCCCACCAGGAAACAAAGAAAGGCAAGACACAGCTTGCCCTCTCTCTCTCCCCTCCTCCTCCTCCTGCTGCTGCTGCTGCCATCGCGGCGATCTCCCCCACCCCAAATCTTGAAAAGGGACGGTGCGCGCTCGGTCGAAGGCGAGAGAAAATGGAGGGTCAGCCCCGGGAAGGAAAGGGAGTCGTGGCTGCCCCGCCCTCCCCCTCCGAGCCCACCCTTCCCTTCCTTCCACGGCGGCGGCTGCTGCTCCGGCTATTGTTGCTCTCCCACCTGTTTGGCCAGGAATCGGCTCAGCTCGCCGCTGCTCCTCTCGTCCCTCTGCGCCACCAGCTGCAGCGGCGCCACCAGGCTAAGGCGCAGATGCTCCATCCTGGAGGCGCCCTCGGGAACTCCCGCCGGCTTCCCGCTTCCCCGGGGGAGTGGGGGGAAAAAGGGGTGTGCGCCCCCAACCCGACCGGTACGCTCCGCCGCGATTAGCGCGACACGTGGGGAAAAGAGAGCGACTTTCGTTTTCCTCCCCAAATGCCCTACGTCATCTCTCGGCGCCAGCAGCCCAAGGGGCCGTCTCTTGGCCTCGGCAGGGCGAGAAAACTACTCGTCCCGTCGTGCCCTGCGGCAGCCCGCCCTAAGAACTGGACCCCCTAATGACCGGGTGGGAGGCTGGGCTCAAAAGTCTCTGCTTCCCCCCCCTCCGCTTTGGTGGGGGCCCGAGAGGCCGCGGTGGGGGTGCTTTTGTCGCCTCTTCACAGCAAGCCCCCCGCCAGAAATATCTTCAAAGGAATTTTAGCATTACATAAAAAAAATTAAGTGTTGTTCCAGCTCGAAGGCTAACGTATTTATTTCAGGCAAAAACAAAATAAAGAAAATTTTTAAAAAAGGTTGTGGCTAACTGCTATATTTTATATTGAGTTTCTGTGGACAAGTCCACTTTTTCAGACTTATTTCAGGATGAGTTTTCTTGAGTCGAAATCCACCTCCTTTGACACACGAAAGTTCACGTAAAAATACATTGATATTTTTTTGAGGGTCCACAGCTTTTTTTGGTTTTGATTGATTACACATGGTGAAATGTTCTGTTTGCAGGAGGGACAGAAAGACTAACCTAACTCGACAGAGCTTATTCATAGACTTCGTCTATAATTGTACTGTTACAATGTTAATCTTTGCAAAATAATCGTAAAGTACTTCAAAAACTGTATGAATTTAGTTTAAACAGTTTCTTGTAGAGACAGTTTCTTCTGTGTTGAGAACACAATGAGAGCGATAGATTTACTTTTGCTGCTTCTTAGACATATTAGTTACTGATCAGGCTTTGCTGTAATTACTATACAAAACAGACACCAATAGAAAATGACTGGTACAGGCAATGTGGCCTGAAAGGCAACTACAACTGTAACATTTGAAGCATTACTTAACAGTGCAGTTTATATAGATGTCACCCCTAGAAAGTATTAAGTGTGTCAAACATTAAATGTATTGTGAGAGAATTGTAAATGACAACCTGTCATGTAGCCGCCATCTGAAATATTAGCATGGTAAAACCACACCAGCGGTATGTAGATTTAGTAGATGTTTATTCTGTTTATTCTATACCCAGCATACTAGAGAAGGAATACTGTTAATCCCAACTAATGTATTGTGTGCCATTAACTTACTTCCAACTTTTGGTTACCTTACAAATAACTTCCAAAAGGTCCTGTCATTAAAATGTTCTCATGGCTCAGACTCAAGGCCTTCATTTCTTTAAAGAATCAATCCATCTCATGTTAGATCTTCCTCTTTTGCTACTGTTTTCCACAGTTGATGCACTGAATAATTGGCAAAATCTTATTAGTGCTCATATAAAACTTGCATAACTTGCCCTTGCTAACTGATCAAGTGGTGAAGGACATCTTCATTGTGCAGTTGGGCACAATTATTCATATGAAATATTTAATTTCATTTGCTGGTTCACTCTTAGTTTGGGGAAGATAGAATTGCTAATCATTATTCATTTTAGAAGTATTACTTGCATAAAAAAACAAAAACTAATGGTTGTTTGAAAACTAACTGTACAATTTTATACATGTCTATTTAGAAGCGCATCTCAGTGTATTCAATGGGCCTGCTCCCTAGTACTGTATATATGTGTAACATTATGCCATGGAGATTGCGGAGCAACTATGGCTATCCACAAAGCTTTGGACTGCAACTCCCAACATTCTGGAATATCAGCTATGCTGGCAAGGGTTAATAGGAGTTGGAGTCCAACATCACAGATGGTCAGAGATGCCTGGCCCTCCATTACACTAACATACACATTGTGTGACTTAGATTTTACTGCATAATTCTATGCACATAGTCTCAGAAGTTAAGATATACAGTATTAAATACTGTAATTTACTCCTAGATACGTGTCTTCAATTGGTGTCTCTCCACCGTATTTCCTAGCCCCTGCCCTGTCTGACGAAGACTCCTACAGGATTCTAAAGCTTGCCTTTTAATGAAGTTTTAATAGTCTAATAAAGTATTACCAACTCTGACGCTGGGTTTTGTTCTTCCTGTTACATGTGTTAAAGGTAAAGGTAAAGGTTCCCCTTGACAATTTTTGTCCAGTCGTGTTCGACTCTAGGGGGCGGTGCTCATCCCTGTTTCCAAGCCATAGAGCCAGCGTTTGTCCGAAGACAATCTTCCGTGGTCACGTGGCCAGTGCGACTTAGACACGGAACGCTGTTTACCTTCCCACCGAAGTGGTCCCTATTTATCTACTCGCATTTGCATGCTTTCGAACCGCTAAGTTGGCGGGAGTTGGGACAAGCAACGGGAGCTCACTCCGTCGCGTGGATTCGATCTTACAACTGCTGTGTCTTCTGGCCCTGCAGCACAGGCTTCTGCAGTTTAGCCCACAGCACCACCACGTCCCTACGTTACATGTGTTACATGTGTTACCATCTGGCAAATTAAATCCAACCCACCATATTGCAGAGAGGGAGGAGGAAATATGTTTATTTATTTATTTAAATAAAATAAAGAAATATGTTATTTCACTCTGTGTATCTGCTTATTGAGCTATCTGCTAATTGAGCTGTCTGTAAAATAAATAAATAAATAAATGTTATTTCACTCTGTGTATCTGCTAATTGAGCTATCTGCTAATTGAGCTGTCTGCGGAGCCAGAGGAGCTACAGTGCCTCCTCCAAGTAGAGCCAGCCTGGGTGGCCTTGGGCAAGTTGCACAGTCCTAGGATGCCCTTGGAAGAACAGAATGGCAAGCAGCCTGGGTGGCCTTGGGCAAGTTGCAGTCCTAGGATGCCCTTGAACAGAATGGCAAGCCACTTCTGAGTATTCTTTACCTGGAAAACCCTGAACAGGATTGCGATAAATTGACTTAACAGCAAATGATGATTATCTGCAGACAATAAAACTTAATGTATCTCGAGTGTGAGGAACTGTGGATCTCTAGAGGTTGTAAGAGTCGAATTCCAGTCAGCTTCACTGGGCAAAGCCATCAGCACCGGAGGGAACTGAAGTCCAACAAAATATTTATTTGGATTGTTTGGTGCTTTAGTTGGGTGTGTGTCCGGTGTTTTTATGTATTTTAAACTGGCTAGAGTAGTTGTTTGCTATTGGATGGTGGTTATATAAATGCAATAAATAAATACATGACTATTTTTTTTCTGGAGAGCCCAATGTTCTCTGCCTGGACATAGTTGGGGCAAAAATTTTCCCAGCACAATGTCGTCTCATGCTACAGTACAGCGACCGCCATTCCCAGACCGCATGGCCAAGTAGGCCAAATAAGTGTGTTAAGATAATGAACGAGTAGCCTGCAGATCTGTACTGTCTTAACTTGAGCGTAACTTTAGACTACAGTTTTAGGAAGGGAAAAAAAACATGTAAAACCGCCCGTTTCAACGCTCCTGGATAACAAAGCGAAGAAGCCTACAAGTCGCCCTTCCTCCAAAGGCGGGCTTAGCCTTCGCATCCCTACAAAGAGGCGGGTCTTGTCGTTGGCTTTTGGCGCCAAATATTCTTCGGGCAGAGGCGGGAGCGGCTGACGTCGAAGCAGGAAGCGTGTCTGAGAGTCTCCCGTGATTGGTTGCTTGCTCTCTGGCTCCGCCTCTCCTGTTTGGCCTGGTACGGGGGGGGAGCGGAGAGTCGGGTGGTCACCGGTGGGGAGTGGAAAGCAAGCGAGAGGGGGGGCAGCCACCGGGAAAGGGAGAGGCGGGGTTGCGCGGAGAGCTTGAGAAGGAGGGACCCACGGAGGCCGGGGGGGTTGGTGCGCCACTCGGGGGGGTTGGTGCGTCACTCCGGTTTGGGAAGGCGAAAGGTAAGCCAGTGGCAGGGGAACAGGGGTGGAGGTCTCTGGAGGAGTATATGTGGAAAGCAAAGTGGGGAAACTCGCACAGTCTCCGGCTACCTTCTCTGTGTGGGTGGTTTCCTGCCCCATAGAGTGCTTTCTGCCCGCCAGCAACACGCCACGACCCCTTGCTTCCCGCCCCCCCCAGGCCACTTTTTTCCACACACCCACTTCTTCTTCCTCCTCCTCCCATCGTAGCCCTCCTTCCTGATCCCTTCATGGACCACGCTTGACCAGCCTTTCCCGGAGCGTGACCCACCTCTACCCACTTTCCCACGAAGGCTTGCACTATCCACTGCCGGGGTGTGTGTGTTTGGGGGGGGGGGGTTGTTTCAGGTAGTGGAAGTGTTGAACTGGCGAAATGGGTGGCACAGCCCACGGAACTGAAACTGGCCCACACACAACAAATCCTTCCCACACACACACACACACACAAACACGTCAGGGTGAGGAAACTTTAGCCTGCCAGATGCTTGGAACTACAACTCCCATCATGCCCTGCCGTTGGCTATGCTAACTGGACCTTAAAGTCGGTCAAAGGCGTGGAGAGCCAAGAGTTCCTCAGCCTGGATGTAAAGAATAATGTGTAATTGTGCTCTAGCGCCTACACTCTTAAATGATGCCCTGCATAGGGGGAAAATTCATTGTGAAAACTGGGCTGGAACATTTCTCCCTTGCATGCCAAGTTTATCTTTTAAAAAAAAAACATACAAGGATGGTTATTGTGTGAGGAAGGATTTTAAAAACCGTATTCTTACTATTTTGTTGTTGCCTAGCTCTTTATTCTGATTCATGTGGAATTTGCTTTTTTCCCTCCCAGTCCTGTCCAAGACTAAGTTCACAAAGAACATGAACAGAGTGCTGTGCCACTGAGTGATGGAGAAGCACCCCAATCATTTGAGGTTATAGCAGGAGCTACAGTGTCTTGAGAAGATGCTTGCAGGCCTTTCTCCTGGCTCTCCTGCCTAGCGAACTGCAATGGGTAGGTTCCTGGGGAAAAGGACCTTTTTAGTGATAGCGATGTGCTTATGGAACACAATCCTGTTTGGGTTGTTTGTTGTCTTCTTTATGTGGTTTGTGGTGTTGGAAAAGACACTTTTATGCCCCAAATATGTTTAAATGTTTACATTTTTAATCGGCTGGGTTTCAGATTTTGGGGATATTTTTAATGATGCTTTGATCATTTGCTGTTAAAATTTTGTTTTATTTATTGGTTATTGATCCATACTAGTAGGAGAATGCTGTTAAATGAGTTGTGTGCATAAATGCCGGTAGTAACATAAATAAATAGTAATTGCATGCCATCAAGTTGATTCCAACTTATGGTTCCAGCACTTTCTAGATAATGAATACACAGAAGTGGTTTGCTGTTCCCTTCTTCTGGGGGCCTCATGAGACTGTGTAGCTTGGCCATGAATACACAGGCTGATTCTTCTTGCAGGAGGTACAGTGTGGAATTGAATTCCTATCCTTTGGCTCTGAACTCAGCTACCTAATGCTATATATTTACCTAAACCACTGAGCTACCCAGCCAACTACAAGTAATAAAGAAGCAAACAAATAAAACACACGATTTATAGAAGGCTTGTCGTCTTTTATTTTTTTATGATATTGATATTTTTTTTTCTAGTGAGTTCAATTATTGTTAGATTTGTGGTGAAAGAAAGGAATTTGAGTCAAGTGTAATTTTTGCTATTACTCTTCCCTCCTTTTATAACATATTTTTCCTTATGCATTGGAAGGCATTGGTATACCCATTCCTCTCCATTGGTCCCTCTCTTCAATAATTTTAGAGAACATTAGATCTCTGAATAAAGGGCTGGGTAAGAAATGCTTGTAATTTAATGTAAATAAATTTATACAGAGGAGTATAAGTATTAAATCCATGCATTTTGTTAACTGCTCAGTTATTTTTTCCCATGTCTACCTAGGAATGATTCTTAAGAACTCTTAAAAGTATTTTTTTTGTTTGTTTGTTTTATTAACTTGTGAGTTGCTGTTTAGGCTAATGTACTGACTTTTCTCCCCTAATTAATACAGATGGGACATACCTAGGAAGAGAGTATAATGGCAAAAAGTGATGATGAAATGACGTTTTCTAATCGTCTGTATGGCAGTAAGTTTCTTAATAGGTTGTGTTTTGAATATAGTGTATGTGTATGAATATAGAAAAGTTCCATATTATAAACTGTCGATAAGTTAAACTTACAAAATGCTACATAATGTATTTGAAGAAATCCAAAAGTATAAATCCTTGTACAGCTCTGCACCATATTGTGTCTGGAGCTCTTCTTGTCTTCAAAAAATAGTAACACAATTTATTTTCATTTTGCATTTGTTCTGGGGTTTTTTGGTTTGTTTTATGAGAAATATATTACTTCCACCATCAGCTTGATATAGCCATTCGACAGTCTGATTGGGTTGTGTCTGAGGACTGTAGCTGTGTATCACAAAATTGTGTCACTCAGACATTGAGACATTCAGCTTTTCAAAAGTGGTTTTGAAACTGAAAAAAATTGAGGGGTGACCCATACCATGCCAGCAATTTCCCAAATCATTCTGTAGCAAAATCCTGTCAAATATACTAGATTCTAATGTTAAATCCTATGCATTGGATACAACCACCGTCCACTAAACCCTGTTTTGTTTCCCATTATGAACTAGGTAAAAATTCCTTGCCCAAAGGTGCCTGTTGTGGAGAAATACTGTAGGTTCAATATCTCATCATGACTGGACATATAGGTATGTCTAACTTGTCTTTTCTCTGTATTTTCAGATTCTCCTTGTCGAGAAGGTGATGAAAGTTCAGTGGATATATATGATGGCTTAGACAGCACTCCAACTGTTTCAAGTATGTTCATGATTATTTGGTTAGATGTGAGACTCTTTCATTTATGATTGATATACTCGGCCTTTCTTCCAAGGAGCTCAAGATGGCCTGCATGATTCTTATCCTCCCACTATCTCCAAAACAGCCTTATCGCGGAGGATTTGACTGAAAGATAAGGACTGGTTTATCACCAAAACTTCTTTGTATGGTTTTGAACCTGGTCCTCCTGCTATGATGAAGCCGTAACATACTAAAATTGCTTTAAGCAGAAAGAGAATTCCTGCTGTTCCAGTTACAACATGGGATAGTTTCAGTTATTTGTACTTCAAAAAAGAAGTACAGTCACGAAAATATTTTTGTTCATTCTGGGAATTTTGGCTTTGGTTTAATATGCAGTTTTGAATAAAATAGGTATCACAGGAGCATTCTGGTTTTTGTCTCCCATTCAGATGAAAGTAGTGTTTTTTAAAATAATATAGGTCACAGCTGCAGTGTTAAGAAGAACATCAAGAAAAGATATTTAAAATGTGATGTTTGTCTTCTGAAATGTACGAAAGGAGTAACAGCATTACAAGATGCTAACATTAACCATAAAATTTAGATCCTGCAAAAAACTTAAAATCTGAAACTAGTTTTTGTAATTATTTTCCTATTTGCATCTTATATTCTCCATGGTGTTACAGGCATGTCATGGTTTCAGTTAAGTATGTGTAATAATTTTCAAACTTAATTGACAAATGTGGAGATATCTTAGGCTGAAGTTGGATGAGTGTTATTTTGGGAAAATATTTTGTCAGTGGTATACCAGAGTTAAGGCAATATTTTACCTCCCCCCCCAAGGACTGAATGAAAGTTAATTAAAAAAATTCAAATCTTTAAGATTTTTTTATATCACTGTTCTTCTAATAGATGTGAATATTAGAACTTGCCTTTCATTTGTCAGTGTGGTCATTTCTTAGATAGTTGCAGATTAAACAGCTGTCTTTTTCCTTGCCCAGGTTAAACTAATGTTGAGTGTTGTTCTTCATTCACTCAGTTTGCATTCCCCAGTTCTTCAATCATTCCATTTGCAAGACACATCTTAAGAGCTTTGAAAACACTTGCATTAGCACAAAATATGCAGGCTTTGTAAATGGTGCTGACTTTGTTTTCCTATTTTTTGGATAAAGAATTCAGCATTTGTTTTCTCTTTTCAGCAGAATCTGTTGGCTAATTTAGTTTGCATTATCTTCCTAAGGGCATGCTTTGCGGTATTACTATTTTTCATAACCTATGTTAAGTTGTAATGTTTGAATGTATTTCACTCCTGCTTCGTAAACAAACTGCTTTGATTCAGTTTGTTTATTTATTTATTTATTAAAAAGTAAAACAAGTGTCTTGACAGAGGACATCTGAATCATCTAAAAGTTTCCAGTGTATAATTTAATATTAAAGCTTGTCTAATATTGATAATATTCCTGTGTCCATTCAAGTGCATTAGCTTAACTTTTTGATTGTAAGTTAATTATGGTGTATCGCCGCCTAGAGTGGTCATAATTGACTAGATAGGTGGGATATAAATATAATAAATGAATAAATAAATAAGTATTCCAGGATCCAGAGCATCTAGTTCCTTATTATCATGGGGGACTTTGGGCTTCTATTTCTGGAACAGCAGTCCTTCCCCCCATGTAGCAAGATACTTTTGAATCTGATAACAATTTCAAAAGTCATTTCATATAGCACATGGGTCCACCATTTAGGGCATGTCAGAATCTAAAATCCATCTAAGCCCTCGGGTGCACATGAAGTAGATACAGATATTTGTTTAACGCTATAGTCATGTAATTAAAAATAAGTAAAACACTTTCTTACCCTACCCAGTTAGCAATTCTTCAGAAGTGACCCTATCCGCAACTGGTTTAAATCTGTTTGATGAGATCCTGATTGAAGAAGGAACAGCAAAGGAAGCTACTTACAAAGATGTATGTACTTCATATTGGTAATACGTTTTTGAAATGTGTTGCAGCTAATTGAGTAGTGTTGTACTCCAAATTCATGGATTCTGTGCTTCTCTATGTTGCCATTTATTGGCATATAGCTCGGAATAATATATGAGCTTTATCTAACATTGGCTGAAATCCTGTTGCTTAGTGTAGTAAGTCATACTAGAGAAGAGCCAGGAGTCAATGGGCATCTGGTGAGTCAGCTCCTCCATCAATGCTGTTGATTCAAATGGGCCTACTCTAGTTGTGATTTTGCATAGTAAGTCACAACTAGAGTAGGCCCATTTGAATCAAACTTACAGAGGAGATGATTCACTGTCACTGCTTTACTTGGCCTATTTTAGTGCAATAGACTACTAAGCAACAGGATTCAGTCATTGTGAAACCAGAATAGAGACAACCTCTGTTTAAGAGTTAACTTTAATCACTGTAGGGCTTTATTGTACTGTATCGGCATTAGCATGATTTCATCATGTTACAGTGAAAGTCAGTGACATATTTCAGTTAACATCTTTGATTTTCATGTATAAAACCAAGAACTGAATAGGTTGTGTGGAGTGGTTTTTCTCTACTTTCATTACACACACAAAGAAATATCAAAAAGTTTGGATTCTTTTAAATACCAAAACTACCCTTCATATTAATTTACTATTTAATTTAATACAAATATGAATATTCCTATCTCAACAGTTGCAGGCTGAACATGAGAAATGTCAACAACAGCTTCAAGATTTTATGAAAAGGCTTAAGGAGATACAGGAACAGGTACTGTAGTGTATACGTCACAAAAATGAAAGTATTCTGTAATTTTATATCTGCCTTGTTTTTTGTTTGCAGTTAGTGTGACTTGTTAGGCTAACTCTATGTCAATAATTATTGCTAAGCTCTTAAAGAGAAATGGATATATGATGCAAATTAGACAACAGATTTGTAAGATGCTGTGAATCGCCTCTCAGTGTGTTCAGTATTGGGTTGTAGCCAAAGTTCCCTCTAAGGTGCATGAGCGACTCTGCCCCCCTTCACACAGCTTTCCTCCTCCTCCGGCCCCTTTTATTCGAATAGCAATGGAACCCTGCACAGGGGGTGGAGCCCCACCCAGCAAGTCTGAAAATTAGAGGGAACATTAGTTGCAGCATGTGTTCATGTGGCCAATGGCATCATTTGGAAGTTTCATTTCGGCAAATTATTCGGAGTTCTAAAGAATAAATCCAGAGACCCTGATGTGTAAATGGGGGAAATGCCTCTGCCAAGCCACTCAAGACTTGCCAGCTTTCCCAGAGCAGTATGTAAAGTGTAGGAAGGGGCTGCAGGCTTGAAAAATATGGTGAAAAGTGGTGCTTGTGAAAATAACTGTTACTTGTACAAAGGGTTCTTTAGATCTAACCACTATTTTCTTTACATATAGAGCAAAATAATGCATACAATCCAGGTAGGCCAGTCAACAAACAAATATTCTTTTAAGAATTTCATTCATGTAATATTTTGCTTTTGAGTGCAGCTGGCTGGATAGCTTAGTGAGTTAAGCATCTGGCTGTGAAGCCAGAGATTGGGAGTTTAATTCTCCACTGTGCCTCCTATGAACAGAGCCGGCCAGTGTGACTTTGGGCAAGCTGCACAGTCCCAGAATGCCCCCAGAAGAAGGGAAGGGTAAACCACTTCTGAGTATTCTCTACTTAGAAAACCTTGAGAAGGATCACCATCAATCAAAATTCACTGGACGGCACATGTTTACAGTGGTGCCTCGCTTAGCGATGTTAGCGATGTTTGAACCCATAGAAGATCCTCATTGGGAAACTGCAGAGTGGAACACTTTTTGCCAGTTCCCTTGACAGACTCTGAGACTACCTCCCATACTATTTGGGAAGGTCCCCAAATCATATGAACAGATTTGACAAAAGCCAAGTGAAGGAAGGGTAATCAGAAATCACTTTCACTTTCAACCATGGGAGATTACCATTAACCAAGTCTTGCTTAGAATTTAGGTGCTGAGGCTGTTTGTTTATTTATTCTAGCCTCCCACGCTCAGTGGGGATGAGAAGAAGCTAGAAAATTAAGACAGCTGAATTTTTAAAGCTACACATGAACATTTAAGAGTGTATTGAGTATGCTACATGACACTTTAATTCTCATCTAGATGTGAAATCTATATGTATAATCCTGTGCATGTTTACTCAGAAGTAGGTTCCATTGTGTGTGTTGTGGTTTTATCCCAGGAATGTATCAGCAGGATCACACCAAAGGCTGCCATGCTATGTTAGCAAACATGCTATGTTTGCTAATCAAAACAGTTGTATACAACTTAATGCATACTTAGAACTTTATGCTTTATATCAAATTGATAGTAGCAGAGTAAGAAGGCGATATAATAGTAGCAGAGTAAGAAGGAGATATAAATTATGTTTTGCCCCTTAAGCTGTTCTGTTTATGGAACAGATTCTAAACTAGTAGAGGATCCTACTGGTGAACTTGAGGAGAGGAGTGTTCTATCTTGGTATTTGTTTTCTTGATTTTATTCATGCATGCACATTTATTTGTATAAAATACCAATGTCAGTGTACATTCTTTTAAAATTAGAATTCTGCTCTCCAAAATGAAAATCAGTCCCTTAAGAAGAATATTTCAGCTCTTATCAAAACAGCCAGAGTCGAAATTAAGCGGAAGGATGATGAAATTAATAATCTCCAACGAAGGTACTAGTAGCGCTATCTTACTAAATGATTTTTTTTCCAAAAATAGTCCTTGTTAAAGAAAAAAAAGGGAAGAGGCACCAAACATTGTTAACCAAAATAGAAAATATATTTTCTAAGCACATGTTTACATGAATGAGCAATTAACTTTTAGAGCACCTTAATCCTTTCTGCATTAGTTTTTGGTGGCTGAATGTACTTCCTCTGACACAAACCTTAAGCCGAATAAAATAACTAATTTTTAAGGTGCCACAAGGTTATTTTATTTTATATTGTTTATTACTACAGGAGACTTATACGGTAACTCTCCTCCCAATTTACCAATAAATTAATTGAGATGTAGATCAGGATCTTATTGGCTAGTTACACAAGTGCAGTAGTTAATTTGCATGAGCAAATTGCTTCTATTTAACCAGTCACTCCTTTATGGCACACTTGTATCCTTCACCATGTGAATTGGTGTGATGAAGGGTGTAACTGATTTGTTTACTAGTAGAAATGTACTGCTGAAGTTTATGTCATTGTACTTATGCTGACAAACCTAATCATCAGTAACATGCTGGCACTGCATTCTTAAATATTAAGTTAATTTTTAGTCTGGCTACCAAATAGCTGTTATTTTTAGAATTATCTCTTCTAAAATCTGGAGAATTTATTAAAATAAGGAAATTTTAAATATCTTCAGTTATTGAAGTCTGGGTCTATAATACCTGAATGAAAAAGTCAGTGATGCATTTGAACATAGGGCTAAATTCACAGTGAAAATAAACTGCAATGAGCCAACAGAAAGGAATTGCAAGTTTCTGGTTTAGATGAAGCACACTTATCACGTCCTCCAAGCCATGACAAATTGTGGTTTATTGAAATAAGCCAGTTTAATAACTAAGGTCAATATCCTATATCAGGGGTCCACAACTGCGGGTCCGCGGCCTGGTACCGGTCCGTGGGCTTCGCAGGATGTGGAGACAGATCTCCCGCCCACCCCCACACACGCTTGTGGATGGGCATGGTGCGCATGCATGCGTGCATGCCCTACTCACCTGCGAGTGCACCACGCCCATGTGCAAGTGCGCCCTGTGCAAGCATGCATCGCGAACATGCCACACCCACCTGTGAATGCGGGGGGTGCCCCCGACCCTTCCACGCATGGACCCCGCCCCCCCAACCGGTCTGCCATTCCGAAAAGGTTGGGGGCTACTGTCCTATATAATGTTGGTTGCATAGAAAGCCTCACATCACATCTTTGCAGGCTTTTGAGAGAGTTGAGGCTCCAGGAGTAGCTGGATCAGTGCCAGGTTGTTCCAGCATAGCTAGCGCTAAACAGCATCTAAGACTGTCTTGGGTGAGGTGGCATGGAGCTGCCCCTCACAAACAGAGAACTGCTTCTGCAAGGAGCTGTTGGATGACTCCTTGTGCAGTCTTCCAGAAGAGAGAACCGCACCATCAACAAGGGGTTGTGTGAGCATAAAAGCACAATTGAAATTCATTCAAGGTAATTGTGTTGAGCCTTTGATGCCTTCAGGATAAAAATCTGAAAAGAACAATGTACATATTTGTTTAATACTTGTAATACATCTGTTTGATTTTTCTCATCAATTAGGCTTTTAAAATCTTTGATACCTTTTTGAAACATAGCTCATTCAGACTTTTTCCCCCCTCTAAAATGTAAACAGGTTGTCAGAAATTGCATCTCATCAGAATACTCGACAATACTTCCCAGGCTCTACTAGTACTACAAGAAGTTTTGAGGGATCAAAAGCAAAAAATAAATTAAAAGATATCCTTCCGGATAACAATTCAAAAACTGATTCAAGAACTAAGCAAGCTGTGGCCCCTGCCCTATCTCATAGTTACCTGTCTTGGAACCCAAAAAATAAGAAATTTCATTCAGAAACAAGACGTACTTCATATATACCTCAGTCTGATCCAGAACAGCTTTACACTGATGCTGCTCATCCAAGACTAGTAAATATTAGTGGCTCTTGTGATGAAGAAAAGAAAAAAGAAATTAAAAACAGTGAGCATAATAGCAGAGAGAACAACTACAGATGTGAATCAAAAGCACAACAAAATCCAGATGGATTATTAGATGCTCACAAGAAGTTGCAAGTAAACTCACAAAAAACAGATAGAAATGGACAGTGGAAAATTAATAAGGACTTCAAGCTCAAAAACAACTTGTGTACAGAAAAACAAACTGATAAAGGATCTTCTGATGGGGAGAAGCGACTAATGCCTAAGGGCAGATTACTGCCCCAAACAGGACATCTCAATGAGGACAGGGGCAAAAAATCAGAAGACATAAATCATAAGGATCTGAAAGCGCAAAACAAAGAGGAAAACATTAATGCACAAAAAAACAAGCAATATGATAAGCATCTAGAACAGCAAAGAACTGGAATGCTTATTAGTCACCCTGAAAAGCATGCAATTGCCACTGGTCCTCAGAAACTAAATAAAAGCAATGTAGAAGACAGAAAGATGAAAGAAACTGATGGTAGAAGAAATAAAGGAGTGAGCAATCATGGATTCCAAGGAGACAAAGTATCACTACCACCGTGTCCTATGTCCATTAGAGAGCCAAAACATGGACATTCCAAGGAAGATGACAGAAAATATGAACACATAGATTCAAAATCAAATAGACATCGAACTGAAGAAAAGAGGAAAAACAAGAGAGGCAATCTGATAGAGGACAAGAATTCTGAAAATGAAAGAGATCCAAAGAAAACATCGCAAAAAACGAGAGGAACCATTAAAATGAAAGACAGTGCAAAAGAGGGGAAGAAAGTCTTTCTGGCAGAAGATAATGCTAAGTCAGTTGGTGGTATAGAGGAACACATGCCTGCAAAAGCTGGAAAGGATGAGGAGCAGTCAAAAAGCAAAGACTTAAAACTGAGCTTTATGCAGAAACTAAATTTAACACTCTCCCCTGCTAAAAAGCAAACAGACAAACTAAAATCAGGAGCAAAACCCACCAGTAAATACGATGCAGATACTCCAAGTCAGGAAATAGCATTAGTACAATCTGTCCCTCTTAACAGTAACTCCACTAAGCAAACAAAAACACCATCATCACTGACCGATGACAATCCTGCTCAGACTAAGATGGAAAAAATAACCTCTGCTTTTGAGAACGAAATGCAGATCGGAAATGGCGTCCTGACAGAAGCCGTGAGTGCAGAGCTTTCTACAACATCCTTCCAACAGAACATAGCAGGGCAGTATCAGCTGCCTGAAGCCAAAATTGAAATGGAAGAAGTTAATGATACATTTGTGGCTCCTAGCTTGGGAAGCCCCATGGATCAACATACACTTCCAGACAGTTGTTTCAGTGACTTAGAGACTATAAGTTCAGTGGATTTTGATACTTTTTGTGTCATAGATGAGATTAATGGGTCAGATTCAGACTCACTAATGGATGAGGGGCAGGTCAGTAAATGTGCAGATAAAGAAGTCTTGGTGGATCCTGAAAAAGGAAACAGACTTGTGCCTCATGAAACTGCTGCGGAAAAAGCCAGGATACTGAGTGCAGATATGTCAGAAACCAACCCCAAGGTCCATAACTCAGAGCCAAGTTTTTCTGACCACGGAAACCTTCCAGAAGCATTGTGTGATCAAGGTTTAAAGCCTACATTTGAACCAAGAGACACAAATCCAGTTTTGACTGAAGATGAGAACTCTATACTGAGCGTAGATCTCAATCAGATGAGGTGTATTCCAAAGGCAATTAGCCCTCTGAACAGTCCAATGAGGCCGTTGCCTAGAGTCCTCAGAACAGAAAGCCTGTACGAAGGACCTGTGAAAGGTTATAATACAGGTACATTTTTAATGATGTTTCTGCTTGTTACGTAATTTTTTTAAATTGAGCAATCTGCATTGAAAGATGCAACTATTTTCAGGACGTAATATATGCCTTTTAGAGAGTGCCTTCATAATAAAAGACTAGCACAAGATACAAGACACAACAGTGGCACTCTTATTTCACTGCTCACCCTCTCCATTCATCCCTGTTTCCCTCCCTGCCTTCTCCCTTCTGTCTTTCTAGTTCCCTTCTTATTTCTTCAGTTTGGAATTGTAAAGTTCTGAGCATTGGAAGATTGGGAATGAGTCTTGGGGTTAGGCACCACCACTACCCCCCATGTAGCTTGATGCTTTGCTTTTCTATCAGATCAAACCACATTGTGCCATATAGACCAAATCAGCAAAGTGTGGCTCAAACAAGGCCCAGAAATAAGATTCGCAAATTACATTTTGATCTTGTTTTTCAATCCTGTGATATTCTGCACAGATGAGCTTCTGCTGCATCATGTTTTTTAATTTCAGGATAGATGTGGGGTGCTGTGTTAGGAATAGTGGAGAGGCAGATTTTATTTCACATCCACTCATGCAGAACAATTGAATTCTCAGACATGTAGAAAATCAGACTTCTAAGTAGTGGAAAATTCAATTCAGTTGGAAAAAGGATCTTCCAAGATGCTGTTTTTAAAATATGTTATTTTAAGACTTTGATTTGCTAGCTATGCTGACATTTATGTTTTAAATTCCCTGATCTTCATATTTAGTTAAACAATTTTAAAATATAATTACGGCATAATTTTAATGCAAACACTGCAACTTCAGTATGGCTATGCAAGCCCTTAAAATACTTAATCTTGGAGTCTTCTGGTTCAATAAAAATGTGAACCTTGATTTTCTACACCAGTCCCAATACACTGGACACTGTATGACATTCAACATGAATGGTGACATTGATGTTTTATTTAGTTGGAATTAATTCGGTATAATGTGATCAGAATCTGCCTATCAAGTGGATTGCCCCTGCATAATGCTATTCTGACTATTCAGAATGAGCTTTATTGACTCTGGTGGGATTAGCTGTGGATACCTGCATGTATGGTTGCTTCCTCTCTTGTAAGGACACACTGAGCAAGTCTTACTTAAGGTAACCAAAGAAGATTATACAATAGCAATCCATTTTTTAACATAAGCTACATTGTGTAAACATTATCTTAATGCATGCTACATGGGGCTACCTTTCAAGACCGGTCAGAAACGTCAACTGGTTCAAAATGTAGTAGCCAGACTACTGACTGGGGTGTTATAGAGAACATATAATGCCCCTGCTACAACAACTACACTGGCTATCAGTCTGTTTCCTGGCCCAATCCAAAGTGCTGGTCTTTAGCTATAAAGCCCTTGTATGGCTTAGATCCAGGCTAACTGAAGGACTATATCTCCCCATATATTTTTGGCACTTAAGGTCATTTCTTTTGATTCCATTGCCAGTGTTGGTATGGTTAATGAGGATATGAGAGAAGGCCTTCTCTGCAGCTGCTCACAGGTTATGGAGTGCTCTCTCTGTCTGTCTCTCTTGGGAGGTTAGATGGGGGCCCTCTTTTTTTTTTTCTGCCAACACCTGAAGGCCCGCTTTTCAGGCAGGCTTTTAACAATTATGACTGAGTCCCTGAATGCTTTTTTTAAAAAAAAACTTAAGATCATCTTTGGCATTTTCTTTTTAATCACTCAATATATTTTAATTGTAATTGTTTTTTTAATGTATAACTTATTGTGCTTTCATTTCTATTCTTTTTAGTGCTGTGAGTTGTCTTGAGTGCCCTTACTGGGGTGGGTGGGGGTAAGGTGGCCAGTCAATCAATCAATCAATCAATCAATCAGTAAAAAGACTACGAAGAAGGCTTAACTTTGAGGTATTTATTGTGAAGTGAATCCTCTGGATTTGGACAGATGCATTGATAAAAATTTGGTTCGTAATGAACATATTTACCTACCACATTTCCATTAAGGTGTATAGTGTAACCAAAATGCCATTTACTAAAGAATCTCTTGGCTCAAGTGTTGTTCCATAGGGCCAAATCATTTCAGCTTGAATCTTCTGTGTTCATAATACCATGCTTATTTTCAAAGCTGCCTCCTGCATTCCAAAATGCAGTACATAAAGCTGATGGCAGTTCTAAAAGGAACTCTCTGAATAGCTAAATGTATTGTGCTGAAACAAAATGTTTATTTATAGATAGGTAGGGGTTGGGTATTATATCTTTTATGTCTATGCTTGTAAACCTGGAGTAGTAGCATGCCGCTTGATGGGTGGTATAAAAATCTAATATATAAATAAATAAATGAGCCACTCTGTTTCTGGCACTTGCTGCTTTGCTTTTAGTTGATATATTTAGTTTACTAACTGTCCTGTTCCTGGATTTTTATTTCAGAGAGCACAATAGTCTGTCCTGGAAGAAGCCAATCCGGTGAAATTAACAAGGAAAATCAAAAGCCACTTCACACAGACCACCCAGTCTTAGAAGAGTCTCATCTAAGCATGTCTTCAAATGAATTAGAAGAAGGGGAAATTGTAAGCGATGATGGGGAGGCCGAAACTGAACAGAACACTGAGTACAGTAAAACAATAAAAAGAAAATCATCTGATAGATCTGATTTGTCTAATAGTACGTCTAATCACAAGGCAAAGTCAACATCTTCTGGTGAAGATAGTGGAAAACTGAATTCTGGGAAAAGAAGTAAAGAGAAACCCCATGGTGGAACTGTAAAATCCTCCAAAGAAATGAAGAAAAATAAAGCTGTGAGCATTGATTGTCTTGAAAAAATAGTTCAGATTATCATTGAACCTTCCACTGCACATGAGTTTATGAACATGATGAGAGCTATAAGAAAACAAATACGTAGAAACTATATGAAATTTAAGATACATTTTCCAGTACAGCACTTTCACAGAATTATTGATTCAGCAGTTCTGAATTTTACATCACTTGTGAAATATCTAGACTTCTCTAAAATGACTAAATCAAATGGAACCTTAAAGTTGGATCTTTGTGAAGTCATAGAATCTAAACTTAACCAGATCAAAAAGAACAGTGCAATAGAGTATCTATTTAAACAGCAAGAATCAGATATGAAAAAAAAGTTGTGGAAGCTTGTCGATGAGCAACTTGACCACCTTTTTGATAAAATTAAAAAGATTCTTCTCAAGTTGTGTAACTTGAAAAATTTTGGAAATGAGTGTAGTGAAAGAAAGCTTGATAAAAGAATGAACGCAGGCCCTAAATGCCTTGTAAATCACAAAACTGATAGGCAGAAGTCAAAGAAACCCATCCTGAATGTTATCACTAAAAAGCCTGAAGATTGTACCCTTTCAAAGCCAACAGCAGGTAGCCAATTGTCCAAAAGAGATCACTGTGACATAAATAAACCGCACACACACAAAAATACAACTACAAAATCTAAACGCTCCTATACTGATAATGCAAAATATTCTGAGACCAATACTGGACTACTCAAGGAAAGGTCCATAGAGAATACCTCTTTGAAAGCTGGAAAATATGAAAAGGAAGAATCACAGATGGTTGGAGACCCTCACAAATCTGATATTAGCTCTGGTCCTCTTACAGAGCAACAGATGTCTGGCTTAACATTCAACCTGGTCAATGATGCTCAGATGGGTGAAATGTTCAAAAGTTTGTTACAAGGCTCAGACCTTTCAGAAAAGAATGTTGACTTTATCGATGAACATCAGTGGGAGTTTAGAACACCAGTAAAACACACACCAGAAGATCAGAGCTGTGAGGATGATACAGTGTATGAGGCAGAAGAATCAGTTCCAAAAAACAGCCACATAGAGTCAAGAGTGCTAGATGGTATTAAATGGCCCACAGTTTCACCTGAAAGAGATTCAACTTTTTTAGCAAGACTGCATATGCCAGTTGATCCAGATATTCTAGATGAAAGCTGTATGTTTGAAATTCCTACTGATCAAGCTTTAAAGAAGGGTGAGATCTGCATTTCAGAGAAACCAAAATCACTTGTTTCTTCTATTCTTCTGGAAGACCTTGCAGTGTCATTAACTATCCCTTCTCCTTTGAAGTCAGATGCCCATCTTAGTTTTTTAAAACCCGATGTATTGGGGTCAGTTCCAGAGGATGTTCTAAGTGCTCATTTCAGCGAAGATGCCCATCTTGAGGAGGAAGATGTCTCTGAACAGGATATCCATTTGGCTTTGGAATCTGATAATTCAAGCAGTAAATCAAGCTGTTCTTCCTCATGGGCAACTATGCCTACTGCCCCTGGATTTCAGTATTGCCCAAATCTACCCATGCAGGCAGTAATAATGGAAAAATCAAATGACCACTTCATTGTTAAGATAAGGCGTGCTGCTCCATCTACCTCGCCAAATCTTGATCAATCCACAGATGAACCACTAGCCTCTCTTGCTGAAAATGGTAGCAATGAAATTACGTCTGAAGAAAAATGTGATACCTCGGATTCCAAAAGCATAGCATTGGAAGACAAAATGACAACTGAGAACAGTGTAAATATTGTTGACTCTGAGGATGGCAATCATACTGGGGAAAAACAAGTTTCTGGTTCACCAGAATTTGTGAAGGAAATATCTGTTTATCTGGAGAATGGTCAGGAATCTGTTCAATCTAAACCTAGTGTTCCTAATGATGTTATCGTATCCAAAGAGACATGGTGTAGTAAATCCAGACCTTGTAACATGTTTGAACTCCTTAAAGAGCCATATAGCAATAGCGGAGAAATAGAAGACCATTATTTGCTTGGATCCCATCAGGGGTTACATAGTGATGCTGGCCAAGAAATAACGTCTGACTTGCAAGATCCCTCTAAAGAGCTGAAAGGTTCTTTGAAAGAATCCTCAAGTAAAACTAGCCAGCATGAAGAGACTCCTGAAATGTTTAAACTACCTGAGATGCACACAGTGAAAGTTTTGGGGGGGGAAAGTGTGTTGAGTGCTAAAGAATGTTCTACAATTAGCCCAGTGGCAGTTCCACTTGCAGACGAGTTGTCCTCTAAGAGCCATTGCCATTTTGATATATGTATAGATATGACTGATGACACTCCCATGGAAAATGAAGTTGATTCATGGAACCTTACAGGGCAATCTGCTGTAAATGATATACCAAGAAGCTTATATAAAGATAAAAAGGAACTTAAGGCAGAAGTCTATGGTGAAGCGTTTCATATTTCAGAGCAAGCTGGAAATTTGATAGGTCTCCCTGACAAGCCTGAAATATGTGGGAATGCTGAAACAAAAACTCTTACAAATAACAGTGGTCAGGGGTGTGAAGAAAACCTTGATAAAGAAAGCAAGAAAAGGAAAAAGGAGACAGAAGAAACAGCCAGTGTTAAAAGACAAAAAAAGGAAAGTAATCCATTGGCTTGCAAGAAAAACAGCAAAAGCAACAAAAAGTCCCAGGAAATTACTTCAGTAGGCAAAAGTGCTTCAGATAAAAAGGCTGCATCTACTAGAGACAAGGATGCTCCACTATCAACATTGTCTAAATCAGCGTCAAATCTGTGTGCTAAAAATATCATTAAGAAGAAAGGAGAAGTTGTAATTTCATGGACAAGGTAAGAATGTAAGAAATGAGCTGGAGGTTTGAATAGGAGACTGTTAGATATATGTGGCTGGTGTAGATTGAATGATGCATTCCCACGTTGCGCAGCATAAGCTTTGACTTGGCAACCCTAAGTGAACAGCAGGATGTATCTCTGAACAGCAGTGGAGAACATTGTGTATCGCACCCCTGCTGCTCAGCTTCTTTGGATCACATCTTTCTTGGAGAGTTAGCTTTCTGAAATTGGAGTGTGGGGACCATAACCTTGAAGAAGGGAACATAGAAGCTTTAATGGTCTGTCTATGGGGTTTTGAATGGTAGTCTCTGTCCAAGTACAGTGGTGCCTCGCTTAACAAGGAAATCGCTGTACGATTAGGTTTTTGCGATCACAAAACAATGGTTTAAATGTTTTTTTTTTTTCATTTAACGATGATCGGTTCCCTGCTTCAGGAACCGGTTTTTGCTTTACCACGATCAGCAAACAGCTGATCGTCAGGTTTCAAAATGGCCGCCAGCTGAAGAAAACGGCCCCCGCTTTTTTCTAGGACGGATTTCTCGCTTTACAGGCACCGAAAAAGGCCACCGTATGGAGGATCTTCACTAGATGAGCAGGTATTCAGCCCATTGGAACGCACTGAACAGTTTTCAATACGTTTCAATTGGTTTTTTATTTCGTTTGACAATGTTTTCACTCTACAGCGATTTCGCTGGAACAAATTAACATTGTCAAGCAAGGCACCGCTGTAATAGTGGCGTATTCATGTGACAATATTCAGCAGTACATTATAGTAAAGCAAAAAACATAGCCATTCATTGAAACAGCTTATTTATTTCCAGCAGCTAATATCCCAACCTTGAACTCTAAATAGAATTCTCATAATAAATGACAATAAAAAAGACAGATGCAGCTAAAACACAAATGGGTAGATGAGAAGGTCCTTGTCTGGCCCTCCCAAAAAGGAAGAAAGTACAGTGGTGCCTCGCACAACGGGTGCCTCACACAACGATGAATTCACACAACGATGCCTTTTTCTGTTAAATTTGCCGCCTCACACAGCGATGTTTCCTATGGGGGATTTTCACACAACGATGTCTCTCGTTCCTGTAAAAGTGTCTTACAATGTTTGGAAGCCGTTTTAAATGCTTGCAATGGTTAGCCCACCTCCTGAAACCTATGCAAACTGATTTTGGTGTTGTTCTGACACTTCGTTAATTTATGGTAATTTTTTGTTTTCTCCATTGAAAACCATTGAATGGTCTGTCTAATGGTTTCCAATGGAGAAAACAAAAAATCATCATAAATTAACGAAGTGTCAGAACAACACCAAAATCAGTTTGCATAGGGTTCAGGAGGTGGGCTAACCAGTGCAAGCATTTAAAACAGCTTCCAAACATTGTAAGACACTTTTACAGGAGCGAAAAAGGACTTCGCAAAGCCATTGAAATGTATTGAGTTGGCTTCAATACATTCCAATGGAGGAAACATTGTTTCACACAGCGATGTTTCCTATGGGGATTTTCACTCAGCGATGGCAATCCGTTCCAATTGGAACGGATTAACCGGTTTTCAATGCATTCCTATGGGAAATGGTGTTTCACAGAACGATGTTTCACACAACGTTGATTTTTTTGGAACCAATTAACATCGTTGTGTGAGGCACCACTGTATTCATAAAATAATGGGAGTTGGAAGGGGCCTATAAAGCCATCAAGTACAACCACGTGCCCAATGCAAAACTACATATCAAAGTATAACTTAACATATGGTTGTACAATTTTCTATTCAATGTCTCCAGTATTGGAGAGCTTACTACCTCCTGAAGTAATTGGTTCCATTGTTGTACTGCTCTAACAATTATGAAGTTGATGCCAGGCATGTACAGTATCTCTACAGGAAACAGTTTCACCAGTGAGGTGCTATCATTGAAAACCTCGTTTCTTTTGTCACTTTCAAAGATGAGGTACGCAAAGACAGACCTCAGAAAATCATCTTAGAAAATCAGGAATGTTCATGTAGGAATAACGTAATCCTAAATGACCAGAGACTAGACAGTATGTATGTGATATAAAAAGGAAGAGAATGTAGTGGAATGGATATAGGGAAATTAGTAAAATAAACAGGCATGTATTGTTAATAGGGCACTCTGCTTTTGAATGTAATCTGGCAGAAGTTCTTGCATCTCCCTTTATTGACTGTTAATAATATATATCTTCATCTGTACTTGATGAAGTACCAATTTTGTGAATTAAATAATGTAAATAGGGGAAGAAACTGGAAATTGTTGCAGGAGCTTTACAAAGTTATCTGATTTTTAAATGTTTATAGAACAACTATGACTGTTTAACAAATACACCCCATGCATATTGACTATCAACCAGAAGTCAAATATTACCAGTGAATGCTGATGACGCATGTTGGTTGAAATCCAGTACAGTGGGGTCTCGACTTACGAACTTAATCCGTATTGGAAGGCAGTTCTCAGGTCGAAAAGTTCTTAAGTCGAATCTGCATTTCCCATAGGAATGCATTGAAAACCATTTAATCCGTATCTGCGCTTTTTGTCCATAGAAACTAATGGGAAGCTGCTATTCTGCCTTCTGCCACTAGAGGGGGATATATTTTTTCTTTTTTTCTTTTAACCTAAGATGACTTAGCTTTAAAAAAGGGAAAAAAGAGTTCGTAACTCGAATCTTAAGTTCGTAAGTCGAGTCAAGATAGTCCTATGAGAGCAGTTCGTAAGTCGAAACGTTCGTATGTCGAGCCGTTCGTAAGTCGAGACCCCACTGTAGTAAGTTGCAACTAGAATAGACCCATTGACTCAGTAGAACTTATGGAGGAGTTGGCTCACTAAATCCCCACTAATTCAATGGGCCTAGTCTAGTTGTGACTTATGACTGGCTTCCGGCTACTAGTGAGCATTGGGGGCTTGATCACATTAGGTTACAAGTCATGAGCCAATTTGAAGACTTCTGTAAACCCTAATAATATCCATAACCTTTGCTTTATGCCTGCCAGATTACCAGGAAATGGGGCTAGCTAATTCGGAAATGCAAGTGAGGCTGAGCATTAAGTTTATTTATAGAATAAAAGAATCTGATCTTAACATTAGCCATTCTGTTTTGATCATAGTTTTGATTGAACTGCAAGTAAAAAGTTCAAGACTGTGTTGATCACTGCTGAGAACGAGCTTCAGAGGGGTGTGAAAGTGATGTACTTTTGTTTGGGGGAAGGAAAGTGAGAGGGATTGCCTTGGCTATCCTCCTGCTTTCAAAACATGCTTCCAGTTCCAGTAATATTGTTTTGAAGTGTCAGTATGGGCAGGCTAGTAGTAACTAGTTTCCCATCCAGTGTTAAAGCAATGTTGAGAAATTGAAATTGCCCTTTGCTTATTTGTTACAGAAATGATGACAGGGAGATTCTGTTGGAGTGTCAGAAAAAGGGGCCTTCAGAAAAAACATTTGCTTCTGTTGCTACCAGGTTAAATAAAAATCCAGCTCAGGTACGTGTTGGGGTAAGCACCTTGTTTAATCTGTATCACTGACACTTGTGAGCTGTCTGTACAGTTCATATCTGTAATAATATCATTCCGTGATCTATATCTGTGTTGTATCAATTTACATTCTTAAGAGGAAAAAGTGAGTGAAGGGAAGCGTGTTATCCAAGAGCAGATTGGTCTCTGAACTGATGGCATGGTTGGTTAGAAGGGAACCAAGTTGACTCTGTTTATATCAATAGCAATATTTTCCCTACATGGACTTTATGTGGCATTTAATGTGGTTTCTTTGCAAGGCAAAGCAGTCTGCTTCCACCAGCACATGCTAAAATCTGGTTCGAATATATTGTGTGAAATAGCCCTTTTGTCTCCGGAAAAAGAAAGACCAAACTATGGGCTACTTCATTGCTGAAATATTTTTCTTTTCTTCCACAGGTTGAAGAACGATTCAGGCAGCTAGTGAAGCTATTCAAGATGTCGAACTGCAGTTAGCAATGGGACTGCTGAATGGCGGACTACTTTGAACTTGTTGTGCACTGTGTGTATGTGAGAGAGAGTGCCTGCAGTCCAAGTCAGAATAGCTGCCCGTTGATAATCCTGCTGCCATTAGTTCAAATTCTCTACTTAAACCAAAGTCTCATGAGAAGACCCTATTTTATGAATTGATAATTAGTTCTTGTAGAAGCTGTTGAATTTTTAGAACTCATTATTGACTCTGAGCAGCTTTACGGATTACGGCATACAGAGAGGGCATGATGGCATGGGTTTTCTGTTGTCCAGTCTTCTATTGCAAAACTGAAATATCTCCCCTTAGTATTCTGCTTCAGCTGGCAAAGAATGATTATGAGAAATTGAGGAGTTGGGTATTTGTACTTCTCTGCGTTCCACAATTGCAGGAGCCACGCTTCTTTTAAAACATAAAGCCAATTTCTGACATATTGAAACACTTTTTTTGGCTGAAAAACATCTGGTTGCTATTTGTTTATTGGTATATTAGAAAAACTGTGTAATGTATAGCGTGCTTGTCCTTAGAAAATATGAGAAAACATTAAAAGGTGGTTAAACTGGAGACTCCCCTGTCTCTTGCATTTTAGAAGGCATTTGGACACAAACTGAAGTTTTGCAATCAGTTATAAGCCCTTATGGTCAAAGATATATAATACATTTATTTTAGCATATTTACAGAATTGTTTTGCAAGTAATATACTGGTTTCTCTGCTTTAAAAGGACACTTTTTGTTTGGTAGCGATCACCCAGTATTTGTACCAGCACCCAAAGGGTTTTTTTTTCCAGTTGCATTTCATTTGAGATAACGAATAACAAACATAAAGCATTGAGAAATGAATGGGTCCATCCAGCCTATTACTTTAAAAGGGGTACAATCACATTTCTCAAAAAGAAGTTACAGCCATTCTGACCTGGATAGACAGAGAAGGTTTTGTGTGTGTGTTTGTGAGAGAGAGAGAGAGAGAGAGAGAGAGCGACACACACACAGAATGAGTATAAATTGTAAAAGTTATAAATATCATTCTTTTGTATATAATGTACAGTGTTCTGTATTATGTAAAATACTGTTTTGAAGTACAGTTTCTTTAAATGAACATTTTTATTACATAAAACAAGTTTTATTTTGTATAAATTAAACACTGCATATTGAAATATCAACCTTAAACTGTGTAAAGCGAATGCACTTAATGTAAATTAAAAGTGGACTTTTGAGTGTTTTTATTTCGTACTTTGCAACTTTTTTCAGCAAGAGGCATTTTATAGGCAGTATATTTTTGTACATATGTACATCTGTAGCTTTGATTCTCCAATGTCAAACCCAGAGTCATACATGTTCCACTGAAACTGAGATCACAGAGACTGGCTTCAGCTGTCTTGATAGAACAAGAGTAATGAATGTCAGATTTTCTCATTGCTTATAGAAGTGCATAGGAAATTGACATTGAAATTATGATACTAGGATAATGAATGACCTAGCAGAGCCATGGCCAGCTTCCAGGCGTGATTACAATTTGGTCTTATCTTGTCCAAGATTCTGTAAATTACCTGGAGTTGGACCTCTGTGGGGAGGAAATGTTACACCAAGTTTTTATTACAGCTGTAATGTCAATCCTCCCATTCTTGGATGCACGCCTTAATGTGATGAGGTGAGTTGGTGTGTCAAAGTTGAGAGCAATGCTGTCAAAAGGCCAGTCTCCCATTATGAATAGAGTCCTAGCAGGTTCAGGGAAGGCCCAGTGTTCACACTGAGACACCAAAGATACACCTACCCTCTTCAGCAGCAATGGTCACATCAGCAGAAGAGAATAGTTTCAACGGGGATGGAGAAATTTCTAGAGGGCAGCTACTGGGCAGCAGTGGTAGCTAAAGGTCATACTGGTGGAGAGTCAACGGTGCCACAACACTCAAGCTAATGTTTGTTAGTACTGCTCAGAAGAAGGCAATGCTAAACCACTGCTGAACCTTGAAAGCCCTGTGATGAGACCATTCAAAATGAAACAAGGGATAATACTGGAAGATAAAATTTTGAGATCAGAAAGCACTCAACTACTGGGGAAGAGCAAAGGAGAAATATATCTGTTGCTAATGATGCAGCTAGATTAAAGTAAAAAGGATGTCTAGTGGCTGAGGTGCAAAAGTAAAAGAACAAAAATAGGGTCCGGATCCTGAATGCAGCTTTTTAGCAACTGTTACGTAGAGACAAAGTGCATGATTACAATGGCCAGTGCAGAGAAACGAAAACAAAAGGGGGAAACAACAGATCTCTTTCAGAAAATCGAAAATAGTTATGGGATTTAGATGGGATACTGATAGAACTATTTCAATCCACAGAGACTGAGTCTGTCAAAATCTTAACAAAAATATGCCAGCAAATATGGACAACAAAACAATGTCCCACAAACTGGAAACTATATATATTCTAATCCCCTAGAAAGGAGATGCCAAGGAAGCAAAAATTATGCATTTCATTTGAGAACAAATAACAAACATAAAGCACTGAGGAAGACAATAATGCTGAGAAAAGTTAAAGGCAGCAGGAAAGGTAGATCAAATACTAGATGGACTGACTTCATCAAGAAAGCCACAGCCGGAGATTTTGAAGATCTCTCATTCATAGGGTCGCCATAAGTATGTAACAAGAACAATGCCACTCCTATTTAAACCACATATTTCTAAATGTGTGCCTTGTTGTCACCATTCAGCATTGATTCCTGAAGACACCAAAAAAAGATTACCCTGAAGTTCTGTGCAATAAAGTTCACCCTACATAAAAGATCCTAGAATCATGCTGGAGGGGTGGTTGATGATATGTGAGTAGGTGGTTAATTTATATCTTTGTCCTATCTATCTTCACATGGATTAGTTATACAAACAGGGCACTACATTTCAAACACTGATGTAGTTTTATTCAGCGCCAAATTTCCATGTACTGTATATATCGGTTCTGCTGTTGTTCTCTATAGCAAAAATTAAAACTTGTCATAACGTTTGCAGCAATTCAACATCTGTATACACAACATCAGCCATGTACTACAGATAATATATTGAGACAGCTGTAACCTGTCAAGTGTATCCATACAAGATTGGAGTTAGGAATTTTTTATCTCAGAAGCTGTGTAGTATGTTAGGAGTAGTTGTTGATGATATTTGATTTCTATACTGCCCATTTGGCTACCAAGACCACTCTGGGTGGTTCACCAAAAAAGCAATAATCAGCACCAATAAAATAAAATAACATCAAATAATATGTAGGAATAGACATACACTAAATATTATAGACATATATTTGGGGATGTGGTGGCGCTGTGGGTTAAACCGCAGAAACCTTTGTGCTGCAAGGTCGGAAGACCAGCAATCGTAAGATCAAATCCATTCAATGGAGTGAGCTCCCATTGCTTGTCCCAGCTCCTGCCAACCTAGCAGTTCGAAAGCATGCAAATGTGAGTAAATAAATAGGCACCACCTCGGTGGGAAGGTAACGGCATTCCATGTCTAGTCGCACTGGCCACGTGACCACAGAAACTGTCCGGACAAATGCTGGCTCTACGGCTTGGAAATGGGGATGAGAAACGTGCCTTAGAGTCGGACATAACTGGACTAAATAGTAAGGGGAACCTTTACCTTTTCCTAAACATTATAAATCAATTATAAGCACTATGAACTTTAAACGTAACACATAAAAACAACAATAAAAGTGGTCAAGATGGCAGGACCACTAACTTAGGGGTGGTATATTCTCAAAGGCCTGACTAAATAATCAGGGTTTCAATTATCTCTTTAAAATAGCCAGTGAAAGGGCCAAGGAAGTATCAGTCAGGAGTGGATTCCACAAATGTGGTGCAACTGCCAAGAAAGCCCGATTTCTGGTCTTTTCTTTCTAGGCCTCTCTCAGGGTCAGAGTCTTCAACTGCCCCACTTGGGAGTAGGGCAAGCAGAACGCATCGGAAGCAGGTGTTCTGCCATGTATCGAGGCCCCAGACCATTTAACGGCATCTAAGCGTCATCAGCTTGAAGCTGGCATTGTAATGAATGGGTAGCCAGTGTAAGGTGGCCAGAGTGGGGGAAACATGCTGGTATCTATTTAATCCACTCAAATGTCTGGCCGCCATGTTCTGGACCTGCTGAAGTTTCTGTATCAGCTTCATAGATAGCCCCATGTATAGAGAATTACAGTAGTCTATTCCTGAGACTAGCGTGGTGAGGGACCAGGTATCCAGGTGGTCTGCCTAAGATGAAAATAGACAGAACAGACCACAGATTCTATCTGGGTATCCATTGATAGTGCTGGGTCCGGTAGGACACCCAAACTGCACACCTCATCCTTAGCAGGGAGAGTAGCCTCTCCAAAGGAAAGGGAGGCTCCCAAACCACAGAGACCAGGGCCCCCCACCCTCAGGACCTTTGTCTTGTCTGGATTCAGTCTCCATTTGTTATCCCTCATCCACCTGAGCACAGGATCCAGACAGCACCTAAGGGATGGAACAGCATCACTGCAGAAGGATGGAAGGAGAGATAGCGCCGGGTGTAATTAGCAGCCTCATAGAGATGTACTGTAAATAGCAATGGAGAGATTATCATCCCCTGAGGAATCCCATAACTGAGGGTCCAAGGGCTGGACGGCATCTCTCCAAGTTGCAGTTTCTGCGGTCAGTCCTTGAGGAAGGCCCACAGCCAGCCCAGCCTGACCACCAATCCCCAAGCCTGAGAGCTCCCCAGGAGGATACTGTGTTTGTCTTGGGTGCCATGACGGGACCTGAACCCGTACTGGAAGGGATCGAGGGCATCGGTTTCCTCCAAGAGTACCTGCAGCTGAACAGCCAATGCCCTCTCCATGGGTTTGCTTTAAAATGGAACCTAGGCGATGGGTCTGCAACTGTTATAATCATCCACTGCTAAGATTACTATTATTCTTTGTGAATGGACCTGATGAGTGTCTCTTGAGGCCCTGGGGAAACCTACCCTGAAAGAAAGATGCATTTATGATGGAGGTGGCCCATTCTGTTGTGTTGTTATTGGCATGGCAGCTTTTATGAGCCAGGCTGGGCAAGGGTGCAGGGAGGTTGCAGTGGCTCTGCAGTGGTCAAGCACCTTGTGGGCTGAAATTGGAATGGGTAAATATGTCCGTGCATATGCCAGATTCCTATGAGCAAACATGGACCATAAGGGATCCACGGGTAGAGTACTTCATATTTGTCCTGGTGATCTCTGGCTTGCAGTTACACATGCCAGATATCACCCTATTGAAAACAATTGAGGTCAATGATGATTTTTAAAACAAACTTCAGTGTCCAGTTTTCTTATCTGGAAAAACTGTCACCGAAGCCAGTCAAGGCTACTCCAGAGACATTCTGATCCTCAAAATATTCTGATTCTGTAAGCAAATAGAGGGTTAACTGGAATTCTATGATCATCACAAGGTGTACAGTGCCAGATGCCTATGACTACAGTTATGTACTCGAAGCTGAAGACCTTAATATGATGCTGCCTTTCACTGCCTTTCACACACATGTCAAGCCACAATACAAATATCACAACAGACTTTGAAGTCCACCTTCTATGCCATTAATAAATATTTTTTACAAATAGCAACAGATATGGGTTTAATTCTGGATGTATAAGAAACAGAGATCCTATAAAAAAGGTATTTATGACTATTTGTATCTGTGAGTTCTTTCTGCCACATGGTGAACTGAGTGTTTAAGTGTAAATGCTGTAGTAATAAAAGCCAAATCTCTAATTTCAATTGCATTCTGGTTTATTCTGGTGCCTCATTCATCCCCTCCCCCTGAGTATTAATCTAAGCAGCCAATGCCGCTAGGCAATAGACTATGAAATCGGACATGACCGATTGATCGCTGAGCATTGATTCACATGGAAACTAATGGAATGTAAAGAAAACATAAGAATCCAAAGCTGGTTGAAGAGGCTGTTAGTTCATTTTACAAAATAAACTTGTTTGCCAATCAGTGCAGAAAGAGGGTTTCGCATGTTTGGGTCCAAATGAAATCAACAATGGCCTTCCAAGGCAATGAATTATGCATGGAGCCTTGGGGGATGATTTGGTATGGCTGAAATAATTGTGTGATGATTCTGGCTTACAGGCACTGTCCTGTTGCCAGCCAGCTGATCAAACTGCCTGCGTACTTCGGATTCGCTGATTGTAGCAGCCAAAGAACTATGAATTATGGTCATCATGTCAACTGTGAATGATATTTGAGCTTCCTTGGAAGACAGAAAAGCCACTAATGATTATTTAAATATGCTTTTGGGACCACGTGATTATTTTCAGGGCCTGATTCATTTATAATACTTGAAGAGACTTATGAGCAAGAAAATTACCATTAAGGTAAGCAGCCAGATATATCTGATCTATTTCAAAGTAACATGTACAGAGGTGATAAGAGGATTCTGTTGCAAAGTCATTCCTTTTGGTGTGTTTTTTTGTGTGGGACAATGGTGTTTCTACTCAATGACTCACCCGTTTGTGTATCTTGGAATCTGATGTTTTGAAGTTTGAACTAAATTATCTTTGAATATGATATTCTTAGTCACAGATTGCAGAAGGGTGGGAAAGATAAGAACACATCATTGAAAAGTTAGTAGCAATCAAAAATTTTTCCATCTTAATAATTTTCCATACAGCTGTAACACTGTGAAAAATTATGCTCCTCATTCATTGCTTGCGATCATTAAAAAAAACTGTGATCCTCAAACTGTTATTTAACAATGAAGCCCCAGTCATTAATGAATTCATTTCTGATAATATATATTTATGCTCAAACTTGCAACCCTAATGAGACTCAAAGATGTGTAGAAATAGGTATAGTTCATGTGCCATCATTCTGTGAAAGAGGAACAGTGGCCCACTTCAGCCTGTGGGATATGTTTCCATCCTTTTCGGAGTAGAGCTACTGACACTTCTACAATAAAGGGATGTTTCATTATAGTTCAGATGGTTAATTTGTAGAACTCATCACCACAAGATAGGCTGGTGGGATTCGTGAAAAGTGTTTCATCAGAAGCTATTAGCTAATACAGCTTGCATTTATGGAGGCTGAATATCTCTTAGTAATCGGTGCTTGGATATAAATGCAAACACGGAGGATAGAAAAGCTACTTTGCTGGACTACGGCTACCAGAATTCTTCGGCCAGCATAGGTATGGTGGCTGAAGGATGGTGGATGGTGGGACCTGTACATAACAGTACTCAGTAATTCTTCCACCTTCTGCACTAATGGCAGTTGTCACCTTCAAATGCTGAAAAATGAAGATGAATGTTGTGTGGGTTGCATTTTTGTTGAATCAGCCAGGCTAGCTCTTGCATTCTTAATTCAACTTCAACTTCCTCACAGGAATAATGCCTTCCTCAAACCACTGAGATTTTAAGACAAGACCAAATCGGCTTGAAGCTATGCATACATTTTTAAAAGACAGAACACTTGCTGTTTACAAATTCAGAAACCAGACCATGGCCCCATTTTTCACATCTATGCTGTGAAATATTTCCCACCAAAGTCACCAGCTTTAATAAGCCTCCTTAAAATTATATAGTGAGGAAAAGCAATAACACTTTGTGCACAAGATAGGAAACTCTGTTATGATGAGAGTAAATTAAATACTGGAAAAGGAGTGTGTGTCTTTCTACACATTTCTAGAAACCTGTGTGCTAACTAAAAGCTTGGAATGGCCTCCATATTCCTTTTCCTGTATTGAGCTTCTGCAAAATCTCTCACAGTTTTGAACATAAGGCATATCTGGTTATCACAGCAAAATAAAAGAGGGGGAAAATGCCCAGCTGCATCTCTTAAAAAAAAATAGCAGTAGTTTACATGAGAGAATAGCCCTATGAGGATGGCATGCAAGCATGATGGGACTGTAATTTTTCAGCTCTCTACTTGCCTATGGGGAATACTGTTCACGCCAAATAACTGTGTGGGGTCTTAGAATGTGCATTTGGGTTGAGTTACTAGACCCATTAATTCATCTCTTTCTAGAAGGTATCAACTCCAGATTTTCTTGATGTTGCATCAGCTCATGGATGGGGAAAGAGAGAGAGGGAAAGGGAGAGGGAAAGGGAGAGATGCTCCATTTGCTTTTCAAAGTCCAGACCTAAATGAATTTGTGTGCTTTTTTGAAGGGTGGGGGGAGGATCTTTGATCGCTTGCTTCTTTGTGATATTGTTGGACACGCTTCCCAAAACAATAGTGCTTTTTTGTCCCAACTAGCTTAGTAGCTTTGCTACATTTAGCACAAGGAGGAAACTGAAAATGGCATTCCTGTGATGCATGAGCCAGTTTTCTAAGAAATCTGACCGAATCTTTGAATATATCGTTCCCTTCCCAACCACCCCATATGTTGAGAAGAGCAGATGACCTGATCCTGGTCAATTCATTCATCATACTCATATTCCTAGCAGATCTGGAGCCTTCCATTTAGTTGTATCAAGAAAACTGCCATTTCTCTACCCATCCTGGAGAAGATCCTTTTGGTAGTCCTTTCCCTTTGCAGACAGAAAATGTCCTTCATGTATTCTTTCGCTTCAGTCAGGACTGCATGCCTCGAAAGGAATTCGGAACAGTTTTACACACGATGGCTCTCAAACTCAAATAACCATAGAAGCAGCCATTCCCCTGCTAACGTTGTGTTGGTATTTTATTTCAGAGATGAACTCATGACTATGGGGGACTGGAATCTGCTGGGCAGCATCCTTGAAGAAGTGCACATTCATTCCACCATCGTAGGCAAAATCTGGCTCACCATCCTGTTCATATTCCGAATGCTGGTTCTGGGCGTCGCTGCGGAAGATGTCTGGGATGATGAGCAAGCAGAGTTCATTTGCAACACAGAGCAGCCCGGCTGCAGCAATATCTGTTACGACAAAGCTTTCCCCATCTCCCTGATCCGATATTGGGTGCTACAGGTCATTTTTGTCTCATCCCCTTCCCTTGTTTACATGGGTCATGCACTTTATAGACTTCGGGCCCTGGAAAAAGAGAGGCAACGGAAGAAAGCCCGCCTCAAAGCTCAGCTGGAGGAGATTGAGCCTATCTTGGAAGACCACCGGAGGATCGAGAGGGAGCTGAGGAAGCTCGAAGAACAAAAGAAGGTGAACAAGGCGCCATTGCAAGGTGCCTTGCTGTGCACCTATATCCTGCATATCCTGACCCGTTCTGTCTTAGAGGTGGGCTTTATGGTCGGTCAGTATCTTTTATATGGCTTCCAAATGTATCCGCTTTATAAATGCACTCGTCCGCCCTGCCCCAACACGGTGGATTGTTTTGTATCGAGACCAACAGAAAAGACCATCTTCATGGTTTTCATGCATAGCATTGCAGCTGTTTCTCTCTTTCTGAACATCCTGGAGATTGCCCATGTGGGGATCAAGAAGATTAAGAAGACCCTTTGTAGGAAGCACAGGGAGGACTTCATATCTCCTGACGAGGATGCGGACCTTTCCAGCTCCAAGAAAAATTCAATGATACAGCAGGTTTGTATCATGTCAAACTCGTCTCCCCAAGGCAGTTTTAAGTTTATGTCAGAGCAGCCAGGTGGCCTGCCAGTTTACTTGACTCCTGGGGAAGGATACACCGCTGCCGAACAAACCCAAAATGTGGAACAGCAGTGGAGTAGCAACCAGAGAGGCAGGCCCAATCAGCACCAGGACCATAGCCACCATCTCTATAGACATGTAGAACATCTGAATGACAGTGACCAGCATCACAACAGACATCTCCCTACTAGGCATCTCTCAAACCTCACAGTTCAGCGGCATGACTATCAACACCAGAATGCATCTTCCAGTAGTGAGGACACCCAGAAACCAACCCAGCAGAGCACTAACACCTATCGAAAGAATGAACAGTATGCTCTGGAACATGCTAAGAACCCTCAACATGCTACCAAAGCAACCCCCATCTCCAGTCATATGGAGAGCCCTCAAGCTGTTCTTAGGAAGCCTAGCCGAACGAGTGGCTGCAAGGACTTGGGAGATGATCATTGCGATTCTCCAGACAGTGGGCATTATCAGAGCCGTAGGTCAAGCTTTTTGCCCAGGGCACTGTCACAGAGCCGACTGGAAACTGACTCAGAGACCTCAGACTCACGGAACGGTTCTGGCTCAGAGGCTAAACGCAGAAATGACAGCAGCAGCTCTCCTACCACACCGCCACTTCCTTCCACAACAGGACGCAGAATGTCAATGGCAAGTAGACCCAAGCGGCCTTCCTTCTATACCCTGCTAGTGTGAGTTATTGATCCTTAGCATAACCTTGGCCCAAGATTTGGGCTTTATTGGCTAGCCTGGTTTGGAGTTATGTTCAAATAAAGTGGAATGGTATCTTGGGTTTCTTAAAACCACAAACTGGTGGCACCAGCAGCTGCTGGCCAGGATGGATTTGCCTTGCTTCCAGTATCAAAGGTAGTATGCCTTCAACAATCTTTGCTGCGAGGCATCAGCAGGAGAGCGTTATTGCACAAATCTCCTGCTTCTGGGCTTCCCAGAGGCATGTTCCCGGAGGAAAGAGAATGCTTAGCTGGATAGGGCATTAGCTTGAACTAGTAGAGCTCTTATATTCTTAAAACAAGAGAATCAGAATTATTTTTGAAATGGCCAACCAAAGCCAAACAAGATTAATTAGGAATCAGACATTATAGACCTTAGGAGCTTGGTGGGAAATAATTTGTTCTCAGCTATCATGTGATGAACAGAGATAGCCATGAACTGGAAACATGTACTTAAATCCCTAGATTGACTATAAACTTACTGGATAATCTTAGGTAAGGCCCTACCTCTGAGTCGCAGCCCCCATATTTAACATGGGTGCCATGGCATGACTTTAATGAAGTGCTTTGTATCTTAAAACTTCCCAGCTTTTATGCTATACATGAGTGTGTGTCGCATGCTGTCAAATTGCTTCTGACATACCGCAAACCTACTAGGATTTTCCAGGGATGAGAGATATATAAGGAGAGGTTTTACAAGTGTCAACCTCCTGTGGACTTCATGGCAGAGTGAGGTTTTGAACCCGGGTTTCCCGAGTCCTACTCATCAGTCTGTCCACTACACCACGCTAGCCCTATGCCATACACAAGGCTGCCATATTCTCCTGAACACGGGCAACTTTCAATAATTGCAGATATATGTGAACTCTCTAATAAGGGAGACAGGGAACCTACAGTCCACTGGCAGCCTTAATAATTACTCTGGTGTCTCATGGGCCAAGGAAGAAACCCCAGCCCCAAATGGAGCAGGCATGCCCTGCCTCCTCCATCCATGAGCCACCAAGACAACAATATGAGAAGTACATGGACAAGGGGGTGGTGGCTTTCCACCAGGCAAGAATGTCCTTCTTCTTTTCCTGCTACAGGAACTTTCAGTCCAATTTCTTCCTTCTGTGATGGTGTCCAGCAAAGGTGTGGTCATGCCTTGCTCTCCTTCTCAGGATTCTGTCCTCACACTCCATTACCTGGTGGCTGCTTAAAAATCTCTGTGTGTGTCACAATTGATAGTCTGAGCCAAAACACTACCATGTTTCTTTGTTAACTCGGTTAGAAAGGAAAGGATGTGTGCTGGTTCCTGTACTCTGATGGCCTGTGGTCGGAGAGGGGGGATGTTTTAAAAGTGTTTATGTGGTTAACATACATTGTATTATTAGGCTTCATCTTTAGCACTATGTCAACAACCATCTACTAGAGGACTGCTCTAAACTGGTTGTGGTGTAGGTGAGGATGGGTTTCCGCCACTCCCGTCACATTATTGGCCAGTCCTATAACTGCGAGGAATATTCTCTTCTTGCCTCTATAATAATAGTCTTAAAACAGCAGTGCCGGAAGGAACTCTATGGGTCATCGAATCTTGCCAAGGAAGCTCAGTGGGGAATCGAACTCCCTGATGCTGGGGAGAGCCAGAGTTCTCCATTGCTTGTTTCTGACTTCAGCAAAGAATCAGTTCCTAAAATCCTGTATATGCGAGGGCCAAAATCTTCCTGTAAAATGCCACACATGGAAGGACAATCACACAAGCTATTTTCAGACCTGTCTGTCACATGCCCAAGCAGACAACCCCATGAATGAAGCTTATCTAAAATATTCAGTCCACACACAGAGAAAATGGATTACATTGCTCCTTGGCGTGTATTGTACCGGAGCCACCCTAAACTATGGTGCCCTTTTTTCTCCAATAGAAGCATTGCCCAGTTATAATACTGTTGCATTTGTGTGGCTAATGACAGGTTGACTGTCCATTTTGTGCCCAATAAATAGGAGTGCATAGTTCAACCATAATTAAAGACTCGTTATAAATCTAATTGATTTCAGTACACATATGCCACTAAAATTAGTAGGATGCCATATGGACTTTATTTCTTGTCTCCAGCTTGTTGCTTATTCATTTTACTGTGTACACTTCAGAAGCAGCATTTTGTGGCAAGGTGAACACGCGATCCATATTCAGTGTTTTGAATGCCCACCTGAGTTAGGCACACCAGTTATGTTCTACAGGTATGTTTAGATGCTAGATTATTAAGTGTTCCTCATGTAGATGCTTTGCTAAACTCTAGTAGAGCAGTAAGAAGAATCTGGCATGGCAAACGTTGAGTTCAAGATACCAGAAGCAGAGTCATAGATACCATTCGAGGTATCTTAAATGGTTCAAAATACCATTCAAGGCAGAGTCATAGGCTCCCCTGCCCCTCATTTAAAATAAAAAAGTGTAGTCGGTATTAAAAAAAATTAGACATGATTGCCTCCACCAACTTTCTGGTCGTGGACATATTATGGAAGAGGAAGGATTCTGAAAAGGCTTGGCCAGGCCTAGGTGTATATATATATATTACTATATCTTATGAATTCTCTTGTGTACGTTATACAGTATATGTAGATGGCATGTCATTAATACAAACTGGTAGCTTATTGATACAGAACCATTAAAAGAGAGGTGCATTGCAACCCACAAAATAAATATCTGATTTGGACAGGATTAATAGTACTCGCTGGGTAATGTATTGTGGTGTGAAGTGCTCTGAAACCACCTGTTGCATCGAAAGCAACCAACCTTTTCCCACAGTTGACATTCAGCAGGCAAGTCATCCACACAGCTTTCCAAAATTAGCTCATGAGGTTAGCAGCAAAGGCTGGCGGCCCAATGCGTTCACAAATAATGTTCGGATTTTCTTTAGCATTTTTAGCACTGTGGCTTTCACCCTGGTTGTCTTCTTTTCTTCCCTCACTTCTTCCCTGGAGAGGAAGGTGATAACCCAACGCCCCATAAGCAGGTTTTTAAAATGGAGTCAACTTTATTGACCTGGCTTTGCTTCTTTGGCCAGAATCTTGTTGGAATTGTGGAGTGTAAACCAGCAACAACAACAAACTGAAATGAAAGTTTTCCAGTCTTTTACGTGCTAGCTGTGGAGCTAGATTGGCTAGGGATAATTCCAAACAGGCCGATCACATTCTTACCTTTCTGGGAAAATAAGGTGCTTTTCACTTTTCGGAAAGACCTATGCATAAAGTTGCAGCATTGACTGTTTCTAATGCAAGGAGCACTCCTGTGAATGATTGTGACCCCATAATACCTGGGCATCAGATTTTCCTCTTCCATTTGAACTGAAAGGAGCCCCGCAGTTTAACAGCTCAGTTTGCAGGACTGGTTTAAGCAGCAGGCACGAAAGTATTGAGCAGTGCCATGGCAACTGAAGCTTTTTTTATTTTTTGCTTGGGGAACAGGGTACAGCAAGGTTGAACCTATAATATGACTCAAAAATTCTCTGCCATTTCCCTGTAAACTAGCTGCAACGGTGAATATATAATTTTATAGCACACTTCTATAGTTTCTCTGGGTCTCTTATTATATAATGCCAGAACTCAAGGTCATCCACTGAAGCTCCACAGACATGAGATTCTGGGCAGATCAAGATATGTAAATGCTACATTGCTCAGCACAGAATGAATGCATAGAGCCAGAATCCTCTCCAGTCTTGAATGGCTTTAAAGAGGGCAAGTCAATTACTCATGAGTTCGAGCACGGAAACATTAGGGGAGGTGCAGGGAACTGCAACTTCCAGAATCCCTCACCTAGCATTTTCGGTAGTCAAAAGAAGCAACTTTTCCAAGCTGTTGTTATGACTATGTCAAATCTCCATATGGTGCAGGCAAAACTTGGTTAAATATCTGTTGCTTTGGGTAAAAACAGCAAGTCAGAACTATTGCCCGCAACTGATGCTGTCAGGAAGGAGGATGAAGGACTGTATTTTTAGCCATAATTTGGATCCAGAACAATGTTTCATATATTCTAAAAGTGAAGATGAAATATGAGATAATACTGTATTAACTAAGAGGATCTCCAGTTGGGTTGGACTTGATGGCCTTAGAGGTCCCTTCCAGCTCCGTTATTCCATGATTCTCTTGGGACGAAACTTTGCATTGATATTTTATTTCTCCAATAAACCGACACAGCTTCTGCATTTTCTCTTTCAGAATGTGCTACTAGAACTGTCATCGATCATGAAAAAGTGATGTTACTTTAGAAGCAGCGCCAAAGTGAAGCAATGCAGCCCTGACGCCAGTGCCATCCAATGGCCAGGAAGAATCGGGTCTCCTCCTTTCCTCCTAAGCCCTAGCAAGCACCCAGCTCAAGGTGGACAGTGGCTCATGCAGAACCCAGTATTTCAGGCTGTCTCATGCTGCAGGGCAACCTGGGCGTTGTTTTCTGATGATCCAAGAACACCATTCAAAATGCACTTTTTCCTTTTGGATGTAAAGAGCAGGAGCTGGCTTCATGTGTGGCTGCTACTGAACAACCTTCTTCTGCACCTGGAAGAAAGCTACAGAAGGAACAGTTTAATGTGCAGGACTGCCATGTGCTTTTCATTGGAAGCCCAATATATGAACTTGAGGCTATGTTCAGACATGTAAAACATACTATATAGGGCTGTGTTAAGCAGATGAGACTGCTGTCTGAAGGGCTGTCTTCATTATCCATTTGCCTACACCCAGCATTCATTCAATAAACGATGAAAGTAGCATGCAATGACTTTAGAGGGTAATGCTGCATGGTTCAAAGCAACCTACGTTTACCACAGTATGCAGATGCCTTCCCCTCAAGATTCCTCAATACACTGTTCTGCTCTTACCAGTGTCATCTTTTCATTGACCTATCACCCCAATTTTTCATAAACAGGGGCAAGATCTAGCTAGCTAGCAAGCAAACAAGACCTTCCCCTCCTCTTTTAAAGCAACCACTTCAATTTT